GCAGTGTTTCTGACGGAGAAAGCGAATCCGTTTCTGACAGAGAAGAAAGCGATTTTTTAGACTTAGACAATGTTTCTGTTGTATAAATTGTCAATATAAACCACACCATGAGTCAACAGTGGATTGAACTCAGCTATGTTTTGATGCTATAATATAAAGTTATGAACAAAAAAGTCTCGTTAAAGGAAACATCTGTCAACATGAGCGCGTGAACATATCGAATAAACATGTGGGTGTATTCCCATGACACGCCCATCTACCAAACAAACAGATCTTACTCAACTGCCTCGGTTACCATCATTTTAGGCAATGCGCTTTGAGCATGCTTTCATGGCGTGGATATAGCGCAATATAAGTGCCATGAATATGTTTTACAGATTAAACATAGTATTCAGCAGAGAGAGTTTGGGTTATCCTGGCACAGTCAGGCTGGTAAGGCTCATCATGAGCTCAGGGCCCCCTCTACACGCAGCCCAAACAGCAAATGGGACTTCTCCCAGGAAACACTGCCTAGTCAAACCCACAAAGAACTTTCCGGAGAATATGGAAACTCCCCAACACTGCAGCCTTCTGCATTACCCAGAGTGTCAGAAGGGCTGTGCTCCCAGTGGAGAGCCCGGGCACTCTCCTGATCTGCGCCAAGAGATCAGGAGGTACCAAACCAAGGGCACCAAGAACAATGGGGAGCCTGACGACAGTGTACTTGGAATGCAAGTGAGACATTTCAAAGGCGAGGTCTGTATATTTAGCATGCATTTCCTGAATCTTGCCAATCACGTTGCTGTCAAAAGGGACAGAAATTTCAATGATATAAATAAATTCATTGACTTTATCAAAAAGGACAAGATTAGGTTTGTTGGCAGGAATTCTCCTGAGGCTGTATATGGGCCTATTCCACAAATGTTTAAAAGCATCATTTTCCATTACGCCCTGGACATGTTCAGGGTCGTACCATGGATGGACCTCGGCGTCAAAGCCACAGGCATGGCGAAGACGATAGTAGAAACAAAGAGCCATGCCATCATGTCATTTAGATATGCTGTTTGTGCCAAGGAAGGGCATCCACTGACAAGGTGTTGGACAGTCTCTGTAAATTCATTACACAGTCGGCATTTCATGTTAATATTTCCTTAAGAATCACATTTTGGCGATTACGAGTGGGAAGTGACTGGTCCTGAGCAGCAGGAAGCCCTCAGTTTCACATTTAAGACCAGCCGACTTCATCCAGGCGAAGGAGTCGTTGGGATTGCTGTTGTTCCACACACTGCATGTACACATGATGCAACGGCTTCTCAGAAAGCTTCTCCACAAAAAGACCGACTCTGGGTAGACTTTGTGAAGGACTTCACCTGGTTTACTCCCATCGCTGTACCGTCCAGGAGTACATTGCCATCAACAAAATCAAACTCAAATTTCAGATTCTGTCCAACAACCTTGGCACGCTTAAAATAACTCCCCACATTAATCAACCCCGACCTCCAGAATTGACTGGCATATATAAACGGTTAAGAGAGGAACAAGCGTGGTGGGCTCTGTTATCAGACATGATCCTTCTGGTCAGGCAGTCAAGACTCCAAAGGAATAGGATAGGACTGTCACAGCAAAAGTATTGGTGGTTTTGACCTTGTTTCGAGCATTTAGGTCTGACCTCCAGATTTTCTTTAAGCGAAATTTGTACTTGGCCCGAAGTTTGTCTTGAATTTGGGCACTCTGAAGCTTGTCTCAAACTTGCATTCCAAGATAGGTGTAGGCCTGATGATCAATAACTCCTCCCCTCCTGTGACTTGACCGATCCACCATTAACTACCTTGCCACGTTTCAAATGAAGATTATTACATTTGTCGAGTCCACATGTCATGCCAATATCATTAGAAAAGGACTCGACAAGGAGAACCTGTTCTTTCAAATTGGTATCTTCTTTGGCAAGGAGCTCGATGTCATCCATGTAAAGGAGATGAGTAAGCGGTGTTGGGGATCTGTGCTGAGAAAATCCGGGATGGTTATCCTCCTCTCTGTTGAGCAAAAAGCTCAAAGGATTTAGAAACAAACAAAAAAGCAATAGACTGAAGGAGTCCCCCTGGAAAATTCCCCTTCTAATTGGAATTGATTCCGAAGTCTGCACCTGCCCTTGCGAGTACATCTCAAGTTGAGTCGACCAGCAACTCACTAAAGATGTGAGTAAATCAAGTAGTCGCTCCAGGAGGTCAATACAACGAAGAGACTTCAGAATTCATTCATGAGGGACAGAGTCGTATGCTTTTTTGTAGTCAATCCAGCACATAGAGAGGTTGCGGTGATATGTTTTAGCCTCTTCCAAAATCATTTTCTGTACAAGAAGTTGATCTCTGCACCCCCAACATCCCTTTCTTGCTCCCTTCTGCTCTCTGTAAATTATATCATTAGCAGAGCAGTAGGATGACACAAGGTTTGTCAAACACCCTGTGAATAATTTGTATTGTGTATTCAAACATGTGATAGGGCGGAAATATTGGTGATCAGTCGAGTCTCCTTTTTTGGGAAAGAGTATTGTGCGACCTTTGCAGAACCACGGAGGAACATCACCTGTGTCCACGAGAGAATTAAAACAGTAAAGTAATGGTGTTTGGACACAGGGAAATACTTTCCAGTACCGGTTTCGAATACCATCAGGCCCTGGAGCTGTATTAGATTTGGACGTTTTTATAACACTTTTCAGGCAATCTGGTGAGATGTAGCAGACAAACGACCTAGTAAATTTCTCATGCATTGCATGGTCATGATCACGGGCCCATGGTGCCTCAAGGTTACAGTCGTCGGGTACAGACCACAACTGTTTCCAGAACCTCTCATTGGCATCCATGGGAGGCCGCTTATCATGCTCACCATCACCGTTTGTTTTAAGTTGCCCGTAGAAGTGTTTTTCATTATTTCTAAAAAGTTTATTTTGTTTGATGAATTTATTGTTATTTTCCAATTTTTTCTTTCTTTCAGTCCAAACTTTATTTTAACCTTAAGGGAATCGATAATTTGGAGAAGTATCTTTTCTTGGGTTGTCCTATACTGTAATTTTAATTTTCTCCAAATTGACTTTAGTCGTTTAGACATGGGATTCCCTGATGATCTTATTTTAAGGCACAGCTCTATCCAGGAAATGTATTTCCCAGTTTTTAGTTTTACTTGAAACCGTTTTTTTTTGGTGTGTTGTTCTTAGTATTAGATGATTTTTCTTTGGAAACCGTGCGAAGTTCCTCCAAGGTTCGAGCGGCAGCATAGACACAGCAATTAACTTCATGTAATGAACAGTCCGCAGAAAGTTTCATAGAAATAATGTCATTTAATAAATTAATTTCATTTTTGGGAAAAGATCCACTTGTTTGTTTGATTGGCCTCCGTTTTTCTAAAGGTATGTCAGATATTTCATCATAAATAGAATGAAACAAAAAAATTCAGATAGATCTGCAACTGAGGAAGAGGAAGAGTGAGGATCCAAAATTTCCGGGGCCAATTGGCTCTGTACCAGAAGAGTTTCCATCAGGAAGAGGAGAGAGGTTAACGCGGACGTCTATCAGAAGTTTGGGGTCTGCTGCCACTTGAGCATTCTGCTCATGCAAAGCTTCCTGACAGGCTCCAGTTATGTGTTATGTGAGATTTTTAAGCCGCCAGAATTGATCTTGGATATTTTGCTCCGTCAGGAAAGCATACATCATTGTCCCAATGTAGCTTAAGCAACTTGCCATTGAGGCGTGGATTTGCAGGCCAGCCTGTCACTCTCGCACACTCAAGTAGTGTGGTTTTGAGATGGTTTGACCAAGATATTCTTGGTCGGGTTTTGTGCCCTCCCCTGGGGCAAGTCCCATCTCCAGTACGGTTTGTCTCATTACCGGGGAAAGGCTGACTGGGTTGCGGAAATGGATTAAACTTTCCTCTTGGCTGTCTGTAACCCAGTGGAAAACCGGTGTGTGTGTGTGTGTGTGTGTGTGTGTGTGTGTGTGTGTGTGTGTGTGTGTGTGTGTGTGTGTAGTGTGTGTGTGTGTGAGTGTGTGATGGGTAATGCACGTTTGGTTCAGGGAATAAAAATAAAATTCCCCTCTCTAGGCCCACCACGGAGAGGCGTACATCATAGTAAATCATTGAATTTTCATGTTTCTGTATTGTGCTTGTTATAAAAAAAAAGTAAATAAAAAGTAGTTTAGTTTAAATCCTGTTTTGTGTTGCTTTGTATAAATACTCTTGTTGTCAGTTGTTCTGAGCATTACTCCGATAAAGTGAAGAGTATAAAGACATCATGGAAGTGGAAAAAAAACAAATGTGAGTTGCCTTTTCAAACCCCTACCACAATATGAGTGGTATGTGGATCATCGAGCGGAAAAACGTTTGGGTTGCATAACTCTAAAAAGAGACTACAAGCATGTTGATCCACCACCCAACCTGATTATGACCTGTTATGCAGTTTGGCAAGATGTATAGCGACATGGACAAGAGCATTCCAAATATTTGATTTCAAGATTTCATTCAAGATAATCAGACAGTGAGTGAAAGGAATGACAGCAACACATTGGCAAAGGATGTTCAGGATGAAGACCAAATTATGAACAGAAATGACTTTTTGTTTTGTTACCAGTACCTGATTATCCTCTCAAGAACATTTCTTCTACAAAAACTGTGGGGAAATTAATGGCTTTGTGATTATTTTTTCATCAAAAATTGATTCAGGTGACTTGAGAGTGACAGATAAATTAGAACTTGGAAACTCAGATAATGGGACTGTCATAAAAGGTTTGAACCTTGTGAAACTGATTCGTTTGGTTATTCTACGCTCTTCTTACACATCCAACAGACCAAGTGGTTACAGAGAGTTTCGCAAACTGCTGCACAGTTTAGATGTACCAAACATCTTCTTGCACAGCATCATTATGCTAAAAATAATAAAAGTGTAAAAAGATTGTACGTGAAACGCAAATCAGGCCTTGGTGTGCCTGGTCAAGCTAACTTTAAAGAATTAGAATCATTGTAAATATGAAAACGTTTACCATTTTTATTCAATAAAACATTAATTCTCGATGTGTTTACATGTTATTATCAATTATTGTTTGGATTTTTTTGTCGGGGTTTGACAACATCAGACAGACACCTCACACTAAAAGTCATGTAAGCGCTGTCCATGTCCATTTCCATATATTCAAAATCACACGTCCATGAAATCGTAGTAAAATTGAAGCATGCGCAGTTTGGCATACTGCAGGGGAGTATCGAGATGTAAGACCTTCTTTGCTTGTTTCTCTTTATTAATCAGGACCGATCCATACGCTGAGTTACCCGTGAGTTTGGCAGTATTGCCGCAAATGGCTGCTGAGGGATCTCGGTTGGCATCTTGCCTGGCTGAGCACACGTCCCGAACAAACTGACGAACGCACACGTTCGAAATGTACTGGATGACTTTGTACACTCGATCGACCACCATGCGCTATTGTAAATACCACTACAACATTGGGGTGGCAATCAACATGTTTCGTGCCTTTAACCCGCCGGCGAACATACGACATGGTTTTGTACTCAAGTCGTTCTACCTGATGTATTCCTCCATGTGTTCCCCGAGAACCTCGAATTGAACTTGTGCGTTGCGAAACAAGGGAGTCATCTCTTGAAAGTACTCCCCCGGGGAGAGACGAGTGCCTGAGGGTTCTGTATGGGGATCTACTGATCGGGAACGTGAATGTCCACTTTCACCATGCCAAACAGTTCCACCATTTCCCCAGTCTTCAAAATCTCTCGCTCCGAGACGGTCCACCCCTTCTTTTGATAACAGGGTGAATGTTGGGCCCGGATAAACGAAGCAAGCTCTCGATTGGTTCTACATTGTGCGAGGAATTCACATTCCCACATTTCAACAAGCTTGTACCCATCCACCAAGGACGGTCCAACTCGTCTTTCCCGCTCCAATTTAATTTGTTCCGCATGTCCCGCCCTTCTTTGTCCCTCAACCAATCCATCCAATAATACATGGACGTGTGTCTGTCCCTGAGTTCGGGCTTGAACGACATCTCAGCTTTCCTGCGCACAAAAGGACCAGTGGGCATGGGCTGATCTATGGCCCACAAGTATAACGCTTTGCATCATAGCAAGCGACCCTTTTACACCGTTTATAAGGATGGCCTCTGATCAACGTCTGATCGGCTTTGTGGTACCTTGTGAAAATACTAAAAGGTCCGCCGACCACGTTGCCTTTCATGGTGTGATAGAGATCTTTGTTGCTTTTATCAAAGCAAGATCCCCTTTCTTTGGCTCTCCTGGAACAGTGTCTGTCAGGGCACACCAACATAGTGGTTTTAAAAAGGTTGATGCTGACCTCGAAATACACCTGGTACATGGCTTCCATGGCTTCTACAAAGGGACCTACGTCAAGATTGTTATACCACTCAAGGAAATCTTGAAACGTAGACATCCCTCCCCGTCTTCAGATGGCCTCGAGGTCGGCATATTTCTGCTTCATGGACTTCAAGCCATCGTTGAGGACGGATTTCGTTTGAGGCTGGAATACCAAGCCTCGCCTAAAGGTGGAAGTTGAGTCTCTTTCAGCTTTTCCGGAGTGTCGAGAGCTCGTATGGGAAAAATCCCTTCTTTGTCTTCGACTCGAACGCTTTTAGAAATTGCGCATAACTGGTTCCGGGTGAGAGATACAGTGTGACATCAAGAAATTTGAATCACAGATCATTTGGGCACAAGTAAGCATTGTTTTTCTTGACAGTGAAAGCCCAAGATTCCTGCTCGTCGAGAGAGTGATGTTCGGGAAGCTTCTCCTTAATGATACTCAAATCATAGCGAAAGAAATTTGAATCACAGATCATTTGGGCACAAGTAAGCATTGTTTTTCTTGACAGTGAAAGCCCGAGATTCCTGCTCGTCGAGAGAGTGATGTTCGGGAAGCTTCTCCTTAATGATACTCAAATCATAGCGAGCCGAATTAAACCCGAGGACTGGGACTTGTGAACAGTATCCCTCCAGACTCCCGTACAGATACATATCCCTAGCGCATTCCATCAACTCACCAACAGATACAGAATTAGTGATGGGGACGTTATAAGTTGAAAACACGTCCCAGTGTTGGTCCCGGGCAAGGATAAACGGAGCGTTCAGGGCATGGGCTTCCTGAAGTAGGGGCTCCATCACCTCATCATTCTCCTCATCTTCCCATGGTGTGTGACCCTCTCCCCAAGGGCGTGGTTGGAACTCAGTCTTTTCACTGTCACCCCTGCAGGACTGTGAAGGTAGGTAATGGTGTCCTTCTGTCATCTCATGTCGGTAGACAGACACACAGTCCTTGAAATCTCTGACACATCCGGCCAATACAGGCTTCAGTTACCCGGGAAGAGGCTGAAGCTGTGAACAGAAACCAATCCATTATGAATACCAGGTCACATAGAGACAAAATATAACACACCATTATAACACCATAACTAACTGAATGAATGAGTAGTCCAACGCTAGCTCTACTCAAATATTAGCTTAACGATAATATTCAACCATACCTCCAGTAGGATCCATTCCCGTGCTGCTTTACCCCCGAGGAGGTTGATGGTAGCGGAGGGTTTGTTGAGGTTGTCCCTGCAATATTTAGAATATAATCTTACAAAACATCTTACATAAAAACAGTCCCGCTCAACTCTATCTACAAACACACATATTCCTGGCATTGAATCCTTTGCGCTATGATCCTCATTAATCCTAACTGATATAACATCATATATGGATGAACAAAGTAATAGATAGATACAACATAACTTACCCCACTAACCGCCGCTCTTGATGTGGATGGCCGGGTGTTATCACATGGCGTCTATATCATTATGTCTGTAAATATATAAAACCGTTTTCAATCAAACGTATATGCTAAACTCGCCAGGCTAGTGATCCAGCAAGGTTGAGGTGTCGGGATCGAACCCACCTATGATCGGGTGTAAAAACCTTGGAGTCAACTTTGTGTGTAGACTCTTTCAGTGTTGTCAAAACCCCTAGTGTACAGAACACAACCCTGTGCACTTAAAAGAACCCATGAATCCGTTGGTATATCACCAGATGGTGGCCACATGAATACGTGCAAAAGCCTAGTTGTGGGTACAGCAACGTGCAGTGAACTTGGACAAAGTACTGTGACTATGTGTCCCAGTCCACCCAGCTGTGAATGGGTACCTCGTTAGGATGAGAAAGCCACAATAACTTATTGCACCTAGTGGCTGCAAGAGTTGTATACTCCCCAGGGAGTTGAGATTGATAATACGATATGCCATTGAGATTGACATACATGATTGAGGGAACAATACCAGCGCCTTGAGCATGCACTAGTTGCCTGGATATGTGCGCTCACCAGAAGGATGAAGTTGCCGAAAATGCACAGCCAGGTTAAGAACGAAAGACCTCAGGGCATGTCTGTATAGAAATAACGTTAAAAGCAAATACCTGTCACTAATGGGGGAAGATTGCCACTATGTCCGTGTAACGTTTAACATTATTGATCATAACCACTGCGATAATATGTCAAAGTAACGGTTGAAACTAGAGACAACATTGCTCATATGTTAAAAGCATAGCAAAATGACCTTCCAAATATGTTGAAAATAAATCTGATGAAAGTCCGTTAAAGAAACACAGAAATACAACAGTCAAACATATGTTCAATATAAAATCTGGTGTAATAATGTTATATTAAATGCACTTAGCATTATGAGATGATAGCAATGTTTTGTACAAATGTATTAAGGATTAAGTCTTAGTCTCTTCTTTTCAGGCCAACACACATGCAAGCGATATAGGGCCTGATTTCATTACAACGCACAGAGGCGAGATTTTCTGCTAGCAAACATGGAAATAACATGAGGCGCGTATAACGAGTAATGAGGGAAAGACTTCAGCCAGTGGTCGATAGGGATCACTTGACTACGTGAAGAGCACGTTTTAGAATCACTGCATAAAAACAAACACCGGTTTGTTCACATTTCTGACCTGTGACGTCATGCATACACTTGCATGTTAATGAGTTATCGTGCATAAATTAACGGTTTAACCAGTTTAACCAAAAGGAGGTTCTGCATCCACCCTATATACAACTAACCTGTCAGAAATAGACATCATCCCGTTAGTCGCCTCTTAGGACAAGCATGGGTTCCTGAAGACATTGAGTAAAGATTGGCCTGGAAGATCACCATGAGAACAAGGAATGTTCCAGCATAGTCTGACCCAGTAAGTTAAAGACGGTAAACAACAAAGAAGTAACTTTGCACATAAATGTTCAGAGCATAATTTGGAAGCAGCCAATGAATAAAGACGGAACTTTGTGTATCATGAGAGTTAATTAAAACTATATTATAACACAATGGTTTATGTACGATATTATCCATGATGCAATTTTCATATCAATAACCATTATTTACTTCCCACCCATGATATATCCAAATATGGATTCTTTCAGTCTGCCCCGTGTGTGTGGGTACCAGACCATGCATGGGTGATACAAGACCATGCATGGATGTAACCAAACCACAGATACAAGACTGGAGACCATGGATGAATGAACACCAGGCCATGGATGAATGAACACCAGACCATGGATGGATGGACATCGGACCATGGATGAATGGACACAAGACCATGGATGGATGGACATCAGATCATGGATGAAAGGACATACGGCTATGGATGAACACCAGATCATAGATGAATGGACATCAGACCATGGATGAATGGACACCAGACCATGGATGAAAGGACATCCGGCAATGGATGAACACCAGATCATGGATGAATGAACACCAGACCATGGATGAATAGCCATCAGATCATGGATGAATGGACACCAGACCATGGATGAATGAACACCAGACCATGGGTGAATGGACACCAGACGATGGATAAATGGACACCAGACCAAGGAAGAATGGACATCAGATCATGGTTGAATTGACACCAGACCAAGGATGAATGGACACCAGGCCATGGATGAATTGACACCAGACCATGGATGAATGGACACCACACCAAGGATGAATGGACACCATACCAAGGATGAATGGACATCAGATCATGGTTGAATGGACACCAGACCATAGATAGATGTGGACTGATATCAGCCTTATATCTCCTGACAAAACACACCAACAGGCATAATACTTCATGATGTAATAACGCCAAAACCAATCCAACAAGACAACTGCTCCTCACAAATCATATTTCTTTGTTTGACATCAGACTGAATGTACACATGAACAGGGATACAATCAAACTATGCTAAATAAGCTGCAAGTCTGCCAATAAATCAGTTATTAATATACATGTACACTGACAGTGTCAAGCTGCATTGCAACAGCTGTGATGGCTCATGCGAATGTTCTGTATGTTTGAATATCAAGATCAGCACCCTGATAGATTTATTTCTTTGTTGCTTAAACTATTTTCCAGCTATATGGCGGCAGTCTGTAAATAATCGAGTCTTGATCAGAATATCCTGTGATCAACATCATGAGCATCTATGCAATTGGGATCCGATGACATGTGTCAACCAAGTCAGCGAGCCTGACGACCCAATCCCATAATATTAGTCACCACTTGCCACAAGCATGGGTTTCTGAATACTAGCTTAAACCCGGATCTTCACATGTTGTACCCTGATAGAAATAGAGGTAGTTGCTTCATTCCACACTCAGCAATATCCCAGCTATAGTACAGCGGTCTATAAATAATGACGTCTGGACCAGACAATCTGGGGATGGACATCATGAGGCAGAGCACTGATTTAGTCAAGCATTAATTTAAGTCACTTAGCCTAATGTTAAGACATCCTAAGAGCTAGTACAATTTCAGTTTTCGGTTTGACTGTATTTATTTGTTATCACTACAAATGCTAGTACATGCTGCAGGTGAAAATAATCCCTGTGAACAGTAAGATGCACGTAAAATTACTGTCACTCCATGTTAAAATAGACCCGTGAAGGTCCGGGTTAGAATGAACCTTCTGTAACCTCATGCTTGTCGTAAGAGGCGACTAACGGGATCGGGTGGTCAGGCTCGCTGGCTTAGTTGACACGTCATCAGTTCTCAATTGCGCAGATCGATGCTCATGATGTTGATAACTGAATTATCTGATCCAGACTCGATTATTTACAGACCGCCGCCATATTGCTGAGTGCGGCATAAAACTAAACTCACTTACTCACTAAGGCTGTCATGGATTCACTCGCATATTCAGTGAATCGAACCGAAGCCCTTCATGAATTCAATTCGTTATTCGTGGTCACCAGAACCAAATATTAATGAATATTTACGATTTTTTTAAGGGAGCATGTTTTACTTGAAGCCTTGTGTACTTTTGGAAAGTGAGATATGCAAGGATTGAATATGTACTAGCAATGCAGTAGCGCCAAGTCATGTTAGTCAGTACTGCACTTTAGCACTTTTCCAGATTAATTAAGCTGCTGGGGTTCTCTAACCCTAACCTATAACCCTAAGGATCGTACCAAGGGTGCCTAACCCTAAGAATGAGTAAAGGGTTTAACCCCAAAGGATAGTAAAGGGTGCCTAACCCTAAACCCTAACCCTAAGGATCGTAAAGGGGCGACACCAGAAATGGGTAAATTCACACATTGTACCCATGCAGGGATTCGAACCTTAGGGGTAGGGGTTCGGCGTGATGAGCCAACGCTTTAACCATTAGGCTACTCACCGCCCCATACCAAATTTTAGTGTCATGAGATCACTGGTTATTGCTGTGACAAATCAAAACTGTCAACATGGGCGTTCATATTGTAAATCAATCACTTAACTACAATATTGTATTCGTGAATAATTATTCGTATTTGTTACCCAATATTCATGATACGTATCATATTCACCACATAGTGTATTCGTTGCAGCCCTATCACTCACCATACAAAATACAGAACATTAAGGACCTTATTTTTCACATTTCTTTATAAAGTTCTAGCTGACACAGCAAAAAAATAGCAATATCTGTTTATTTATTCTGTAGAGGTATTTGAGTGCAAGGGAAATGCATAAATAGCATAGACTTGGCTGCAGATGTAAGGCAAAGTCTTTAGTCCAGGAATATCTCTACTGCAGTATGCATATAAACAAAGAAGAATGTAGTAGTTACGCACAAAATCAATAACGGTTCGTTGCTCGTTGTCCATCCGGTAACCTCTGCCGGAACAGGATCCTACACGGGGAAACCCCCTACGGGCGATTCTAAAACACAGTGGGTGTTATGGGAACTTGTACATTTTGAAACATATATCTGCTTATATGCATTCATATATCTTGTGGGGTGGAATAACTCGAAACCTCTGAATTATATCACGGGTTACGTTTCAGAAGCGTTTACTAATTTTCAAACTATCTTCAGTTCAAATAAGGTTTCGTCACACCCTCTTTTTGTAGTGGACTCGTCTCAATCGATAAAACGTCATGGCGAAGTCTGTCACATGAGCTGTTGTCGCTGGTAAAGTGGTTTCGATATATTTCTGTAATGTACGTATTACACAAACAAATGGCACATGTTCTGTGAATATCCCGATTCTCCAAATATGCTTCCTTAATATTCTACTTATATTCCAGCCTGATTGTCAGGCCCTGTTCAAATAACACGATGTCGTGATTTGACACTGCGTGAAAGTTACTCCTTGTCACCAGACGAACTCAAGACAGAGTCGTACCTCACACCTGAATGTACCTTGAAACATGTTCTAAATCACGAACTTCTGTTTTTGTAATGTGTCCTCTAGTAACTACTAATATGCTGCAACGAACCCAGTATGAGGCGAATATGAAACAAATCACGAATATTGAGTAACGAATACAATAACATGTCTGAAGCCCAAGTATTCAATACATTCAGTGAAACAATAATAAGGTAAATTCTTTGACATGTTTTGAACTTGTGGACAGTGTTAAATATCGTGACAATGACCAGTGTGAATTATATATGTAGGAGTGTTCACTATTATCAAGTCTGGCTACGATATATTCCATTTAGCGTATGTGGTTTGATAAATAACACCAAATTAAGCTCATGTGAAAACACTCCTTTTCAATTCATGTGATAAGCTATAACTAATTGAATGCGTGAATGTTTATGTACGCGTCAGAATTGAAAAAGCCCAAGTATTTCAGATGGGTCGTCGGCACAGGTACTACAGATTTGTATCTCATGTATGTTTCTGTATGCAGATGAGTACATTCTGCACCGTTACCTTGATCGTAACTGTCATAATGTTGTATTAGATGAATTCAGTTCTGTAATATAAGAAACGAGCAAACACAGAGACAAATATTTTGCGATGCACAGTATTACTTGTAATTAAACAAATGGGCACAATAAGAGGTATCGGTTTGGGTTTTGAGGTTAGGAATATGGACTCATTTGCCATTTTGCTCCTTCAGACCAAGTATTTCCCATTTTCACTTTTTTCTTCACAATTTTCCCAGATAATACTCAACCCAAAATGTACTAGAATTTGTACTTTACTAAGAAAGTATAATCCCAAATATAACATATGTTAAATTTATGCATTACTTGAATCAGACATACACATAGTCTACTATCATTGCTCCTACTGTTGACCATAACTTTGCCTGGTGATAGTCTAAACCATGGTCCATTATGTGCAGGTTCACTATTCTGCTGCTGTATTATATCTACTGCTCTGCATTTTCAGTTATCAGATACAATCTGACAGTAGCCTATCTCATACAAGCCCTCGTGCAGTGATGAGTCCAATGCTGATTTAGTTACAGCTGTACATGCTGTATTATACTACACACTCACAAATATTGTGGATGAATTGTTCCACCAGTTCCCAAACAACTGACCTATTATTAACCCAAAGAGGGGCATTTCACTGAATAAGGCTTAGACATTAGACATCCAGCAGTGAGCTCATCATTTTAATGATTTCGACATCAACGGCGACATGCCGAATCGTTGCTTTGTGCCCATGCACAGATTTCCACAGGACCCGCGGATTCGTGCTAAATGGGTTATGTTTGTGAGTGCGGCTTAGCGTTGTGGAAGCCTGAAGCGATATCTTACTTGTGTTCAGATCGGCTACGCGGAAGTTAAAGAATCAAAACTACTTACATGCTGCATATGATTATATACACACTCATTGTAAGTAGTATTAATATTGTGGATGAATTGTTCCACCAGTTCCCAAAACAACTGACGCCATTTTAAAAATAAAAAAACTATTCAGAGTTAAATATGTATTGGAATCATAACCAAACGGGCATGACACAACTTATTCATAGCCATGGTTAATGTCCATCACCAGTATAATGCATTTTATGCCTTTGGTTCTGTATACCATAATGCAGTCCCGACAAAAAATCTGGTATTTTCGGTTTTCATACCATCATTTTTTATTAACCTTTATCCCTACTGAAGTTACTCAGTTGCCTTTGAATAAGGCTTAGACATTCTGCTGGCCTTTGACCAGGGTTGGTTGCACCTTTGATGATGTCATAGATTATGTATTGCTGACCTTTGCTTAAGGTCAAAATTCACTGTGATCAAATTTTATGTAACTGTAATGTATTCTGAAGTGCCGTGTAACTGATATGGATTGAAACTGATAATGCATTGTCAAAACGTTTTAATATTTGTACTCTGCCCTGAAATCGAAAAATTATAGTATGAATGTGGACGTGTCATATGAAAAGATGCTAAATGGCATTACTTGTCCTTACCCTGCTACAACACAGTACTTGTTACCCTGTTTGGCATTGCCTTGATATAGCAAGGGCTTGTCAAGTCAGCATATGTCTTTAAGCAGGGCGTCCCAGTTAAATTGCAGCATGGTATCACAATGGGTTAGCACCATTTAACCAAAATAAGCTGAGTTTAGTATGTCAGGACACACACATTAATGTTGGACCCAACGGGATGCAACTTCAAACTTAATAATGTAATCAGCAGCAGATATAAGTACGTCAACAAGGCAATCAGTGGAACAGTAGCTAGTAGATCCCACAGTGTAACTGTTCATGTGTACAGAAGATTATAAGTCAGTGATGTAGATCAGGGCCTAGTGAACACTGAGCACACACAGCACACAAACAGAAGCAAGCATGGACAGAGCATGATTACCATTACGCTACGTACAACAAAATGTATATCACTGATGGATGTGTTTCTTGTTTCTTGCAGCTCTTGGGAAAATGTCAGTCAAAGCCTTCTACACAGAGTAACTAAGTACATGCTATGTGATTCATAGGAGCAGTTTCAGGACTTCTGAAACAACTTAATCAAAGAGCACATCATGTCTGATGATCGTAACATGGAGGAAGTTCCTGGGAAAGAGAAAGATGCTCTGGAGGGAACAAGTGGAGAAAACATGAGAGAAAAGGATGATGACTTTGAATCAAGAGCAGCTGTTGCAGAAGCAACTGATTCAAACAAGTCAGACAAAGATAAACCTGACTTTGCTTATGATATGAAAGAAGAGGATTCATCCTTCACTGAGGATGAAGACAAGAAAGGAATGACTCAAGGTGAAGGTCATGGGCAAGATGTTGCTACAACCAAACCTGTTGTTCCATCTTCAGAGGTATTGGAACAGTTTGAACGTGGTGTCAGTGCTCCTCCAGGACCGAGTTCAGGGAAGAGTAAAGTTTCTGGAACCGAGGAGAAAGCCGATGATGGTAGTGCTCCTCCAGGAACGAGTTCAGGAAAGAGTGAAGTTTCTGGAACTGAGGAGAAAGCCGATGATGGTAGTGCTCCTCCAGGAACGAGTTCAGGAAAGAGTGAAGTTTCTGGAACTGAGGAGAAAGCCGATGATGGTAGTGCTCCTCCAGGAAAGAGTAAAGTTTCTGGAACTGAGGAGAAAGCCGATGATGGTAGTGCTCCTCCAGAAATAAGTTCAGGAAAGAGTGAAGTTTCTGGAACTGAGGGGAAAGCCGATGATAAAGTTTCTGGAACTGAGGAGAAAGCCGATGATGGTAGTGCTCCTCCAGAAATAAGTTCAGGAAAGAGTGAAGTTTCTGGAACTGAGGAGAAAGCCGATGATATGCCTATTCCAAGGGAGTTTGAACCACTGTGGGGAATTCTCTCTCAGATTCCGAAGAAGGCTCAGCGAGGTCTCCTGATGCAGTGTGACCTCATTTTGACCTGTGTGTCAGTGGATGAATCATACATTGCGTTGGGGACGAACATTGGCCTGATATTTCTCTATGATAGAAAAAAACACTCTATGGAAAGACTGAAGACTGATGTAAGTCATGTGTATTGTTCGATTTTTACTGTGTACTTTGATGCAGTACTCATCTGAGCTGCATCCTAATACCAACACTTGCATTTCTTATGTATTCTCCTGCTTGGTGCTAGATTATTTTGATGCACAACATAGTTCAGTATTGTCTAAGGACTGTACACAAAAGCCCGAAAGATTATCATATGCCATCTGTTTTTAGCAAACAAATTGTGAAATGATATGTGTTGATACACAACAAAGATTGTTCATAATTCCAGTTGTTAACATGGTTAATTTAAATAGAAAAAAATATGGATTAACCATCTAGTGTAGGAGTTTTGGAATTTACACCATCTTTAATTATTCACATTCTTGCTGACCCTCTCCTGATTCCCATGTAACATATTACCGGTACATAGACTGTTTTAACATTGCATTGTTATGTATAAGCTGAAGCAAAACATGATGTTCTAGACCTAAAACAACTTAGAATGACCTTAGTTTTCTTTCATAAATTTGTTTTCTCGACAAGGTCTCCACGTCTATGAGGGTGGTGGGATATAGCCTAGTGGGTAAAGTTTTCGCTTGTCACCCTGTTGACACAGATTTCATTCCCCACATGGGTGCAATGTGTAAAATCCATTTCTGGTGTCCCACACTGTGAAATTGCTGAAATACAGCAATATAAAACTGTACTCACTCACTCACTTGAGGTATTTAAACCTATACATGTTTGTCATTATTTACAATAAACTCATTGATATATACTTTAATAGTAATTGCTACAACTTATTCATGGTTGTCATGTTGATGAAGTTATTGTATTTCATGTTAATCACATGTAAAGTGAACTGGCTAATCTGTTTTATCCAGTAAACTTTCATTTTATGATCTACCTCCTTACAATGTCTGCTTGCTCAGTAAACTATTGTCTGGCGTTCCCAATAGGTTAAGGTAAGAGCTTCCAGATGGATCAGATATTGAGTAGACAAACGTGGCTGCAAATCATTTGGCACTCCATGATGAATAGAGCCATCTGCTCTGATGCTGTGTTTATTGACTGACTAACTGACTGAGTTTGGTTTTACGCCGCTTTTAGCAATATTCCAGCAATATCACGGCGGGAGACACCAGAAATGAGTTTCACACATCTTACCAATGTGGGGAATCGAACCCATGCCTTCGGCGTAATGAGCAAAGGCTTTAACCACTAGGCTACCCCTCCGCCCCTGTATTTATTGAGTAATATTATGCTTTAAACATTGATGTTTTTCAAAATTGAAGTATTTAATAAAGATAATATTTTCCTCATGTGTTTCTGAATAGTAAATATTAGAAATAATATGTTTCATGGTCATTAAAGGATGGCATAATAAAATGTTCATTCCTTATGTATGAAATTGATAATTGACTTAAAACACATTCAGTTGATAATCTCTATTTCTTGCATTACATTCTTTCTGGTTAACATACATGCTAGCAAACAGTAGGTGATTTAAAAGCAACAGTTAATTTCCCACAATTTTCAAACAGATGAAAACAAAAAGATACTCAAACATGTTACACATATGCTGCTTTAATGTTATATAAAATTATCACAACAAAACAAATACAAATTAATTGACATACAAACATGTTAAACATGATGAAAATATGTTATTATAATGTTATGTAACAAACGTTATTACCTTTCAAAATGTATCCTCAAAAAAGGAAATGATATAGTCTAGCCACAAAAAAGGAAATTTTAATATAGTCTTGTCACATTAGAAGGTGATGTATGGTGATTGTTAGTGACAGTGTATTTACAACATCTATGATTGCAGACTCCCAGCGATGTTGTCACCTGCATCCAGCTGCATCGTGGAATAGACTACCAGCTGGCCGTTGGCATGGCATCAGGTGCTGTGTGTATGTTCATGCTGCCGTCAATGATGACAGGCCTCAACAAGCAGGTTAGTGATTGGTTGATACAGGGAGGTCATGAAACAGCCATCATACATTCCAGCCAGTCCACGGGAAAACAACAAACCTGTGTTGTCACAATCCCACATGCACAAACAGATTCAACAAAAAACCAAAAGTGATGTTTAAATCTTCCCCACCATCGGTGAATGGTCACTGTGTGCAGATTGCTTCATACTGAGTAATTTTTGGCCTTGTTCACTGAAATCCTTACTGTTGTTGAAAGCAAGCTCATAAGATAAATTTCAGAAATTGTTTTAGAGAAGTTGTCTTTAAAATGAGATGCTATGCATGCAGAGGCTGATGTATGTATTTAAGTCTGCAGATGACATATTCATGAAATATACATTTCCCAGTTCATACAAACAGGTCCCGTTAAGAGCGAAAAGCTTTGTTGTCTCGTTTGACAAATATTTCACGGAATGTAATGTGAAAATCATGTAGTAGTATTTCGTCATACAGAGACTCTACCAAACTGGTTTGTCTGAGACCTTAATGGCACTTTATTATTCATTTTGATCTAACATGTTTACAGTTATGATGAGACAATATCTTACTTTACTCATTGCACTAATTCCACATTGTAGAACTATACTGATAATAGGTCTCTACTATGTGTGAGTGAGTGAGTTTAGTTTAGTTTAGTGCCGCACTCAGCAATATGCCAGCTATATGGCGGCGGTCTGTAAATAATCGAGTCTGGAACAGACAATCCAGTGATCAACAGCATGAGCATCGATCTGCACAATTGGGAACGGATGATGTGTCAACCAAGCCAGTGAGCCTGACCACCCGATCCCGTTAGTCGCCTCTTACGACAAGCATGGGGTACTGAAGATTCATTCTAACCCGGATCTTCACAGGTCGTCTACTATGTACCTGGGGCAGTGGGGTAGCCTAGTGGTTAAAGCATTTGCTTGTCATACTGCAGACACAGGTTCGATTCCCCTTCTGGGTTTAATGTGTGAAGACCATTTTTTAGTGTCCCCTGCCATTGTATTGTGGGACTATTGCTAAAAGCGGCTTAAAACTAAACTCCCTTACTCTACTATGTACCACACATGGCGTTTTCTAAAATAACTATCCTTAGCTAGAACATTGGTAACAAGTCATTATTGCATTTAAATTCTGAGGTTAACATTGTATTTTGTGAATTTGTTTGAATGACATGATTCCATATCATTACATCAAATGCCATGGGGCAGTTTTTTCCATGTGTCAATGGTTTGAAATCAGGGCCTAGATTTTCGAAGCTCTCAGCACTAAGATAGTCGTAAGTGCCATACATTAACATTAACATTAACTTACGACTATCTTAGCAGTAAGAGAGCTTACAAAATCTAGGCCATGATCTATTCTGTTGGTATCTCATGAAACCAGACTAAGTCTCAGGACTGTTACAACCAGTGACACACACTTACATGCACCAAGCTGTTTGAGTGAAATCTTGAATCTGTCATTAAATCTGATTTCATTTCACCCATACACCTGGCACACTAAGCCAATCTGCACACTAAGCCAATCTTCACGTAGCAACAGCTGGTTCTTTACCAAACCCAGATCCTCCCTGGAATGCCACCCTCCGCTGTATCCCAGCTGAATGATGGCCAATATTGTCTGGACCAGGCAGTCCACTGGCTGACATCATCATATATTCTATGCAAGTGGGATACAATGCCATACATCAACCAAGTCAGCAAGCCTGATTGTTTTATCCTATTAGTCTCTAGTTAGAGCCAATTTTAAAACCAATTCTAACCCTAATGGGGTAAACAACGGGAAGGTATGTTCATATCAAATACAGTCATTCCTCACCATAACCCCGGGTCTTGGGGCCCATGGATGACCCCCCGCACTATTAGACACTCGCGTTATAGTAACTAGTACATAACACGGAACAAAGGCCAAGTAAAATCATATATTTTACAGGAAAAAGGCTCATAGTGAAAATTATAAAATAGAATGAAAAGGAGCCCTGAGACTTTCTTCATTTCCTGAAGCTGTGGAAATCTAGACTTGCCACATTTTCTAGTCATGCGTGGAATTTCTTGGATATATTTGCTTCAGGGTCTGTATGACAGACTAAGTGTTGCCTTACAGCTTCAGAAGTTCCATGTGAAAGACATGCACCGTTCCTACCTGACATGTGTGGAGTGGAGCACTAACGGCATGAAGCTGTTCTCTGGGGACAAGAGTGGTACAGTCGTCACCACTGAAGTGGATTTCTATCAGGTGGGCGAGGAAGGTGGAGTGGTATCTGGTGGGTCAGGGAGGTGGAGTGGTATCAGGTGGGTCAGGGAGGTGGAGTAGTTTCAGGTAGGTCATGGAGGTGGAGTGGTATCAGGTAGGTGAGGGAGGTGGAGTAGTATCAGATGGGTCAGGGAGGTGGAGTGGTATCAGGTAGGTCAGGGAGGTGGAGTGGGTCAGGAAGGGGGAGTAGTATCAGGTGGGTCAGGGAGGTGGAGTGGTATCAGGTGGGTCAGGGAGGTGGAGTGGTATCAGGTGGGTCAGGGAGGTGGAGTGGTATCAGGTAGGTCAGGGAGGTGGAGTGGTATCAGGTAGGTGAGGGAGGTGGAGTGGTATCAGGTATGGCAGGGAGGTGGAGTGGTATCAGGTGGGTCAGGGAGGTGGAGTGGTATCAGGTAGGTCAGGGAGGTGGAGTGGGTCAGGGAGGTGGAGGGTTTCAGGTGGGTCAGGGGGGGTGGAGGTATCAGGTGGGTCAGGAAGGTGGAGTGGTATCAGGTGGGTCAGGAAGGTGGAGTGGTATCAGGTGGGTCAGGGAGGGGGAGAGGTATCAGGTGGGTCAGTGAGCTGGAGTGGTATCAGGTTGGGCAGGGAGGTGGAGTGGGTCAGGGAGGTGGAGGGTTTCAGGTGGGTCAGGGAGGGGGAGTGGTATCAGGTGGGTCAGGAAGGTGGAGTGGTATCAGGTGGGTCAGGGAGGGGGAGAGGTATCAGGTGGGTCAGGGAGGTGGAGTGGTATCAGGTGGGTCAGGAAGGTGGAGTGGTATCAGGTTGGGTCAGGGAGGTGGAGTGGTATCAGGTGGGTCAGGGAGGTGGAGTGGTATCAGGTTGGGTCAGGGAGGTGGAGTGGTATCAGGTGGGTCAGAGAGGTGGAGTGGTATCAGGTGGGTCAGGGAGGTGGAGTGGTATCAGGTTGGGTCAGGGAGGTGGAGTGGTATCAGGTGGGGCAGGGAGGTGCAGTTGTTTCAGGTGGGTCAGGGAGGTGGAGTGGTACGAGGTCTTCCTATCTTGAGAAGAATGATTATTATTCTGACCAAGAAACAATGCTTTATCATGTGTCTCTTTTCACCTATTCTTCTGTTTAATTGTTACCATGCAACATTTCATATTTTCAGGATTAAAATTTCTTTACTTATCATTGTCATGCATGAAAAACTTTATTTCTTTGAGATAATATGTCAACTGTTCAAATTGCTGATATCTGCCCAGGGTCAGTGTAAGTCCACCATCCTCCTGATCGAGACACACACAGAAATCATCCAGCTCCACTACGACCACAAGGTCCTACTTGTGTCCACCAAACAACGGTCACTTATCTGTCGCCTTGACGACAGGGATCGCCTTATTCAAGTTGGACAACAGGACAGAAAACTGTAAGCCTACAGATGTACACAGCATCACAATACATTACCTGTCTTGATGTTGTTGTTGTAAAGTCACCTTCATAGTGTCGGAATGCAGTACCTATCTTGATAGTGAGGTGATACAGTACAGCATACTTGTCTTGGTAGTCTTGATAGTGAGGCTGTTAAGCACATATCTTGCCTTGGTGGTGGTATGGTGCATATCTTGATAGTGAGGGGGTATGGTGCATATCTTGATAGTGAGGGGGTATGGTGCATATCTTGATAGTGAGGGGGTATGGTGCATATCTTGATAGTGAGGTGGTATGCTGGATATCTTGATAGTAAGGTGGTATGGTGCATATCTTGATAGTAAGGTGGTATGGTGCATATATTGATAGTGAGGTGTTATGGTGCATATCTTGATGTGAGGTGGTATGGTGCATATCTTGATAGTGAGGGGGTTTGGTGCATATCTTGATAGTGAGGGGGTATGGTGCACATCTTGATAGTGAGGTCTTATGGTGCATATCTTGATAGTAAGGTGGTATGGTGCATATTTCGATAGTGAGGTGGTATGGTGCATATCTTGATAGTAAGGTGGTATGGTGCATATTTCGATAGTAAGGTTGTATGGCGCATATCTTGATAGTGAGGTGATACAGTACAGCATACATATCTTGGTAGTCTTGATAGTGAGGCTGTTAAGCACATATCTTGCCTTGGTGGTGGTATGGTGCATATCTTGATAGTGAGGGGGTATGGCGCATATCTTGATAGTGAGGGGGTATGGTGCATATCTTGATAGTAAGGTTGTATGGTGCATATCTTGATAGTGAGGTGGTATGGTGCATATCTTGATAGTAAGGTTGTATGGTGCATGTCTTGATAGTGAGGTGGTATGGTGCATATATTGGTGCATATCTTGACAGTAAGGTTGTATGGTGCATATATTGATAGTAAGGTTGTATGGTGCATATATTGATAGTAAGGTTGTATGGTGCATATATTGATAGTGAGGTGTTATGGTGCATATCTTGATAGTTAGGTGGTATGGTGCATATTTTGATAGTAAGGTTGTATGGTGCATATATTGATAGTAAGGTGGTATGGTACATATCTTGATAGTGAGGTTGTATGGTGCATATCTTGATAGTAAGGTGGTATGGTGCATATCTTGATAGTGAGGTGGTATGGTGCATATCTTGATAGTAAGGATGTATGGTGCATATCTTATAGAGGTGATAGTAAGGTGGTATGGTGCATATATTGATAGTGAGGTGTTATGGTGCATATCTTGATGTGAGGTGGTATGGTGCATATCTTGATAGTGAGGGGGTTTGGTGCATATCTTGATAGTGAGGGGGTATGGTGCACATCTTGATAGTGAGGTGGTATGGTGCATATCTTGATAGTAAGGTGGTATGGTGCATATTTCGATAGTGAGGTGGTATGGTGCATATCTTGATAGTTAGGTTGTATGGTGCATAGCTTGATAGTGAGGTGGTATGGTGCATATCTTGATAGTGAGTTGGTATGGTGCATATCTGGAGAGTGAGGTGGTATGGTGCATATCTTGATAGTGAGGTGGTACACTACACGTCTTGACATTGAGGTTGTGCAGTCCATGTCTTGATTGTGAAATAATATGGTTCACGTCTTGATAATGAGGTAATACATACAGATTTACCTGGACCAGATTCAATTATTGACACGCCATCATATGATATAGCTGGACTGTGGCAACAATCAACAAACAAAATTCTGTTGGGTTTATTTAATCAATATAGTATTGTGACTGCTACTTTTGAATTTAACATGTTTGTTGTTTTTTCAGCTTGGGGGGATTTGGTGCGTGTTTCATTCCTGGGCTGTGTAAAGTCAGTGATGCACAGTTGTATGCTTCAAGGCCAGGATGTCGGTTGTGGAAAGCAGACGTAAACGGAACTGTCAAAAACACATTCTTGTTTAAGGATCTTGTTGGCAGTTCTAATCCAGACATTCCTCTTTTTAAAATGGAGAAGAGCATGGGTTCACAGGAACCCCAGTTCGGTAAACTCTACATCTATCGTTCCAATCAGCTCTTGACTTGGACTCCTCTTGGAATGTTTATCCTTGACCCTGAATCAAACGCGATTATTGCCGGGACTGATCGGCTGGGCTACATTGCCGATGTCTCTGTGTGTAATGATGAGATTTTTGTGCTCAGACGGAATGTGGAATGCAGTCTCATCAGGATCGCAGAGAAAGCTGAAGTTCCAATGGTTAAAAATAGTAAGTGTTGAAAAAACTTAATGATACATGTTTTGCAAATCAACTCTCTGGTAAAGGAGGATAAATCATTATATACGCCTAATGAGGAAATAGTTGTGTTTCAAGTAACTCGATTTACTGTGTTTAATACAGATGACTGATATAAAAGTTATGTTATTTGCTGTGTTTCTTAATTTTGTAGGTTAATATATGTACAATATGGGGAAACATCCAGTCTTTTTTCCAAATGTTAAATATGTGTTTCATGATGACTTATTCCAATAAAGTCACACTTATGTCTGTACACAGATAACTTAATCTCCATGTGTAAAGACTAACTTGTATTTTTCGTCTGGACAAATGGAATTATTTAGTGTTTTCTTCTTCCAGAATACTGACAGACTGTTAATTTGTCTTTGCAGTATTGTCCTCCATTCCGTCTCAAACGTCTGCTCATTCCCCTTCTGCGTCTGCTTCAGCTGTCTCACGTGACAGTCATGTGACTTCTGCCAACACTTCTAGTGGAAAAGCAGAGAAAGAAAGCAAACATGTCTCTCCTGGAAGATTTATAAAGAAAAATATTTTGGGAAAATTTAAGTTCTTGGATCGTCCATCCAGGGAATCTGATCTTCAGCAAGAAGTGTCTGTGAAACAGATGATTGATGATGATGATACGTGCAAAGATGGACACAACTGTAGTGGCAAAGAAGCAATAATTACCTCCCCTGATCTCCCACCAGTTGTGAAAATTAACTCCCCTGAATTAACGGCATTGCAGGTTTATGCAGGAATCACAGGGTCACCGATGTCACCTGAAGCAAGCCATGACCTTTGTCAGATTTCTACATTCGATGCACAATCAGGGGAGTTAATTTTGAATGATCCAGTACCACAAGGAAGAACCACTAGTGGTGAGCCACAAGGCTCTGAGAATTGGAGGGAGGGAGAGGATCACTTGTCCCTCATCTCAGAGAGAATCCAGGTTGGCAAGAAGGTAGACACTGGAGACATTGTGTTTGCACCAAAAGCAAAGAAACATAAAAAGAAGAAGCACAAAACAGGTAGTGCCACTTTCTATGGTTGCTACTGGCGATGAGGTTTAAGCAATAACAATCGACATGACAAATATGAATCAAGACTTTGATAGGGCTTTGAACTTTTGTTTTTAAAAGGGAAAACTTTGCAGTTTGAATTAATTCCAATACTTTTAGGCATGGTTAATCACAAATGGAAACCAAAATGAAATTTGACAAGTGAAAATTAGTGGAAAACAGATGATAAGGAATGATAGGGTGATATTTCAACAATCAAGTCGGCACCTTATCTGCCTAATTCTACCTCTGATTTGTTAAAGATATAACTCAGCTTTTCTGTCTGTTTTAATTACTGTGTCCACAACTTAATCTATAAATAATTAGCAATACCAAAAATGCCCCCGGTTGTCTGCGCATGGTGTGGAATTGGACCACGGGCATCAGGTGGTTTAAACACCTGAACAGGGTATTAGTCATAAAAAGCTAGTTACAGACAATAATTGTTATTTTATTTATTCACAATGTTAAGATCTAAACAATGTATGCAATGTTGTTCAATTTTTCCTTATCCTGACTCATATTTTATTGCTTACCTCGGAAGTAAAGGGAGATAAGCAATAACACATGAGTCACGGTAAGTATAAAATATTTGTATCTGCCTTTGTTCGGGTTCGACAGATGTTTAGCTTCTAAGCATAACGAGACAGATGGGTGCTGCCACCAAGTCTACATATCAGCCACTGAAAGTATTTGTCACTCCCCACTGCATCACAGAATTTAGGCCAGACCATTAAACAAGTTTGGTTTGGAAACCGATTACAGAATGTGTAATTTCAGCAGTTTGCCTTTGAGATTTAAATACTTTCTATGAATGCTGTGAAGTTTTCTCTCGGAAATTCACATAACTCACCTTGTCCAGATACCATTATATCATTTATGTGCTGCCTTGATACGAAAAATCATAAGAGTTGGCTCAAGAAGGTCAGTGTGTGATCTCAGTTATAACCCTTATGTGTTGTAGTTCTACGCTGTGAATTTGTTGGGTATTCACTGGCCATGTTAGTTTTGCTAGAAATGAAATTAAGCAATATTATTGAGAAATGGGACATTACTAGACAACTCATGGTTCAAAATATGTATCTAGGTAACAAGGAGTGTTGTGGTGATCTAGCAGTAATGGTTCACTCTAAGGACCAGATTTCTGTTCTCCACATGGGAACAATACGTGGAATGTACTCTGGTGTCCCCTGCTGTAATTTATCTTGAGTATTGCCAAGTGAGTCACTTACTTAAACCATGTCCATTTTCCCTCTTGTTAAAAAGCAGAGATGTAACAGAATTAAAGAATTATCTCATTTGCTTCATCTTTTACTATGATGTTATTTATGTGCCTTTTTTCACTGCAGATAAGTCAGCAGTCAAGGAGGAGGATGCGATTAGCCAGAACTCTGACACAAGTCAAACCCTTGTTGATGAAACGGCAGACACAATCGATGCAGTAGAGGAGACAACTCCAAGCCCTGTGGACACACTGGAGATAGCAAATGAAATTTTGAAGAGGACAGCAGAGATGTTGAAGAGTAAATCAACTGAGGAAAATGATGAGGAAAATGTCGAGGAACAGGGATTTCAGGATGGTATGGACTCTCTATCTTCCATAGCCTCGGAGAAGACGATGTCCCTCAACAAGACCCCAGAAACTGCAACACCATCAAGTGAAGGGTCTGAGTTCAACCCTGCCAATGTGCCCTATACTTACAATGTAGATGAGAAAAGTCTGCCTGATGTCAACAACACCGACTACAAGATTCACCGTCTGGGGAAAATGGCCCGTGAGCTGTCATCTGGTTATGGTACTGATCCTGCTCCAAGTGTATCCGATGTCAGTGGAAGAGATCAGTCTCTCAGCTCAGGTGTTTTGTCTCCTGTGTCACCTTCCTCCGACCCCCTGAGAAGCAAAAGCAATCTCTACATGACCTCTGACACCTCAACGGAAGACTTCTACAAGAAATACATGTCTCAATCATCTATTGACTCCAACATCACCAGCCCAAGTGGTGTGAAACAGTCCTCCCCGGAACCAGAATCAGACCAGGCCTCTCCTGAAGATGTTCCACCTCCTGCCTCAGTAGCAGCTTTGGGAGCAGATGATAAGGTGGCAGCCGGAACTCTTCTCAAACTGGCCAACAGTTGGTCAGAAATCATCACACCAACCAATGTGTACAGCTTGGTGGTGTCTGAGACGCACATCTGGTTTACTGACAAGAGCGAGAACATCTACTACAGCTCTCTGAGTGGGGTCAAGGGGGTTGTGTGGCGGAAGGCAAGCGGTCAGGCCAAGCAGATTGCAGTGTCCAGCAGTGGCTCCATCGTGTGGCGACTGCAGAAGTCCACAGTGTATGCCGGAACCAAGCTGAGTTCTCGACGTCCCGAGGGGCTGAAATGGGTGGACGCTGTGAAGGATGTCAGCTACATCAGTGTGGACGACAACTGTGCTTGGTGAGATACGGCTTATATCATATCACCTTACATCAAATTACTTCAAAGATAGATATACTTTTTCTAAGACAGTACAGTACATATTTTTTTTCTGGGCTGAAGAAAAGTATGGTTTGTTTCTTTTGTTTATGAGTGTTTAAAGTGTTTTTAATGTTGTTAGTACACCATCCTTGAAAGTAATGTATGGATAACTGAACATCCTTGAAAGTAATGTATGAATAACTGAACATCCTTGAAAGTAATGTTTGAATAACTGAACATCCTTGAAAGTAATGTATGAATAACTGAACATCCTTGAAAGTAATGTATGGATAACTGAACATCCTTGAAAGTTATGTATGAATAACTGAACATCCTTGAAAGTAATGTATGGATAACTGAACATCCTTGAAAGTTATGTATGAATAACTGAACATCCTTGAAAGTAATGTATGGATAACTGAACATCCTTGAAAGTAATGTATGAATGAATAACTGAACATCCTTGAAAGTCATGTATGAATAACTGAACATCCTTGAAAGTCATGTATGAATAACTGAACATCCTTGAAAGTAACTTTTAGATCTGCCTATCTCTCATCTGGTATATTGTGATTTCAGTTTTGAATGCAGGTTATATATTTTAAACTTTCATGTGAGCTACAGTGGCCTATTCTCGTCAGATCATCCTGACCGATTGTGGCATGACACATTCTCCATTCGTTCTGCTGCAGGTATATCAAGACCAATGGTGATGTGATGATGCAGAAAGGTTTGTCTGCGGAGCGGCCGTGTTTCAAGTCCCTGAAAGTTGACGGCAATGAACGTCTGAAGTTGATCATGTGTCGTGGTCATGTGGTGTGGGGTATTACTGAGAACCACAAGGTCGTGTACAGGTCAGGGGTCACTGAAGCTTGTCAGGAGGGAACAGAATGGAAGAAATGGAGGTGAGAGATTGTTACAAATCTAAATTAATTGTCCAGCCATAAATTAGATCACTAGTAACCTAAGTCATGGTATGGTACTATATATGTATCTAGGGTGATACTATATGCATCATTATCTTTAGGGGCGGTGGGGTAGCCTAGTGGTTAAAGCATTCATGTTGTGTTGATTGTTTCCTGTTTCAAAGACCAGGTTCGAATCCCTACACCTGGTGTCCCCTGCTATGATATTCCTGGAATATTGCTCGCAACTGCAATCTTTCAAAAACAGAACAACCTTTTTCAAAGATGTCTACACTAAACACCCTGCATTTTATACAGAATTAGCATATCTATTTTACCACTGAACTGACCAACCAATATAATTTGAAGCCAAGTCAAATACTATATGTTTTTTACAAATCTAAATTAATTGTCCAGCCATAAATTAGATCACTAGTAACCTAAGTCATGGTATGGTACTATATATGTATCTAGGGTGATACTATATGCATCATTATCTTTAGGGGCGGTGGGGTAGCCTAGTGGTTAAAGCATTCGCTTGTCATGCCAAAGACCCAGGTTCAATTCCCCACCTGGTGTCCCCTGCTATGATATTCCTGGAATATTGCTAAAAGTGGCGTAAAACCAAAAACTCACTCACTTGCTCACTCATTATTATCCCCACGCAACGCGTTTTGCGAGGGGGTTATTAAAATGGACTCGGTCCATGCGTGCGTAGTGCTCTTTTCCAGAGCTGAACTCTAAAACCGTTCAATATTTCTTCACCAAACTTGGCACATAGATAGATCTGGTGGTGTACTGGTGCCTTTTGGTAGTTTTGGAATTCTGAATCAAATATTTTTGGCATTTCCATGGCAACAATTTCGACTTAGACTGAAATTAGTGGTAGTGCTCTTTTCCGGAGCAGAACTCTAAAACCGTTCAATATTTCTTCACCAAACTTGGCACATAGACAGATCTGGTGGTGTACTGGTGCCTTTTGGTAGTTTTGGAATTCTGAATAAAACATTTTTGGCATTTCCATGGCAACAATTTCGACTTAGACTGAAATTAGTGGTAGTGCTCTTTTCCAGAGCTGAACTCTAAAACCGTTCAATATTTCTTCACCAAACTTGGCACATAGATAGATCTGGTGGTGTACTGGTGCCTTTTGGTAGTTTTGGAATTCTGAATCAAATATTTTTGGCATTTCCATGGCAACAATTTCGACTTAGACTGAAATTAGTGGTAGTGCTCTTTTCCAGAGCTGAACTCTAAAACCGTTCAATATTTCTTCACCAAACTTGGCACATAGATAGATCTGGTGGTGTACTGGTGCCTTTTGGTAGTTTTGGATTTCTGAATAAAATATTTTTGGCATTTCCATGGCAACAATTTTGACTTAGACTGAAATTAGTGGTAGTGCTCTTTTCCGGAGCAGAACTCTGAAACTGTTCACTATTTCTTTACCAAACTTGGCACATAGATGGATCTGGTGGTGTACTGGTGCCTTTTGGTAGTTTTGGATTTCTGAAAAAAATATTTTTGGCATTTCCATGGCAACAAGTTTGACTTAGCCTGAAATTGGTGGTTGTGCTCTTTTCCAGAGCTGAATTCTAAAACCGTTCACTATTTCTTCACAAAAAAAGGCACATAGATAGATCTGGTAGTGTACTGGTGCCTTTTGGTAGTTTTGGATTTCTGAATAAAATATTTTTGTCATTTCCATGGCAACAAGTTTGACTTAGCCTGAAATTGGTGGTTGTGCTCTTTTCCAGAGCTGAATTCTAAAACCGTTCACTATTTCTTCACCAAACTTGGCACATAGATTGGTCTGGTAGTGTACTGGTGCCTTTTGGTACTTTTGGATTTCTGAATCAAATATTTTTGGCATTTCCATGGCAACAAGTTCGACTTAGCCTGAAATTGGTGGTAGTGCTCTTTTCCGGAGCTGAACTCTAAAACCGTTCACTATTTCTTCACCAAACTTGGCACATAGATAGATCTGGTGGTGTACTGGTGCCTTTTGGTAGTTTTGGAATTGTGAATAAAATATATTTTTTCTTATCCTGACTCATGCTTATTTGCTTGTCTCCTTCTTCTGGCGAACCTAGTGGAACACTTGTATCTCCCAATTGAAGTTCCCTTCAATAAAAAATCACTCATTAGTACTCACCACGAGTTACCTCCCTTCTGCAAGCGTGGGAACGAGGGCGCCACCCAAGCCCATGTGCCTCACTCTCTCCTTCTTTGCCCAGTGAGCTGGACGTGAGAGCGCCTGTGTCTCCCAACACACTATATCCTTTATTTATATTTAGTTAGTTCCTCTTATACGTTAGTATAGAGGTATTACTAGTATATTTATTCAATTTGCATTGATTATTAATTGTGTTTCTGCTGTTTATTCACGCTTCGCCGTGATTGTTCAGTAGGCTACATTAATGAAAATTTGCACAGAATGTAAACTACGTTATTCTGATACTGATCCACATTTAAAATGCCCTAGTTGCATTACTCCATGTTCCTTTGATTCTCGTTGTAAATTGTGTATCAATTTACCAATCTCTGCCTTTGACAAATATTTATGTTCCGTTTATAGACGGAAGGCAGATAAATCTCGTAAACAGATTTCAAACATGGCTAATAGATCGCAAATTAATGTTCCTTGTCAACTGTTGATTGAGGACACGCCACCGGCTGGTGGCATGCCTGAGTTTCCCTCGGCGGATAAGCGTGGGACGCAGTCCGCTATGTCCAAGAAGCGACCTGCATCTCAAGAGCTGCCGTCTTCTCAGTCCAAGTCGAGGAAACCAGCCGTATCATCTCGTACACTGCGTACACCAAGATCTACACCTTCATCTAAAGGGAAGTCAACAAAATCTAATAATTTTGCCTCTGATATCTTACCAGTTACAGAATTAGCATTATATGATGATGATATGCCAATTATCATTCCAGAAGTTCGTCACAAGAAACGGCCCGTTTCTGCGACTGTCACCTCAGCGCAGATGAACACACAACCGGACATGCCGACACTATCACCAGAAATTTTATCTGAGGGTCCCGTCACCTCTGCAGAGAGACATCCCTCATCAAAGCAGACCGCTTCAGACGACTTGATCAACCAGATAATCAGGGTGATGGAAGATCGCTACGGCTTACAGAGGCCTCAGAGCCACGGGCCTCAGAGCCCACCCCATATTAAGTCATACAGGGCCTCACAGCCCGCCTTGGCTTCGCGTAGGGCCTCTGAGCCCATAGACGCGCTTACGCGAAGGGCAACCCTGCCCGGAGTGAGCTCTTTGCATAAGGTATCCCAAGCCGCCTCCGCGAAGGAGCTAGAGCCTCACCTTTTGCAAGAGGCTTCGCGGAGAAGGAGCGCTTCGCTGAGCACGCACCTTGTCATGCACGAAGGGCGTTCGCAAAGCAAGCGCTCATATATCGGATCGGACACGGACTCCAGACATTCGCGTAGGACGCGAAGGCTAAGTGGTTCTACATCGCCTAGAAGGCGTTCGCGTAGCCCTCAACATTCGAGAAGTCCAGAGCGTCTGCGAAGCCATCACCGTTCACGAAGCCAACAGTCTCCGCGAAGGATGTCTTCTCCAAGGTCTACATACACTAGCCACTCGTCAGTCCGTTCTCCTCAGTCCTCACATAGATCTTCTTACAGATCGAGGACTCCGACATACGACCATACGTCAGAGGAGGACGATGGTATCATTTTCTCAGAGGCTGAGATAAGGTATTGGATGGTAAACGAATTACAACTGGCCTCCCCCTCTAAGAACGAGGATGCAGCCCAAACTTACCTGATGAAAGATGATGATGTAGATCATATCACCGTGCCTCCTATGGATCCTATCGCAGCCGTTCCTGCTAAACTGGATACAGCCTACTCCAAATCTACTAAAACCCATCCTACCCATTTACCGTTCTTCAATGCCAAGAGTTTTTATTGACATAATATGGAGCCCTTTTTCAAGACTCAGGAGATTGATGAAAACTTTAAACTTATCAGTGATTCCAAGTCCAGAAGTTATAGGGTAGACGATCACAAGATGGCCCAGTTAGATACCATTTCCAGAAGGATGTTCTTCGGACTTAATAGATCTAGGACTATTAACGAGACTCTCCTCACTAAGTTCAAGAGCTCTACGGATGAGGAGGACAGGATGATCTATTCAGCTCTACTTATGCAGAGAAAAGATCAACAATTCCTCACAGACCATCTTTCAGCACTTACTGAAACTACTACCATGACACGTCGGCAAGGATTACTAGCCTCCTGCTCTTGGAATAAACAATTCACAGAGCCCCTGTACACAGCTCCATGGTCTTCACCTTTACTGTTTGGTGGCAACATTAACAAGGTTTACAAGGAAGTATCTAAAGATTCTAGAGAAGTACTCATGATTAGATCGATGGATCGTTAGCTTAACGATCTTTAAACAATCAGCACAGAGGTACTCGGGTAAGTCTAAGTTTTCAGGGCTACAGAGAGCACGGGATAAGAAATTAGCGGCCGCTAATAATCCCAAGGATTCTTTTCGTCGCCCGTACAACAAGTTCAGAGGAGGATCAGCTAGAGGCAGATCATCCAGAGGTGCCCGTGGATTTAAACGATGAAAGCCAGGTTCGGAACGACTGGAGTCTTCCACCCCCAGTCGTCCCAGTACAACCTTCTCAAGTGGGTGGACGTCTACAACTACACTGGGAAAACTGGGGAATACTTCAAGATCCGTATGTATCCAACATCCTTCAGTACGGATATCGTCTACAACTCAAGGCCAAGCCACCGTTAACAGTCAACCCACCAGGGTTCAACATTCATTTGGCACAACTACCGATGTTAAGAGAAACAGTTCAGTCTCTACTAAACAAACAGGCCTTAGAAGTTCTCGATCAGCGAAACATCATACCAGGTTTCTACTCCCCAGTTTTCCTAGTGCCGAAAAAGAATTCCAAAGAGAAGTATCGCCTCATTTACAACATGAGCACATTCAACAGAGAATTTCTATGCAAACCACCAGCGTTTCGCATGATACATTTACCTCAACTCCGTCATCTGATTCGTCCACTAGATTACATGGTAAGTATAGATCTGCAGGACGCATGCCTACACATTCAGATTCATCCCAGTTCAAGGAAATATCTGAGGTTTATGCTAGACGGCATACACTACCAATGGAAAGTACTTCCCTTCGGAATCACTGCGGCCCCATGGGTATTCACAAGAGTAACCAAGCCTATTGTCTCATACCTACATCGTCAAGGACTGCGGAATGCATTTTACCTAGACGACGGTATACAGGTGGATCTAGATCCGCAGCGTCTAAGACTACAGCTGAACTTTACAATCAAGCTACTAACGCAGTTAGGCTGGTTAGTAAATCTACTCAAGTCGGACCTAGAGCCCACGCAGGATCTGCAGTTTCTAGGTATACGATTCCTTACAGCTCAGAATCGTATGGTAGTCCCGGAGGACAGATGGATCAAGATACAACAACTGATCCCCCAAGCCCTACTCTCTCCGTTACCACTACGACAGTGGCAGAGTCTACTGGGACTACTCACATCAGCTCAAGACTTGACAATCAGAGGCAAGCTTCAATTGCGTCCATTACAAGTCCTCATCAATGCCCATCTCGAGGACCCTCTACCATTCAGTCTACCAGATTACGTCAAACCACATCTACTCTGGTGGACCAAGAGATTGAATGTTTGCGCAGGCGTCTCCTTAGAGAGCCGCAATCGAAAACACATCTCTACGTGGACGCGTCACTAAAAGGTTGGGGAGCCCACCTTACCGGCAGGACAGCGTCAGGCCTTTGGAGCATTCAAGAGAGCTTATGTCACATAAATCTGCTAGAGATGCAAGCAGTCATAAACGCCATAGGTCACTGGAGCAACCTGTTACAGAACGCTCAGTTAATGATTCACACAGACAACTCAACAGTGGCATTTTATGTGAACAAACAAGGGTCAACAAGATCACTGAATCTACTCACTCGATGTTTCAAACTGTTCGAATTAGTCGACAGTCTAAACATACGTATCAAAGCCTGCCACATTCCAGGAGCAAAGAATGTGTTAGCAGACGCTCTCTCGGCCAGCTTCAACCGTCGCGCCGACAGAATGGATGCTCCACACAGAGATATTCAATCAGATAATCATGGAAATAGGATCTCCTCTCATAGACCTATTTGCCACCCGATTCAACAATCAACTGACAACCTTCCGTGATCGCCAGTGCCAGATCCATTAGCCTGGGCAACGGACGCACTAAGCATATCGTGGGAGGGACTAAACGCGTACGCTTTCCCGCCTCCTGCGTTAATCCCACAAGTCTTGCTAAAAATCAGTCAAACGAAGAGCCTCGATCTCATTTTGGACTCGCCTTACTGGCCAGCGAGAACGTGGTTTCCAGACCTCATACTAGGAATCGGAAAACCAGTACTTCAGCTCCCACTACGCTCCAATCTACTGATACATCCGCACACCAAACAAGTGCACAAAACACCAGAAGCATTCCGACTTCACGTGTGGATTGTATCAAGGCATGTTTGAATAAGAGAGGTTATTCCACCAGGCGGCGAAGGCGGTCACGCTTTGCACTACGTAACTCTGCACATCCTGGCAATGCGATGACAAATGGCTCAGATTTGTCAATTATGCTGCTAAGAAAGGATTTTCAGCCAGATTTGCTACACATCCTCAAGTGGCAGATTTCTTATGTTTCCTACGTCAAACTAAGAATCTAAAAGGATCTACACTGTCCACTTATCTTGCAGCCACAAGTTCAGTCATAACTATGAGAACGGGCGTCAAATTGACCAAAACACCGGAGTTACTCGGCTTTGTTACTTGCCTTTTCGATTGGAAGACCAGAAGCGGAAGTTTCAAGCGCCAGCCTGGGATCTAAATGTTGTACTTCAACACCTCACAAGTGAGGCTTACGAACCATTGTTATCTGCGTCATTTCAATCATTGACCCACAAAACCTTATTCCTGCTAGCGTTAGCTACTGCCGCCAAGATGTCTGAAATTCACGCTTTGGATTACGAGAGAACACGATTTGATGATATTCATAACATCGCTCATCTGGGACTTCGCTGGGATTTTATAGCGAAAAATCAACTACCAGGTCAACCAGACAGGTTGTTCCATGTCCCAGCTCTCTCATCCATACTTGGACCGCAGGATACGATGGACTTATCACTTTGCCCTGTACGTGCACTGAAAATATATCTCCAAAGATCCAAGCAAAGTAGAGGGAAATTCAAAAGATTGTTTATCCCTATATCTACCGCCTCACAGACAGAAGTGTCGCGCACTACCATTTCTATTTGGATCAGAACTGTCATACTAAGAGCCTACAAGGCAGCTGGACTGGACCCTCCAAGTGCTGCTAATCCTCACGAAATTAGAGCACTAGCTTCAACTTTGGCTTTACATGGAAATTGCTCATTGAATACCATTATGGAGGGATGGGTTTTGGAGATCCGATATGGTGTTTGCCAACGATTATCTGAGAGATATCACCACCAAGGACGTCTCAGGTATCCACCATTTCGGTCCCATGGTCCTTGCTCAACAGTTGACAGTTCCACGGAGAAGATAAGTCTATCTTGTTGATTTTATACTTATCTGATAACAGTACTAATAGGTACATGCTATCTATATATATTTGCTTAAGTTAAAATATTATCTTAAGCTCAGTACTATGATTCTATATCATAATATATATATACCTACAACTCTTACGAGTTTCTACTATTATATATATGTTCAGCTTAAGTTTCTATCCTTAAGCTCGGTCATATGTTCATTTCATAACATGTATTAGTATCAAACTCTCAGTAGTTGGTTACTATTATACAGCTTAAGTTATCATTATATCTTAAGCACAATTATGTTATAGCTTATATATATCCATATTGTAAGCTTACTACTTTGTTTCTTATAAAAGTATTCATTATAAACTCTCAACAGTTTATACTATCACATTAATGGCTTTAGCTTAATTAATGTTCTATATACTTTTATTATATTCAGTAAATTGTAATAACCTTCTTTTAAAGGCAGCTGTTAAATTAACAGCAGGAATTTAGTTCAGTGCCTTCATGAAGTTCCCAGAGGGTTTTACAATCATCTCAGTTCAAATCACTAATTAGTAAAAATCCAAAGTATATATAATCCCACCTCCTAATCCGTAGGATTCTACAAGCAAATAAGCATGAGTCAGGATAAGTAAAAATATGAAATTTTTAGAGTAAAATTAATATTTTTATATTCTTATCCTGACTCATGAGGTAAGCCCTCCCGTCCTCCCCACTTAACACTTTGGATTTCTCGGGAAAAATAAAGTGTTGGGCTCAAAACAAAAAAGGAGAGAGTGAGGCACATGGGCTTGGGTGGCGCCCTCGTTCCCGAGCTTGCAGAAGGGAGGTAACTCGTGGTGAGTACTAATGAGTGATTTTTTATTGAAGGGAACTTCAATTGGGAGATACAAGTGTTCCACTAGGTTCGCCAGAAGAAGAAGACAAGCAAATAAGCATGAGTCAGGATAAGTATAAAAATATTAATTTTACTCTAAAAATTTCATTTTTGGCATTTCCATGGCAACAATTTCGACTTAGACTGAAATTAGTGGTAGTGCTCTTTTCCGGAGCAGAACTCTGAAACTGTTCACTATTTCTTTACCAAACTTGGCACATAGATAGATCTGGTGGTGTACTGGTGCCTTTTGGTAGTTTTGGATTTCTGAATAAAATATTTTTGTCATTTCCATGGCAACAATTTCGACTTAGCCTGAAATTGGTGGTTGTGCTCTTTTCCAGAGCTGAATTCTAAAACCGTTCACTATTTCTTCACCAAACTTGGCACATAGATTGGTCTGGTAGTGTACTGGTGCCTTTTGGTAGTTTTGGATTTCTGAATCAAATATTTTTGTCATTTCCATGGCAACAAGTTTGACATAGACTGAAATAGGTGATAGTGCTCCTTTCAGGAGCAGAACTTTAAAAAACCCTTCAATACTCTCCTTCCACTTTTCTATATACACACCTTAATATTTGACATAATCATAACTCGTAGACATGATCATGAAGAGTATTTTGTCATTGCGGGGGATATTGATGACTTTGTCTTCTTGTTTTTATAATATGGTCCTGGTCCAGGTAAATATCCCAACACGAACTGAACTCGACGTTCTGGTGATTTCGACGATTGCATTGCACGCGCTATATCAGGGGAGTAAGTGTGCGATCGGAGTGCACAAACAGTTTCACTGGTAGGGTGGGTGCCCAGTCACTGTCGTGGGAAGTTTTATTGACAATGGAAATCGGGAAGTAAAGTTATATAAAAAGCAAACAAACATCAATATTAGTGACCCGAGATCGTTAATACCACTTACGATGCAAAATAGCAAGCGAAAATTCAGTTAGATCAGTCGTCTGCTGGTGACAGGCAATATATAAATGGGAAGCCACGTGATCACAACACTCCCTCGCAGATCGGAGCAAAAAGTATGGCTCATCGTTGTAAACCCATACAAAATACCCGGATGTTACGAGCGGCAACAGTTTCGCCAATACGATGTCATCAACGCTATTTTTGTAGGGAACACTTGATATTTTTGTGTGAAATAGATGAATATATCCTTTATCACTCAAGGTTAGTGAAATAAAAACTTTAAATGATATTACAGATAAAAAATACGCTTTTGTCTTACATCGTCAAAAACCCCTGACACCGGGATATAATTGCAACATCAGTACCTTTCATAATGTCAATCATCTTCAAGTGCTGCAGACGACATACTGTTTTCACACATCACTCTTGGAGACGAAGGAACTGGATGGGGTGTGGATGTTGTCGGCCGCATCTGGTTCTGTTGCAATATTACCATGGCAGCACCTTGTGGAGATGGGCACTGGTGGCAGGTTAGTTTAAGCTCATGAGGTGATTCATCTTCAGTTCAGAAATATGGTGTCCCCATTACAGAAGAAGAATGAGGACAATTTTTATGGATATATAACTTCTTTATTCTGTATAGGTGACATTTCAACAGATTCTAATGGCAGGCATAGGCTTCCGTCGCCTATACAAAATAAAGATGTTGGACATCCATAAAAATTGTCCTCATTCTTCATCTCCTCAACTTCTAGATTGTCAATCAAAGAAGTCCATTACAGAAGGCATAAAAAAGGAGATAAAATTGAGATCAGTTTGCCATTGACTCCAGGACCCAATACAACCACTTAGCAACCAATACAGTCACTGAGTATCCAATACAACCTTTGGAAACAACCACTGAACATCTCTACAAACTCAGTCTGAGTGACAAATACAATCCCTGAAACAGCAAATAGATTAACTGAACCACAAATAGAGAAGAGAACGACAAATAACAACTGAAACACCAGTTAAACCACTGAAAAAATCACTCAACCAGAGATACATCACCAACAAATACAACCACACAACAATAAATACAACCACACAACAACAAATACAACCACACAACAATAAATACAGCCAATGAACAAGCTGGTAAACAACATCTTGATAGAGCGGCGCCTCATAATGCCCACCCGCTCATCAGTAATGCAGCAATCAATACACTTTCAGTCTTAGCTTGGACCTGCTAATCTTTATCCTTCCAACAAAGTCAAACCAGTTGAATCAGTCTGGTGCTTCAAGCCTGTCCAAGTGCTAAAGATACAAGTCGATATGTTACACATTTTCAGATATAGTATTATTTTCATATGATTCATTAATACAATATTCAGTTTCTCTCGCTCTTTAGGAGTGTGTGCATAATACATTCAACCAAATGTATCTTCAGTTTTCGTTTATGCTTGGAGACATTAAACATGATGAGTTTTTCCTCCCAGGTGCCCATGAGCGAGTATTTTGTCCAGGATGCCACAGCACTTGATACCCTGAAATCCCTGGCCAGCAAGTTTGACCCCCAGAAATTATCTTACTTACTGAGCACCAGTCGAGGAGGGCTGATTACTGCTGGGCCCCAGGGAGTGTGGGTGTGCCTTGAGTACAAGAACATCCTCCATGTCTGCAGAGGCAGCTTCCAGGGTAGGTACAAGAACATTCTCCATGTTTCCAGGGTAGGTACAAGAACATTCTCCATGTCTCCAGGGTGGGTACAAGAACATCCTCTATGTCTGTAGGGTGGGTACAAGAACATCCTCCATGTCTCCAGGGTAGGTACAAGAACATCCTCCATGTCTACAGGATGGGTACAAGAACATCCTCCATGTCTGTAGGGTAGGTACAAGAACATCCTCCATGTCTACAGGATGGGTACAAGAACATCCTCCATGTCTACAGGGTAGGTACAAGAACATCCTCCATGTCTGTAGGGTAGGTACAAGAACATCCTCCATGTCTACAGGGTAGGTACAAGAACATCCTCCATGTATGTAGGGTGGGTACAAGAACATCCTCCATGTCTGCAGGGTAGGTACAAGAACATTCTCCATGTCTGTAGGGTGAGTACAAGAACATCCTCCATGTCTGTAGGGTAGGTAGAAGAACATCCTCAATGTCTGTAGGGTGAGTACAAGAACATCCTCCATGTCTGTAGGGTAGGTAGAAGAACATCCTCCATGTCTGTAGGGTGAGTACAAGAACATCCTCCATGTCTGTAGGGTGAGTACAAGAACATCCTCCATGTCTGTAGGGTGGGTAGAAGAACATCCTCCATGTCTGTAGGGTGAGTACAAGAACATCCTCCATGTCTGTAGGGTAGGTAGAAGAACATCCTCCATGTCTGTAGGGTGAGTACAAGAACATCCTCCATGTCTGTAGGGTAGGTACAAGAACATCCTCCATGTCTGTAGGGTGGGTACAAGAACATCCTCCATGTCTGTAGGGTGGGTACAAGAACATCCTCCATGTCTGTAGGGTGGGTACAAGAACATCCTCCATGTCTGTAGGGTGGGTACAAGAACATCCTCCATGTCTGTAAGGTGTACAAGAACATCCTCCATGTCTGTGGGTACAAGACCATCCTCCATGTCTGTAGGGTGGGTACAAGAACATCCTCCATGTCTGTAGGGTGGGTACAAGAACATCCTCCATGTCTGTAGGGTGGGTACAAGAACATCCTCCATGTCTGCAGGGTGAGGTACAAGAACATCCTCCATGTCTGTAGGGTGAGTACAAGAACATCCTCCATGTCTGTAGGGTGGGTACAAGAACATCCTCCATGTCTGAAGGGAAGGGTAGGTACAAGAACATCCTCCATGTCTGCAGGGTGAGTACAAGAACATCCTCCATGTCTGTAGGGTGGGTACAAGAACATCCTCCATGTCTGAAGGGTAGGTACAAGAACATCCTCCATGTCTGTAGGGTGGGTACAAGAACATCCTCCATGTCTGAAGGGTAGGTACAAGAACATCCTCCATGTCTGCAGGGTGAGTACAAGAACATCCTCCATGTCTGCAGGGTGAGTACAAGAACATCCTCCATGTCTGTAGGGTGGGTACAAGAACATCCTCCATGTCTGTAGGACAGGTAAGAAAAACATCGCTTTCGACTTTGGCATTCCAAAATCCACTCTCAGTTCCATTATTAAGAATCACGAATCTATTCTATTGTTAAACGCAGTTAAGTTATATACAATGTATTGTTGAGATTGTTGTGATTGTTAAACATGTTCTAGCTAATGTCAGTGAATGATAAATTCAGAATTTTAATGTTATGTCAATGTACAAGAATAAAGATTTGTAGCCTCAGCATATACATGTCTCTACATCTCTACAATCCAAGATGGCGGTTAAATGTGTATAACGATCAACGGATATAGCGAATTAAATTTCTTGGTCCTTGGAGTTCGTTATATCCATGTTCTACTGTACTTTGAAACCTATGGATAATAATTGGTTATTTGCCAAGTGTTTTCACTGTATGCTGATGCTGTGTTGCAGGCTACAGATGGGAAGATGCCCACCCACTTGGCATGGTTGCCAGTGCCACATGGAAGACTGTGTCTGCAAATGTGGCGGATCTAGACTGGGGTAGGTCCTCGTAAGGCTTCATGTGGCCAGTTTGTCTGTTTGTGTTTGTTGTATCTCATTGTACAGTGAAGGAGTCCCAACTGACACCTGAACTTTCCTAATGAAATGGTTTGCAGAATAGTACACCATTTTTTACACTGGGACTCTGATCAGTTGAGAAATATGGGCACCCAATTTCAATAGTAATGTGCCGCAGTCGATAACGTCCTTTAGTATATTTTGTGACATCATCATCCATTAGACAGCATTTCTGTAATACTGATAACACTCGAGTCACTTTATCACTTGTTATTCCAATAGATATGTTCTATTATCCTACCTCATGTAAGAATCTGCATCTCTGATTGGTTAACGTGACCTTGAACAAATGATCATGTATGCCCAGTGCACAGACAGTCACCGCCCAAGCAGGGTATAAATCATTGCAAGGGAGAATAAATTATTTATACACCGCCCCATGGAAAAAGTATGCATCCACGGCAGTCAGTGAACCGTGAACCAGTGGTTCAGATCGACTAGTCAGTACTATGTTAGTAAAATATCTGATTGAGTTTGCTTTAATGTTATATTTACATTATGAGAGATTTAAACATTTGGTAAGATACAGTTGTTGTAGCATTATGATTCGGGGAATTCAGAATTTTATGTGTCCCTCGTTAGGGAGGCTCGGTGGATAAAAATTAACACACACAAATTAAAACCCTGTATAACCCTCATCACAATGATATAACATACAGTATGTCATTTATCTTGCAACTAACATCTTCTTCCAGGCCTGGTATGGGCCCAGCAGCCAAACCAGGAGCTGTATGTGTTCCCTGCCAACACCAGGAAAGCCACACTCATTTCTCCGTCACCAATGTTCAAGTCCATGCATGCCGGACCTATTGCTGTGTGGGGACTGGACAACGATGGCAATGTGTGGGTGAGGGCTGGGATGGGCCCCTACTGTCCCCAGGGGGCCACGTGGGCAGAGCTGGACCTGTCACAGCTAGGTAGGGCCTGGAATCTTGTGTAGGAACTTAATGTCTGTGGATATTTACCTCTTCAAGTTCATGTTTATGTACAATGATCCAAATGATGGAAACATTACACTCGTGCACATGAAGTGACATTTGCACTTATGCACATACCAATTTTATGTCATTTTCTTTCCCAATGGTTAATAAATGAGTGTTTTGTCAGACCATGTAGGATAGCTCTACCTATAGAATATCTACAGCAGCTCTAACCACTTTCAGTTTTTATATTGTGAAGTGAAGTGCCCCTAGCATCCCATTCCCTGTCCCCACCCACCTAACGTGCATCTCATCGACTGCTCCAGGTGACTCCCAGCTGATACACGTCAGCTGCAACAGTCAGTACGTGTGGACCGTGGACTGCAATGGTTGGGTGTACCAGCGTATCGGCGCCAAGGCTCCAACAGACCAGCAGCTGAGTCCTGCCTGGCTCCCCATCGACTCCTTCTCCGAGATCACCTTCACCCAGGTCGTCACGGGGCCGCTGGAGTGGATGGTGAGTTGAGTGAGTGAGTGAGTTGGGATATGGCCGCTGTGAATGTGGGAGGGAGAGCCTGAAGTGATGAAGGGTTAGATTTCTGGAAGCCATGTGAAGTGTATTGCTGGCTGATAAAAGATCACAGCAAATTTGGGAAAGGTGATTGGATCTTGGAAATGTTTCTTTCGGTTTGCATTATCTGAAGACATTTCTGGATGAATTTTCCTTTCATCAATCCCTAAGCAACAAAACATGAAGTGAGCTAACAAAACAGGTACAATGTTAGTTACATTTGATCAGTCCTTATGAGCCAAGATTGTATTTAAGTTAAAAGTGCTTACGAAAATGAATTATAGCTTCTGTATTGACAGTGTATATAAACAGTATTTGAGGGTGTTCTTAACTAGTACTTTATGCTGATTTGAAACCACTGGCTTTTACAGTTTGACTGTGGTTGCCACATTGACCTTAGGTTTGCAGAAGTCAAGGATACACCAAGGTCATGGAATGACATGTTTCACACATCTATAATTACCCCAAGGTCAACTGCAATGACATGTTTCACACATCTATAATTACCCCAAGGTCAACTGGATGCAGATGAACAATTGTCATCATTATTTTGCATTGAAAATAAGTTTACTGGAAATGGTGTATTCTGTAACCTTGTAACCTGTAAATTTTCAAAAAAGCTGATTTTATCAACAGGTATGGGCAATTGACAACCGTCGTCTTGGTTATGTGAGACAGGGAATTACAGATCGGATGCCAATTGGCCGAGAGTGGGTACATGTTCCAGGTAAATCAATATTGCTGTACGATACGCTGATCGAAAACCGGTATTTTGACATGCATTCGGAAAACTTTGTAACACTCGGAAATCTTCGGATATTTCCGTTTCTCACACCGGAAGTCAAGTTAAATTTGGTTTGAAGTTGTGTTCTTAATTGTTGCTCAAGTGTTTCGCAATCATTATGTTTTGGATCTGATCCCATGTTTTAAATATTTACTCATTATTGACCAGTGATTTCTGATATGGCCTGACCAGGTCAAGTTGCTGTCTAAAATCTCAGGGTTTTATTTTTGAGAGTGGAGAAACTAGTTCAAACTAGTAACCACTGTGTTGATGTTAAATTGTTCTTTTCCCTGCTTCACTTGTGCCAAATATTATTTATTTTGTCATGATTAAAAGTTTTATTAAAGCTTAATCACTTAATCAAGCATAGTGATTTTGTTGTGTTTTTGCTTTGTAAACCAAGCTTTAACTCGATTATAAATAGCTTTTTGTTAGAAAAGCATTTTTGCAATATATTGCAATACATATCGCAATATATGCTTTCGCATTGCAATATATCGCAATATGAAAATTCTCTGCAATACCCACCCCAAGTTTTGACAAACCCAGGAACATGTCCACAGCCAGCTGGGTTCGAACACGATCATTGATTTCTAACATGCTCAAAGGATGCAAATGTACAGGAAATGTTAGTGCCTTAGATTACTGGGACACCCATGCCTCCTGACGTAACTGAGCGGACCCATGGATGATCCCTCCTAATGCCTTGCTGTGTGATGGTCTGTAGGTACCCAGATTACTGAGCTGACCGTGACAAAGACGGGGGTTTGGGCCCTCAACCCCCACGGAGAGGTCCTCTACCGCTACGGCATCTCCCGGGACAACCCGTGTGGCAACTACTGGAAGAAAGTCCCTGGGGTCTTCGCACATCTGTCAGGTAGGCGAATAGAACAGATCAGTGGGTAGAAGTGATTAGAGCTGATGGATAAGTAGGGGTGAATAGAACTGATTGTATTAGTAGAAGTGATTGGAACTGATAGATTAGTACAGGTGATATAAACTGATGGAATAGCAGAGATGAATAGAGATTAAGGGTTAGTAGAGGTTATTAGAACTGATGGAATAGTAGAGGTTTGTGAATAATGCTGTTCTCATCTTACTCATGAGGATACAATGGTAAAGAAAATGATGCTTTGTTCAAGTAAATATGACATGTTAAACTTTAGACCACAAGTTCAATTGCTTATGTGAATACTTGTAAATAGCTCTCAGCTCTATTGATGATTGACTGAATTGAGATCAGTATCAGAAGACAGCCTAATGAACATATTGTTATAGATATACAAAATTACATGGAATATTTTGCACAATAAATCTTGTAAAGATAAGAAAGGAAGGAGGTTTTAAATTCAGCACTTCAAGATATGTGCATGGGCAACCCCTTTGTCACAAGTTTTGTCATCATCAGTGTTCGCACTCATTCATGACATCCTTGCCATTGCAGCATCTCCAACAGATGACCTATGGGCAATCAGTCGGGAGGGGCACCTGCTCCAGTGTCGCACCAAGTACTTCCAGCGTCGGCAGATATCTAACGACCCCCTGCTACACCGAACATTGTCTGGGGGTAGTGAGGGGGAGGGGGAAGGGGAATGGGAGCTGGTGTAAACCACCCCCTTACACCTTTGCACCTATACACAGACCAGGGATAAAGGGTTACCCTCAGATTTACTGTTACTGTCTCATGTCAAGTCTTTGTTTAGCTGACGGTGGTGGGTGGTACAGTGGCTAATGTGTTCGTGTTTCCACAAGATCCGTGTTTGATTCTTTACCTGGGAGGTCCCAAGTTGGTATGGCTGTAGAACCCTGACTGGATTTCATAAAAGCCAAAGAGGCAACCAACGGGAACGTTAACATAATGTCTGGCTCGCTGGTTTGGGTGATGCATGTCATCGTGTCCCAGTTGAGTAGATCGAGTCATCCTGATGTCAGTCACCAGATTGTCTGGCCATGGCTAGGTTATTTACAGACTCCACTCATATAGCGAAACTTTAAACTGACCTGACTCTATTCTATGTTAAATGGGACCCAGGCTCAGAGCCTGATAAGAAGATGACTACAGTGGTAAAGAATTCCAGTACATTGACTTTGTCTCACCGTAAACTGTTGGTGAAGGATTGGTCGGAGAACGATGAGATTAATTGATCATCACTTAACTAACTGAGACAAGCAGTTGTTACAATACACAGCCGGTGATTCATGTGATACCAAGTTCCTCATTATGTATTGAATGTTTTTAGTTGAATCTATGTATTTCAATCTTTAGATGTTGAGGCTTTATGTATTGAATATTAGACGTAGATTCTTTATAATCCAGCAAGCACGCCATGGCAATAGACATCCACATGTCAGTGTCCCTGGGAAGAGAAGATGCCTTCTGACAATACTCATTATATGCCTTTACAAAGTTGATGTCTATCCAAGTTGTTGAGTAAAGCTTTCAGTGTATTGGACATGCTAACTACAAAGGCTTTTTCATCTTTTCTAGATCACAATATTTCTACAATTTGTAAATAATTATGTATGAGTATATATGTGAGCATTTGCAAATCCTGTCTCAAGAATATAAAGAAATGGCACTTTTCTTTGGCCATCTTCTTGACATGGACTAGTCGTCCATGGATTTTGAAAACAATTCTACATAATTTCTGTATGGAATCAAACTTTCATTGATACTTGATATTTCAATTGGTCAAAGGACAGTAGGATAGTGGTGAATGTGTTTGCTTTTCCCAGGAGACCCAGGTTCAATTTCCCACATAAGGTGTGTAAATAAATATGTGAAACCCATTTCTGGTGCTGCCCATCATGACAATGTTGGAACATTGCAAAAAAGTGGCATAAGACATACTCACTGATTTCAGTTAGTCAAATAGCTCATGATGACTCCTCGGAGACTAACAGAACATATTAGTGGTTAGTATTGAACAATGGCGTTTACTGTACATCCATACTTATGGATGAATAGTTATATAAAAAAACTTGTCCAGATACATTATCTATATATTATATACCCAGCCAGGATTATCATATGACAGTGTGGACCATTATTTATAGGTAATGTTGATTCCAAGCCTCTCAAGGTACATGGGGTGGAATTCTTCAATAACATATATACTGAATAGGATAGAATTTGAAGCTACTGGGATAAAACCTTTCCACTTGCCATGTGATCTTTATCAAGCTCTTCTGTAATTGCTCATCTTCACATTTGACACTCCACGGGTAAGAGCATACTTAGAGGGCATTTATAGGTGGTTGTATGTTTTGAGAGCATTATAAGGAGCAGTTCTGTGCATACACATGTGTATGTTTAATGAGCTGTAGTTATTTCAAGCACTTGGAGTTGTTATGTATATTTGTTTTTGTATATCTGATTTATGTTATAATGTTATGTGGTGGAAGGTAATATATTGCTGAGATGTTTGTTGATAGAAAATTGAGTTATCAGGTTAAATTTGGATAAAGCAGTGCAATAGTCTCACGATTCATTTCGATTTACAAATGATTTGTTTATATACTTGAGTTTTCCTTCTGCATAGTAGTTTGTTTAAAAGGCCAGTTGACATGCTGGCTGCCATGTACATGTGATCTTGTTATCTTTACATTATTTCTCTGTAGATTATATATAGACCTTGCTAAAATATATGGACTGTTGAAGATAGGTTTTAATTCTTCGCGATACCCTTTGACATAAGACAATGTAACTATCTAAAGACTGAAGTGGCCTTATTCATTGTAATTGACAATACTGCCAGAATATAGGTTTTGGGGAGACAACTCTCCTGATCCTGCCAGATATAGGTGGTTGTGGGGAGACAACTCTCCTGATCCTGCCAGATATAGGTGGTCAAGCTCCTCTTATTGATGACCAGTTCACAAAGCTCTCTGTATTATGACTGCCACCAGTTACAGCTCCCCACGCTATGCTGGGCAGCTACAACCACCTGATCATATCTGTACAACTGTCGTGACAACAACTACTTTCCCCCCTTGGTAAAATATTTTATTAGTGATTCAGTCACAAACCTTTTCCCAGTTCACTATAATGATGTTTTCCTAAAAATACACATAGAAAAATTAATGTCACTACATTAAGGATTAGAGGGGTAATTTCAAGGACATGCTCATGGAGAGTGCCTAGTGTTAATGGGGAGACAACTCCAGGTGCTAGTGGTGGGAAGACAACTCCAGGCGCTAGTGGTGGGAAGACAACTCTTCTAGTACTGACCAATGGTGGTGGTGTCGGTGTCATGACAACTCTTCTGGTATTGCTACATGTGAGGTTGAGGTTAAATTGATGATTTACAAAATGGTAGTGCATGACAGGATTGCATTAATGTACTGTGTTCTAGGTCACTGTGTGTTGATCCTAGCTTCATGGATCTGGTTGCAGGTGAGCTTACTTGTCAGTTTTGATTTGTTATCTCAGTTACTGTGATATATCAACATATCCATGTCTGAATGTGTTTGTATATATTATATATATAATGTGTGCGTGTTACCATGGCATTGTTCATCTGCTGAAATACCACTTTCTGAACATGTTATTTTAAACTTAACAGAGCCTCCATTAATATGGGTCTCATACTTGAAACTGTAATTTCATCAAAAACTGCTGAGATAGATGTATGTTTATAACGTCAATGCTTTTCCTGTGTACCATAGATGTGGTTCTGTTACCTTGTTACTGAAGATACTGAAGACCATGCACAAAAACTTACCTTTGTTTAGTTTTGTATATGAAACTTTGTTATCCTGCCATTTTAGTTTTGACATTATCCCAGGCCTAGAATAATCCTAATATACTGAGAACTCTCCCTATATATGAAATATTTATAGATTTGTTTTAGACACCATTTGAAATATCACACGGTGTAAACCAGATATACTGTAATCCAACCATATCAAGACACCATGTCACTTCAGTATTTAAGTCCTTTAATACCCAGGCTTGCTTTGTTCCTGCTATTGTATGATGAAAATACCCTGCACACATTCACGTCCATAGCTTCATTGAGAAAGGCATGGTTCAAAGATTGCCATTTTACCCTGCTGAGCAACTCTGAGATGGGAATGATGATGTTACTTCCTGCACAAAACTACCATGAAGTAGGGTATGTATCAGAACAGGTATAATGCAGTGAATAATCGAGAATGGGTTTCTGCCCTTGACCTTTATTTCTTTGAGTGGCATATGTAGAAGTTGGTGAATATTGGTGAGTACTTGCAAGAACCTGTATCAAAACATCGCATCATCCGAATATAGAAGTTGTTCATCCATAAAGTTTGTCCTTATTTGACCTTTATTGTCTGAACTGAATGGAATCTCCCTCCACAATTGAGACTAGCATTCCACTGTTCAAATCTGGCCTGAAAATGCATCTATTCCTGAATGCCTTTCAAGATTCCTTGTGCACTTTGAGCATGCATTGTACATAGTAATGCACTTCAGTTGACCGTAATATCAAAATGAATAATATTGCAGTAACTGCGGTGCTGTAGAGTTACCAATATTGTTACCACACCTGTATTGTGTATTGTACTGTACTCTTGGTATAACTACATGCAATGTTGTCCCACAATGATCCCGGTCAGAACTCGTCCCCAGCAGCTTCGTGTTGTTGTTGAGTTACACTATTCCAGATTGGATGTATTTAAGTGATTACTTCAACTCGTCCCCAGCAGCTTCATGTTGTTGTTGAGTTACACTATTCCAGATTGGATGTATTTAAGTGATTACTTCAACTCGTCCCCAGCAGCTTCATGTTGTTGTTGAGTTACACTATTCCAGATTGGATGTATTTAAGTGATTACTTCAACTCGTCCCCAGCAGCTTCATGTTGTTGTTGAGTTACACTATTCCAGATTGGATGTATTTAAGTGATTACTTCAACTCGTCCCCAGCAGCTTCATGTTGTTGTTGAGTTACACTATTCCAGATTGGATGTATTTTAGTGATTACTTCACAAAATGTTGGAATGTGGCTTCCATTTCAACAGCTTGAATGTTCCAAGTGTTTTGGTTAAACATCATTTTATTTATCATGTGTTCATCCTTTTTGCAGAGGTTACATTACAAGAAATGCTTTCCAACTTGTAAAAATACCATTTCCTTACGTCATGAAACTGAGTTATTGGCAAACGCAAAACTGCCATTTCCAACATTTTGTACATCGTTCTGTTTTTATCATGAAATTCATATGCAGTTGAAAACATTTGAATTGACATGTGTATTTTATCATTCATGTGTAATTCTTAAACAATCATAATCAAGAAACAGGCAGTCTGTATGTTCTGTTTCTGGATGTGACCATATCTGGTTGTAAGAGTCATCTGTCCTTAGGTGCAACTAGTGTTACTAAGTGTTGCAAAACATCTCCTGACCGAGTTCCATGGTATAGAGTCAGTTGGGAACTTGGGAGTGTATCTACATGAGACTGATTCCCAATACTGACACAGCGTCAGAAGCCTTAGTGTTTGGGGATTGTCTGATCTGTTGGTGGTGGTGGATTTGTTGCAGATAACTAATGACAAGCACAACCCTGATAGTGATAGCCAGAGGATGATGTTAAGGTTAGTCCTGTGCCCCTAGGTTTACCGTGATATACGTAACAAGAGCCTGCCGATGGTCATGACTGTTACTGTGTGACAATGTTCTGTGATTGTTTATCTGTGATTTATGACTTGCTCTGCCAGCTGGCTGATGTTATCTGCTTTAATGCTTACAGTTGTATATTTTTATTATGGCAGGAATAAATTATTAATTCTGTTTTATTGACATGTTTCTGGTTCTTGTCTTGCTAGAAACAAATATATACTGCATGGATACCCACAGATGTAAAACATCATAATCCAATCATTTAATATGATTTTATATATCGGTCTGTGACTGAGACAAGGTCACATCAGTGAACCAATCACAACTTTCTGATCAGCCAGTGGAGATGCTCTATTTTTCCATACTTGCGGGAGAAGCAAGTAGAAAAGCATATCTTATTTCTGTATCTCATAAATGAAATGAAAAAGGCAGTTCTGAATGGAAAACAATAAAGGCAGACGTGTTCTTGATATGCTACAGCCGGACAGTGGTATGAAATAATTAGTGTTGCGTGTTTTCACTAAAACGTGTGACATTACAGAGGCATAATACCCTGCATATCTTCGAACATGATAACATGAAATAGCAGACTGACACAGATTCTAAAACAAAATCATATAGCAAAGATGATCTTTATTATATACAAATGTTCTGTCCATATTTTCATAAAAATAAATATAAAAGATACAATGGACGGATCTACATATCTGACAACATGAAGCAACAATAAATGAAAATATCACAAAATATCGAAAATATTGAAATGGAGTCACCATACAGAAACATGTAATATCAGTCGGTGATCTGAACTAAAACATGGATATGTTCTCCGCTGCAAAAACTGAATTCTAAATTTATAGATGAATCTATATTTAGGATATAGAAAGAAGTATAATGCTTCTTCCCTTTAACTCAATTACCTGGATCTTTTGGCTAGTATAGAGGGAGTTACCTGCCCTTCTCAGGGAACAAAATGGCAAAATATGTGAAGAGATTGAGAAATTTTAGCCATTTTTTTATTCAGCCAAATACAGACATACTTCTAAAAAAGATTACAACCATTACAACCTCTACAAACAGTCACACAAGCCTTACAGTGTTCATCTAGCAGCAAGTGGGCACCCGGTAGGAGGAGATGGTAATGTGGTCTAGTGCCTCAAGGGCAGATAGGGTTGTATACTCCCTATTGGTCTGAGAGACCCACTGATCCACTGGCTGGGGTAATAATGGTGTGATGCTTGGAGCTTCGTATGTGGAACACATCACATTACAAATACACTTTTTCTTCTTTTGAAAGCACATTGAACTCAGTCTGTCTACTGATAACAATGGAACTCATCTTCGATCACAACTGAATCAGTCTCATCAATAAGTAATATTTCAGGACGTGCTGCTGGCGTAGAGGACTGAACAGATTACTGAGTGAAAGGGTGGTGAAAGTGATGAGGCACATGGCAGTTGCTGGTAGGTTTGTAGGAAAGGGGGGTCAACCTTCTACAGCGGTCATCTGAAACACCAGACCAACACAAATACTTAATACAAATTGTATAGGACTGGGTGAGTATTTCCATTCTATCAAACCAGCCTCTCATTATGACACAAAGTACTCCCTCGAAGGGGGTATAGATGATGTGACAATCTGTACTTACATGTGTGTTTCTGGGGAGACAGTGTGGGCCGATGACGTTGAAGGCCACCTCCTGGAGGTTGAAGGGGGTGAAGACAATGTCTGAGGAGAGCAGCGCAGCCATAGCAGACTTCCGCTCCAACTTCTGTCTCCTGAACTTGTCTATCTCAGTATGGCGGGCCTAGTGTTTGGAGAGAATAGAGACTTCCAGTAAGGCCACAATGATCACTTGTAAATACATATAGCACTATGGGACTGTTCATAATGTATGGCCAGGGGGAGGTGATGATAATTTTTTATGGAGAAGCATGTATAATGTGAATGCCCCTCCCACCAAATTTATGTATGAAGTAAGTGACCCCCTAAATCTGCATGCCAAGTAAAAAATTAATGCCCCCCAACCCCTTTCCATAATTTTTAAGTATACTTTTTAAATATTTTTATGAACAAAATTGCTGACCCCCACCCCTGAATGCCATGTAAAAACTCAAATGCACCCCCACACACATAATTTAAGCATACTTTATAAATATTTTTATGTACAAAATTGATGACCCCCCCCAGAACAAAATGGGTGAAACCCCCTTAAAATCACCATCACCCCTCACTAGCCATAAATTATGAACGGTTCCCAAGCACTATATGAACAGGCAAATACAGACCAAGAAACTATGCCTAGATCATAACATAACATGAAGGTGTCTGGGAAATGGTGTGTGTTCTCCTTTCAGTGAACGTACACTTACACATGCTTGAGTAATGTTCCAGTGATCAGAATACTTGCTGAAGGTGTCAACCACCAATTTGTGATCTGAGTAATAACCTCATAAATGACTGAACTACTTGGCATGTACCTCTTCTATGTCTGTGTCGCCTGTGACGTAGTGAGGTAGTGTGGCGATGTTGACCAGCGGGTACACAGACTCGATGAACACCTGTTTAAATGTGTCCTTCATGAACTCATCGTCCCTCTGAAACACAGACAGCATGGGTTAGCAGTTGAGTTATCACACCGTCAGTACTCAGGCCAAGCTTTCTTTCTGGTTTATGCTTAAAGGCGAAAGAAACAGAAAGTCATCTGTCAGGTAATGATGTCACTATGTTTAACCCGCTTTTACCATTGTTTGGTAGATTAACCTTGTGTATGAACCACAGTTTGAATTAAAATGGCAATTTGAACTTTAAAAAGTCTGAAGAAAAGAAAACTTTTGAGATCTGACTTTTTTGCACATTCCAAAAATCAATCAAATCAAATAGCATTGCCTAATAGGGTGGTTTATATACAGTAAAGTTATTTAAATTAGCAATTTCTCAGATTAATGAGAGCTCAAAACCTCTTAAATCTAAATTGACTTGACTTGGTGTATAAGTTGCCAGTCCAGGGCCAGGGGGGGTTGTGTTGTTAGACTACTCACCCCTGAAATACTGAACTGTGACTACAGAGACGACTTGAGGTAGAGAGAGTTTGGCTTGAGGATATGTCCATATATGGTTAGATCAACAAGCACATGGTATAGTGCAGACAAACCAAGGATCATGAACTGGTTAATCTGGGATTCAAACACAGGATCCTTGCACATGTAAGGGATGCAACTCTGCATGTCAACTGCAACACCTTAGACTGCTGGGTGTCCCACCTTCAACGCACTGTGCTTCTCTAAATATTGTTAGCAAAAACAGTGTGATCTGAGTGTACACTTGTCCACAGTGTTCTAATCATTAGCTTAACTATAGACTTTGACAATACAATGTAAATAATCACGTCCTCCCCTGAAAATCCAGTGATTGATATTATGAACCATGATCATGTTATCTAGGTATGTTCACATGCTAACCAGTTGAACCAAGTCACCAAGCCTGACCGACTGAATCAGTACACAGCTTTATGTAACAAGCATTGGTTGCTTACACACTGACAGTGGTACTCTGAAACACAGGTGGCCAAAGGTACCATCAGTACGCTCAGTATAAAATCAGTGAGATAAAAGTGCAGTGTGGAATCTGAACAATGTTAGCAATGACAACACAAAACAAATGTCAGTTTCATTGCAATGTATAACAAACACTTGACCAGTGGTGACCACACTTACCTCTTTCTGAAGGAGAAAATAACACAGAAAATATGAATGAGAAATCAGAAGACAAGACTCGAAGCACAAAAATGACGATAATGATAAATGAAAGATAAAATGCCTGGAAATGTTATTTTAGAACAGCTATGTTTTTTCAATTTCCCAGGTTTTCTAGTATTATAACCTTGATCCACAAAAATATAAAGGATATATAATGCACATAATATATTAATAAATTATTCTTCAGTAATTTATTCCCTCAGTTTCCACATATGAAAAGGACAAGAGCAAAATAATTTTGTGATTTACAAATAATTTCTTGTTCCTCTTCGATGAATAGAATTTTGTAAAACAAGATATATTTGTCTGGACCAGCTGTGTGGTATAGAAGTTTCATTGGTCCGTCTTAGTAAACATCCAAAATTCCTTAATTGGTTCCTGTCACATTTCCCCGTCAAGATCCCACAACTATGCATGCAGAGTTTTACTCTAGTAAGGCTTTTACTGATATATGATACTATTGTACATGCAGCCCATGCACATGTTAGTGCTGCTACCATATACCCTCTGTGAAATATACATGGCATTAGATATTTGGATGAGCCAGTAGCAATTATTTCTGTTAACATATTACCGAGGCGACGGAGAGCTCCAAGACGTGTCTGACTGTATTTCACTTCTTCAGAAGCACTTATCCTACATCATTCACCTATCATCAACCTCACATCAACCTCCCTGTCTCCATCACCTCCCACAGCAACTCTCACCTACATCATTCACCTCATCATCAGCCTCACATCAACCTCCCTGTCTCCATCACCTCCCACAGCAACTCTCACCCACCTATGTGCACTGGTCCATTAAGTATCATTTCTTTGACAAGTCTTTGACAAGTTTTAAGACATGTTTTATCTGAAGCCATTACAGATAATCTGCCCTCTGATAAGATGCCATCTAGTTTTTCTGAATAAGACCTCGAAGCAGATGGTGAAAACAATCCCACACTAATGATAGTGAACTTGACATACTTTTATCAGAATCAACTTATCAGTGAATGACATTGTATGATCCCAGCTGTAGGTCATGTATGTCTCACAAGTGCTACAAACAGTGACTTTTGATTTTGATATTCATAAAGTCAATACAGTAGAACACGGATATAACGAACTCCAAGGGACCACGAAATTTAGTTCGCTATATCCGGTGTTCGTTATTCACATTTGACCGCCATCTTGGATTGTAGAGATGTAGAGACACGTATACGCTGAGGCTACAAATATTTATTCTTGTACATGTACATTGACATAACATAAAAATTCTGAATTTATCATTCACAGACATTAGCTAGAACATGTTTAACAATCACAACAATCTCAACAATACATGTATATAACTTAATTACGTTTAACAAAGTCCACAATTTTGGTCTGCACACCACGTCTTGCAGACTTCATTTTGTCGACTGCATCACAGACATCTGTTTTGATAAACACGTTAATGACCATCGAACAATGTTGATTCGCCGCCAACAAGGTTGATGTATACCGCTAAGTGGCTGAGCTGACACTGAGCTGACACTGAGTGAGTTCGCTAATCACGTCGTTAGTTGGGCTTGGGGGTAGTAAATCAGTTCGCTATAGCCGTTAATTCGCTACTCACGAGTTCGTTATTCGCGTATAATTTTAATGATATTATAAAGGACTGTTGACGGGACTTTTAAATTTGTTCGCTATATCCGTTTGTACGCTATATCCGTGTTCGTTATATCCGTGTTCTACTGTACATATATTCACAGATATGGTTTCACATTTGCCATTTGTTATTAGCATTTGATGGCTGGCCTACCTTGTCCAAGATAGATGGATGTTTGCCTGATCTTAAAATTCTCTACACCTTGAAGACATGGAACTTGTAGCACATGGTCAAAGAGATGAGGTGAAAAGGTTGTGTTCCAGAGGATTGTACTTTAATAGTGGTGTACAAGCTTGTGTGTGTGTATCTAACTGTGCAAGTCCTGGTCGGTGTTAATTATAGCACTAGACAACTGAGTTACCATACCATGGGCACCCACACATATCATACTGAGTTGGACCAACCAGTTCTCGTTTTACCTCCTAATGCCAGGCAGAGTAATACCAGCTTTTAACCTATATTTGTACGATGCAGCCAGGGATTAAACCATCTTGTGCTCTCCTCCAGGTGGTAGCATGGAGATGTTCCTTCGGAGAGGTATAGAAATACACAACCTATCATTGTCAACAGTGTTTTATCATAGCTTACTGTGTAAGTATATGTGGTGTTGCTGATCAGCAATTAGTAGAAATACTGGTGTCAAGCAATTTATAACATAATATTGCCCTGGTAACCTAGCAACTGGTAGACAATGCTCTATGCAGAACCTAGGTTACTAGGTAAGCACTTTCAGGTGTTAGTCCAACATAAGCTCTTCTTTGTGAGTGCTTCAATCTGTGATCTGCATGAAAGACAATCTCAAAACACTGTTGTGTCACTACCTGATTAGTTATGATCTGACAACTGTATGGTCAACAAGCATTTACGATCTGTTGTGTTTAGCTCTGTAAGTGTGACATCCCACAAAGCTTCTCACTAATTATGTCATCTTTAAGGGCTCTATGCAACACAACAAAAATTACAAACACCTTTGAAACATTAGACTGAGAAGCTGTCTACAGGATACACTCCTATAGGGTTATATTGACAGGTTCTACCACTATGAGGGGAATTAACTCTGCCGTCTCAGCATCTGCCTGGATTCCATTGCATTCCTTATAAGGTTAAAGGACATTGGCTAGTTGCACAGGTTTAGAGAGATGCTTGTAAGCTAGTGATCATCATAAAAGTCAGATACATGTATACAGTGAAATAATTCCAATAGTTACCAGGTTGCTGTTTGACCAACTAAACTGAAATTTAAATTTATTAAAAAACTGAAATAAAACTTTACTTGAGCAATAACTATTTTCAAAACTGGTCAGAAAAACAATGCATTTAAAGAGATGAAGATTAATGTGAAAAGAACTTAACATATTTTCTATGGAAGTGCTCATGCTTGAAAGCTTAAATATAGCTAATTGAAAATGATTATCTACAAAGAAAATGAAACAGAAGAATTCTAAAACATGATGGATGAATTAAAAACAAGTCAAAATCATAAATGAATCAATATTGTGCACAAAATGGCTCATTTAGAGTTTGTTTACATGTCTTTTCTCAGAAATTCTCTCTTCTAAGAATCATATTACATAGGATTGTTGAAACACCTCTCCATGTTTGGGATCTTTCTTTCTTCCTTGTCAACACATCCCTGTGCAGTGGTGAGCTATCTCTCTAAACACTTCACACTTAGTCATGTTTCAATACATATCATGATTATAAGACTGGTACACAATAGCAATTTGCTGTCCAACTTCAAACTCAGCAATATTCCAGCTATTTGGACAGCAGTCTGTAAATAATCACTACACTGACATCATAAACTTTGAGCCATACATTTAGGATGTTACATGATGACATGTGTTCAGCCAAGTCACCTAGTCTGACCACCACACCTATATTCTTATCCACAATCCTTGCTGGTTTCATTTCAATCTGTGACGTACTGATCTATGAGGTCAAGTAAGTTCTTGTAAGCTCTGGTAATAAGTTTCTACATGATAATTCAACTGAAAAGATGCTGAGAAGGAATTTAGGCTAGCAGATCCAAATGTTTTTAGCACCGACTTTCTGCTTACCCCGCTCAACTCTCTTCACTGTCTTCATTCTCTCCACCCATGTTTCCTACAAACAAAAAACATCACCTTGCATTTGTGTTGTAGATACTTGCCATTAGTACATATTTGGAGTGTAAGTACCACCAAAACAATAATTGTTACCCAGACACATTTTTCTAGAGTGAGTGAGTGAGTTAAGATTTAACGTCACGTCGGCAATATTTCAGCCATATCGTGACGAGAACAATTAATTTTATGCATAGTAAGCAATGGTAAACAATAAAAACCTGTCAACGAAGGACAGTAAAATAACTAGATTATCACAGATTCGAATTTAAAACTAGTAATTAAATCTAAAACAGTTTAACCATTTTTCTAGAAGCGAGGGGGGGGGGTTGGATTTCTTACTGTTTTTCATTGAAAATACAAGAGGATGAATACTTTCCTTCTCTCCAAGAAAATCGACAATCACAACTGGGTATTGAACTTGTCTCTATAGTGCAGACCGAAAATGTTTGTGTTCATTTAATAGTTGACCAAGAAAGACTCCTTTTTTAGGCAGACAAAAATTGGTGAAATTTTTATGCTTTTCACCAGAAATAGCTTCAGAGGATTTTTAACCTGTTGTCCTTCTTCAAGCAAACCAAACTCCTAATACTACAAGGTCTGTTTGTTTGTATACAGTCCTCTCAGATATCCCATTCATCGATCCACACAGCTGGGACATGATGACATGCATCAACTAGATCCCAAAGTCTGACAGCTGTTCTGTAATGATAAGCATGGGTTTCTACTGACCAATGTCAACATGGATGTCACAGGCTCACATTAAGACATGTATGAACCAAATCACTATGTCTGACCACCCTATCCTTGTCTCTTACAACAAGCATGGGTTTCAACATTCACAGGTTTGCTTGGTCTGAAACAAACCAGGGAGTCCCCCATCTTTGGCTCACCTGAGCAGGACTGTACAGATATCTCGTCAACAGTTGAGTCATGTCTTACCCGTAACACTTTCATCAGGTCGTGTTGGTCAGCCACTCGGGGGAACGAAGCCAGGGTGGGACTGTGGATCAACTCTACAACACAGAACACATCAAACATGAACACATTTTCACAACATCACACTCATTCCTGAGTGAGTATAAGTATAGAAGTCAACAAGGAGTGAGTGCGTGAGTGAGTTTAGTTCAGTTTTACGCCGGACTCAGCAATATTCCAACTATATGACGCCAGTCTGAAAAGAATCAAGTCTGGGAAAGACAATCCAGTGATCAACAGCATGAGCATCGATCTACGCAATTGAGATACGATGACATGTGTCAAGCCAGTCAGGTTATTAACTTCACTGTGATCAATTGGCATTGTACTCTGCAGTACAGCAACACAAGCCCTGACGACTATGATCAGCAAATCAGGAATAGATTCTGTGGGTATTTGTTTTGGTGTATGGAAGCATAAATATTTCAGTTCAATTTCCGGGAAATAGCTTGCAATTTATTGATTCCGGAATATTTTTGTGTTCTCTTACTTGTTTCCAACAGTAGTTTTGTCTAGAGAGTTTCTATTGTTTGTAGAATATTATATAGAGTCATTCTTATCTGCCATTATAACTGTAGGTGTCAGTGCTGGTCACTGTGTGTCCTGGGGTAAACTCGGACACACCATGCAGTCCTACCTGTAGACTCCAAGTCCAGTCTGTCTCGTAGGAGGGCGTCGGCCAACAGCTGACGGAAGTAGCAGTGGAATGGCACCAGCACCATGTTCCCTACCAGAGTGTCAGGTAGCTGCCTGGAGAGGGAAGACAGAGTGACATCACAATGCCACAATCATGATAATACTAGACACATAATAATAATAGACAGTCAAGTTGATATATTATTTAGTTTTATTATTATCATAGGATATTTACAGCTAGTACATGCTTAAGGCGCTGGGGTTTTTTCCCTCCATCATTGGATGTCAATCTCAACTCCCTGGGGATCATACAACTCTTGCAGACACTAGGCACATCAAGTTAACCGGGCTTTCCCATCCTTGCAAGCAGTTACAACATAAAACTAGACAGCCACATGATGCGGCAATTACATGGTTAACGTAGGACTGTTTCTTTGGGACAAAACATGCCTACAAAGTACTAGTCTCAATGAAACTTTATAAGACAAGCCATATTTACATGTCAATGCTACACAGATTATTTCAAGCAAACAATTTGATGCTAAAGACACTAAATATAAGTCATAAACACTAAACATTGCAATGTATTTCATGAAACAACATCAAGCATACTCGAGATTCTGTTTCTGGTCATTCTTTGGAACAGCAACCCGCACTTGAAGACGAGGCTGCTTGTTGCCTCCGATGAGGGACACAAGGGCACTGCTGCCAGCTGTAACAGACACACCAGGCACATGTAGGGTAATACAGGGTCAGTGGGTGGGGTATAGGTATGGGTGGGACACAAGGGCACTGCTACCAGCTGTAACAGACACACCAGGCACATGTAGGGTAATACAGGGTCAGTGGGAGGGGTTTAGGTTTTGGTGGGACACAAGGGCACTGCTGCCAGCTATAACAGACACACCAGGCACATGTAGGGTAATACAGGGTCAGTGGGAGGGGTATAGGTTTGGGTGGGACACAAGGGCACTGCTACCAGCTGTAACATACACACTAGGCACATGTAGGGTAATACAGGGTCAGTGGGTGGGGTATAGGTATGGGTGGGACACAAGGGCACTGCTGCCAGCTGTAACAGACACACTAGGCACATGTAGGGTAATACAGGGTAGGTGGGTGGGGCATACATAGGTGTGGGTGGGACACAAGGGCACTGCTGCCTGCTGTAACAGACACTCCAGGCACATGTAGGGTTATTCAGGGTCAATGGGTGGGGTATAGGTATGGGTGTAAGTGTAGGTGGGAGATAGGTGTGGGTGGGGAGGGGCTAAGGAGAGCATGAGGTGGCCATAGGATGTGGGTAGGGTGGGCATAGTAGGTGTAAGGTGGTGTATAGAATGGTAAGGTCAAGGGGTCTGTTTCCTATGGTGAAAGAGAATGGGCTGGGTCGTGCAAAGTGAGGTCACTGGTTGATAAGTGGGAATATGACAGGGTAAGGCGCAGATCAGGGCATGCGGTCGAGAGCGCCTGGGAATGATGAAGATGATAGGGATCATTATCTACAATTTGGTTAGGATCTAGGGCAGGATCTGGTGTGATGACAGGCAGGATCTGGAGTGATGACAGGCAGGGTCTGAAGTGATGATGGACAGGGTCTAGAGTGATGATTGACAGGGTCTAGATATGATGGACAGGGTCTAGAGTGATGATAGACAGGGTCTAGAGTGATGATGGACAGGGTCTGAAGTGATGATGGACAGGGTCTAGAGTGATGATGGACAGGGTCTAGAGTGATGATGGACAGGGTCTGAAGTGATGATGGACAGGGTCTAGAGTGATGATGGACAGGGTCTGAAGTGATGATGGTCAGGGTCTAGAGTGATGATGGACAGGGTCTAGAGTGATGATGGACAGGGTCTGAAGTGATGATGGAAAGGGTCTAGAGTGATGATTGGAAGAGTGAATGACATAAGTGTAACACACATGGTATATTACATACAAGACACTAAGTTACTTCAGGTACCTACACACATCTTTCACAATTACCTGATAGCCCATGCTACGTTGGCAGCCATTAGTTTTCACCATAGAATAAATGTTAAACCGTAAATGGTAAAAACTGCTTAAAACAATAACACAAATGTAATCACATAATAACCTTCTAAAATCATATATTAGTTCAATAAACCTAGCATGCATCATGCATTAGTATGGCAGTATAGTCCGGGATCAAGCGATCTAGTCTAAAGCATGAGTTACCAACAACAGTTACAATAGGCAATGGTTATTTTGCCAATGTCCAACCACCATCCACCAAGACAAGACCACCATTCATCTGAACACAGTCTGGCCATTTCCACTTGTCCAAAGCCTCTGTCTAGTCAAACACATTTCAGTCTAGTAATCTCAGGTAACATTAAAAAATATATTTAGACAAAATTTCCTGTAAATGGACAAGCTCAGGTGTGTGAAGTCAGAAGGTTTTGACACAGGCTGTGAACAGATGAACAGGTTAACATCCATTCCCAGAGCTCGGATGATCACAGAAATCTCTATTGTATGTTATCCCTTTAAACATATCTACTCTATCAGAAATGATACTAAAGAAGTGGAAGCAACAAGATGTTAGGATAGTTCAGGTTCACCAGCCCCATGAAAGGATTGGCTGGACCTATTGGCTGATCTGTACATGCCTACATGATACAACCCACAGTCCCGTATCAAGTCATTTCACACAACTCTACACTGAAACATGGTATGTTAACCTCACTCGAGATTATACTGATGGCTGGAGGAAAGAGGCAGGTGGCAGTTTGTTTTTCAGCATTTCAACATTGTCAACCCTACATGAGGAAACGTTCCACGATGTAATCTCATAAAAGACTATTCTAACAGTCACCACCATCACACAAACATAAACATGGACACTCAATCTGTCAGGTCTATGCTGACGACACCATACTAATTCACAGCAAATATTTTCAAATTTTCTTGAATGCTATCAAAAGCTGAAAAATCATTACTCATACATGATTATCAATGGCTGAAAACAGCTTCGCACCGAGCACTAATCAGAGATACCTGCCAACAATAAGAAGTCGTGCCATTTAAAAAAAATTTTTTTACTCTATAGTAATCCCAGAAAACTCTCTCCCTTGTCCCGAAATGCTGCTATAGGTTTTACAGATCCTAGTGTGAAACATCAGGTGTCTTACTTCCCACGCACATGAGAAACACAACACTGGTTTAAGTAACTACCAAGTGTAGACAGTACAATTATGTAGTGACATTGGTATTCATAAATTTCCGGGTCACTTTCCAAATTTAAGATGGGTTATTATAACTATACACTGCATGTAATCCATCAGTGCCTTAATCCAAGGCAAAGCTAAGTCAGTTTGCCAAAGTCACATTACACCAAACCAAAGAACATATTCAAGTCACAAATACATCTGCAACATGTCTGTTCAGCATGAGTCATCATTGAACAATCTACTGAAATATAGGAATGTACACATATACATGGCATTACCGTGGGGTGTACAGTATCTCTACTGTAAGGGCTGCTAGGACACAACACACACACATCCACCTGTCTACCTGTATATACACATCTCAGTACTCTGGGGTGTACAGTATCTCTACTGTAAGGGCTGCTAGGACACAACACACATACATCCACCTGTCTACCTGTATGTGAACATCTCAGTACTCTGGGGTGTACAGTATCAAGTATCTCTACTGTAAGGGCTGCTAGGACACAACACACACACATCCACCTGTCTACCTGTCTACCGGTATATACACATCTCAGTACTCTGGGGTGTACAGTATCAAGTATTTCTACTGTAAGGGCTGCTAGGACACAACACACATACATCCACCTGTCTACCTGTATGTACACATCTCAGTACTCTGGGGTGTACAGTATCAAGTATCTCTACTGTAAGGGCTGCTAGGACACAACACACATACATCCACCTGTCTACCTGTATGTACACATCTCAGTACTCTGGGGTGTACAGTATCTCTACTGTAAGGGCTGCTAGGACACAACACACACACATCCACCTGTCTACCTGTATGTACACATCTCAGTACTCTGGGGTGTACAGTATCTCTACTGTAAGGGCTGCTAGGACACAACACACACACATCCACCTGTCTACCTGTATATACACATCTCAGTACTCTGGGGTGTACAGTATCAAGTATCTCTACTGTAAGGGCAGCTAGGACACAACACACACACACATCCACCTGTCTACCAGTCTACCTGTATGTACACATCTCAGTACTCTGGGGTGTACAGTATCAAGTATCTCTACTGTAAGGGCTGCTAGGACACAACACACACACATCCACCTGTCTACCTGTCTACCTGTATATACACATCTCAGTACTCTGGGGTGTACAGTATCAAGTATCTCTACTGTAAGGGCTGCTAGGACACAACACACATACATCCACCTGTCTACCTGTATGTACACATCTCAGTACTCTGGGGTGTACAGTATCAAGTATCTCTACTGTAAGGGCTGCTAGGACACAACACACACACATCCACTTGTCTACCTGTATATAGACATCTCAGTACTCTGGGGTGTACAGTATCTCTACTGTAAGGGCTGCTAGGACACAACACACATACATCCACCTGTCTACCTGTATATACACATCTCAGTACTCTGGGGTGTACAGTATCTCTACTGTAAGGGCTGCTAGGACACAACACACATACATCCACCTGTCTACCTGTATGTACACATCTCAGTACTCTGGGGTGTACAGTATCAAGTATCTCTACTGTAAGGGCTGCTAGGACACAACACACACACATCCACCTGTCTACCTGTATATACACATCTCAGTACTCTGGGGTGGTGTACAGTATCTCTACTGTAAGGGCTGCTAGGACACAACACACATACATCCACCTGTCTACCTGTATGTACACATCTCAGTACTCTGGGGTGTACAGTATCAAGTATCTCTACTGTAAGGGCTGCTAGGACACAACACACACACATCCACCTGTCTACCTGTATATACACATCTCAGTACTCTGGGGTGTACAGTATCTCTACTGTAAGGGCTGCTAGGACACAACACACACACATCCACCTGTCTACCTGTATATACACATCTCAGTACTCTGGGGTGTACAGTATCAAGTATCTCTACTGTAAGGGCTGCTAGGACACAACACACATACATCCACCTGTCTACCTGTATGTACACATCTCAGTACTCTGGGGTGTACAGTATCAAGTATCTCTACTGTAAGGGCTGCTAGGACACAACACACACACATCCACCTGTCTACCTGTATATACACATCTCAGTACTCTGGGGTGTACAGTATCTCTACTGTGGGGCTGCTAGGACACAACACACATACATCCACCTGTCTACCTGTATATACACATCTCAGTACTCTGGGGTGTACAGTATCTCTACTGTAAGGGCTGCTAGGACACAACACACACACATCCACCTGTCTACCTGTATATACACATCTCAGTACTCTGGGGTGTACAGTATCTCTACTGTAAGGGCTGCTAGGACACAACACACACACATCCACCTGTCTACCTGTATATACACATCTCAGTACTCTGGGGTGTACAGTATCAAGTATCTCTACTGTAAGGGCTGCTAGGACACAACACACATACAACCACCTGTCTACCTGTATGTACACATCTCAGTACTCTGGGGTGTACAGTATCAAGTATCTCTACTGTAAGGGCTGCTAGGACACAACACACACACATCCACCTGTCTACCTGTATATACACATCTCAGTACTCTGGGGTGTACAGTATCTCTACTGTAAGGGCTGCTAGGACACAACACACATACATCCACCTGTCTACCTGTATATACACATCTCAGTACTCTGGGGTGTACAGTATCTCTACTGTAAGGGCTGCTAGGACACAACACACACACATCCACCTGTCTACCTGTATATACACATCTCAGTACTCTGGGGTGTACAGTATTTCTACTGTAAGGGCTGCTAGGACACAACACACACACATCCACCTGTCTACCTGTATATACACATCTCAGTACTCTGGGGTGTACAGTATCAAGTATCTCTACTGTAAGGGCTGCTAGGACACAACACACACACACACATCCACCTGTCTACCAGTCTACCTGTATGTACACATCTCAGTACTCTGGGGTGTACAGTATCAAGTTTCTCTACTGTAAGGGCTGCTAGGCTGTCTACCTGTCTACCTGTATATACACATCTCAGTACTCTGGGGTGTACAGTATCAAGTACCTCTACTGTAAGGGCTGCTAGGACACAACACACATACATCCACCTGTCTACCCGTATATAGACATCTCAGTACTCTGGGGTGTACAGTATCAAGTATTTCTACTGTAAGGGCTGCTAGGACACAACACACACACATCCACCTGTCTACCTGTATGTACACATCGCAGTACTCTGGGGTGTACAGTATCAAGTACCTCTACTGTAAGGGCTGCTAGGACACAACACACATACATCCACTTGTCTACCCGTATATAGACATCTCAGTACTCTGGGGTGTACAGTATCAAGTATTTCTACTGTAAGAGCTGCTAGGACACAACACACACACATCCACCTGTCTACCTGTATGTACACATCGCAGTACTCTGGGGTGTACAGTATCAAGTATTTCTACTGTAAGGGCTGCTAGGAGACAACACACACACATCCATCTGTCTACCTGTCTACCTGTATATACACATCTCAGTACTCTGGGGTGTACAGTATCTCTACTGTAAGGGCTGCTAGGACACAACACACACACATCCACCTGTCTACCTGTATATACACATCTCAGTACTCTGGGGTGTACAGTATCAAGTATTTCTACTGTAAGGGCTGCTAGGACACAACACACACACATCCACCTGTCTACCTGTCTATACACATCTCAGTACTCTGGGGTGTACAGTATCAAGTATTTCTACTGTAAGGGCTGCTAGAACACAACACACATACATCCACCTGTCTACCTGCTATACTACAACTTCTACGTCGTCATGCTTATCAGGCTCAGTTATCAAACTGATTGGTTGCATTTATGATCACTGACATATATCGCTATTTCTAGCCATCACTGTGCTATGCTGTGACATGTATATGTGAAATGTAGCTACTTGTGACACAATCTTATAGACATGTTGTGAACGTGCAACAACACTATCATGCCACAATCCATGCTAAGATCACCTACTTGTCTGACACATTCAGCATCCTCATAAAGACCTCTATACATGCTACTGAAGTAACAAGGATTAGTGAGTGAGTGAGTTTAGTTTTAGCAATATTACAGCAATATCACGGTGGTATACACCAGAAATGGGCTTCACACATTGCACTCATGTGGGGAATCGAACCCGGATCTTCTACCCCACCGCCCCAACAAGGATTATTAACATATCCGCTATGTATTAATCTCCATGAATTTAAATATACTCTTGTATGCAATAACAATAACTTTGAATTAATTCAAATTTGAATAGCAAAGTTCTACATTGAAAATTCATCCCAAATAAGTTCCTTTGTGATTTCTTCTCAGGGACTGGAGCATAATATTAGATGTAGGCAGTTATCCCACTATACCTCAGCTTAATGTTGACGGCTTAAAATTTGGGTGAAACCAAAAAGCACTAGTTTGCGACGTTAGCAACAAGTCCAAAGCCTGAGGCTAGCAGAGCTCTGTTTGGTCTAGTAAGCTCAGTTCACAACAGCCCACATAATTCATTAAAATAAATTTCTAAAAATACTTAGTGCCAAGTTCGGGCGAGCAGACAACACCAATGTGTCCAACACAGACTGCAAGCACTAACCTTTACAGGTGACATCCAGCCTCTTACTAGGCATATCATTCAAAAATTGTGTCACATTATACACATGAAGACTTGTATTTATCAAATTGTATAATAATACAATTGTGTACTTTTCAATAAATTATTTGATCTATTGGATGAAGCACACACAACATTTACTTCCAGCATTAAAGAATTGTTAGGTAATACCCTGGAAACGTATCATTGATTGTGATCCAATATTTCTATGAGATATACTACTCAAAAGATGCTTGGGACAATGATGCTTATGGATTGATTATGGTAATATAAAGGAATTTGGTAGTTCTTCACTTCTGTTGTGTAATTCTATATCAAGGACCATCAAACAGTTAACAATACAAATTAAACATAAACCAATTTCTGTTTAAGTGACACAAAATATGAGGAAGAGAGAACAGCAATACAAGAAAGTGACACCACATGCACAGGTGAACAGGCACCACAGCTACTCACGCTCACCTGCTGAAATATGCAAATGAAGGTCAAGGTCATGACTGAGACACACAAAAACAAAGCTTGTTAGAAATACAGTACTGAAAACCAAAATAACCATCCATGTCTCTGTGACCCTATCATAGAAATCATTTGTTAAAGGAAGCCATTGACAGATACCCAGCATGAATCCTGATTGCAGTACAATTAACTGCTTTCTTGCAAACAATAATGGTGTGATAACAGAGTGGACATGTATATAGGAAACCTAATTCTTACATATTACTATGCTTAATCTGCAATATGTCACATCGTCAACCTCTTTTGGCAGATGACAGAATCAGATTGTCCTTATCTTTCGTTATAGAATTAATCAAAAAGCAATAACACTCCAAAATAGCACAATAATGTTTAGCCTTGTTTTGAAATTCATCAGAGCTTGGAATGAGCGGTCAATGGCTACCTTAAATTTAGTGAATGTTGAGGTTTTACGCCATACCAAACATGTTGATTACAAGAACGCAGAATGATGCCTTGTTTAACACTTTGGTGAGGTCCTAAAGCATGGTTAACCTACTGACAGACTACAGAACACAACCAGCAGATCCTGGCCGAGCCAAGGAATGCCCCTCTTCACAGCAAATTGCAGCCTTAGAAGATTAAGTGTTCAGTGCCCGTCATACTTTAAGACATGCTTTGATTAGTATTGATTACATATTTACTTGGTTTATATTTGCAATTGTGTTAGAAATATGATTATTTCTTGCCAGGGCTCAACTGTAAAACATAATAAAGGAGGAATCTGGCATGCTTCGGAGCCATTAGTGCTGACACAGTACACATAAAAACAGATGGTGCAAGTCTTCAGAAAAAGCAAGTTTTGCAGTCATAAAATTTAAGTCACACAAAAGGAGAGCGAAACTCATCAGATGAAATTACATAATGGTTGTTACACAGCTAACACAATATTTTCACCATACACTTTACAGTTTGATTCCTGTTGATCTGGGCCCTGTACCACACAAGCAGTGTTAGAACTACAGCCCTAGTGCTGACATGAAACTGCTCAATGGGAGTGGGGCCTGAATGATCCATACTGCCAATATATGCATCATTACATTGCCTGGTCCATTCATAGTCAAAAACAACACACAAGTTTACCTTGTGGAGAGTGAGGCTTTTATTTAGTGAGTGAGTGAGTGAGTTATTATTTAACGTCACAACTTTTATTTAGGAAACAATAACCCTACAGTACTAAACTGACCCAGCACTATGAGCAGGCAGGGAAGGGCAGGTCCCCCTTACCAAGGCATGTGGTTCCCTACAATCAGATGTTTCTCCAGAATCACAATCTCTGCTGGTGTTCTAGTGTGTGTATACAAGGTGTGGTTAAGCCTGCTACAACCCATTAGCCAGCACTGGTTATTTCAGGTTAGGATGCTCTGCATATGCATTCATCTGTGAATGTTCTATGCATGCTGTGTATGATTAGTGTACCGGTACATGTTATAGTATGATCCATGTATGCTCTGTATCATACAAGTACCAAATAATGACTATGCAGCATGATTATATATCATGAGGGGGAACATTCTTTCCGTAATTTACAACTACTATTATAATCTATGGTTCCATCACCTAGCATGTGACAAAATATGACATTATTTACCAACAGAATACTACATCATGTTAAGAAAAACGGTTAATTTCTATCTTCTAACCAACATCAAATCTACTCTACAGATGGCTTCTGTTATAACTGTTTGTTAATTTCTCAATTTATTTTGTTAAAACTTGATGGTATTTTTTGGCCTTTGAGCTTTACTGTGAAAAAATCGTCAATATTTTCTGTACCTTATGGTTGTATTCATACACTTCTCTTAATACACTCAACAATACAACCAAGAGCTCTACAAATAGTACACCTCCAGAGTCTATACCCTGACCAATGCTAAACCCTAAAGTCTCCCTCTCTACTTACTTCTCCTACTAATACTGGGGTCCACTTCCACTCCCTTCTCGTAGGGCGTACCTCCATTCATCTGCAGCTCGCAGGTCCTGCAGCCAAATCAAAGTGTCACAGTGAACACAGAGGGGAAGGAATTAAAGTCAACAACATGTCAGTATGTCATGATGCAGGGAGATCAGCTACCTCCAGGTGTACATCCATCATACTGTCTACATACAGTAGACATGATACAGTCACTACAGGCAAGATGCTGTAAGACAACTACTGTTTGTAATCAGATTTATATACTCCTCACACAAAAAAATGCAACAACAAGTTGAAATGCAAGCATACAAAAACAAGGAAAGACACACATGGTTCACTGTGTGATAAAGTGAGTGAGTGAGTTGGGTTCAACACTGTTCTGAACAGTATGTCAGTTATATCACAGGGTGTCAGTTTCTTGTGGCCAATACATGTGGCCTAATGAAGTTCCTCGATACACTACTATTGGCTACCTACTTATTTGTGATGACTGTGCCAGTCTGGTCCAATAAAGGAAGATGGGCCCAGCCACAGCTGAACTCTCCTTTCTCATCGGTGCTCTGCAATAATACCACAGCCTCAAATATCGAGCCAACTGCACAATCTATATGAAGGATGTGAGCATTATAAAACAATATGGCTTCATTTCTATACCACTTTATTTGGTAATTTCAATCTCAACAAACGGTAGGGTACAAAGGACAATATATTCCCTCAGTAGCAGACCACTGATGCCATTGCACTCAAAAACAACAAGGTATTAAACTTCCCATCAACAGCACAGACTTTATTACATTACATTCGGAATGGCTTGTTTATATTATTTTATGAAACACCTATCACACCTTTCTGTGGAGGGTTTTGGAAATCTTCTTGCAAACAGGTATCATATCCATGTCAACTAACTGATACTAAGGACAATGAAGGACACTGGTTAATAATTAAACAACATTAAACAACAGCCAGGTGGAACATTCAATGTATGATGTGGTGAGCCAGCAGATATTGCATTAACTCAACATCGAGAAGGCTTCCGTCCAATTGTTGGCACAGTAGGCAAGTAAGTGAATGCTATTTGAGTTATATCACAGCCCGCCAACATGATGAGAGAGGAAAGACTGCAGGTGTGCAACAGCCAGGGTCAGGTCACAACATGTGTACATACGGTGCTGACAAATCTAGGTTAATATGGATGAACTGGGCTTCAAACCAATTATGATAGACTTCTGGCAGCCCAAGTGACAACTCTTTACAGTATATTGTTGCTAAATGTGTGAGGCAGTGTCTTCTCTTTCATTAGATGGACAAAGAAAACCTCTGATCACTTCGATACTCTCAATTCAACATATCTATGGCTTACCGTTCTGACGTAAGACACACACAGCTCAAACAGTATACCTGGAAAAGTTTTAAGCATTAAGATTTATATACAAATGCTAAATGTTCACATGTCTATAAGTTACACTTATTGACAACAATATGGAACTCTATCATTATATTTGTATCTGTGATATCAGAATCAAATATGATTGTCTGAATGCTCTTCCCACAGTGAACTGAAGCGTCTCAATGCTTATCACATAACATGACCTCCTCTAGAGAATGATGGAGGTGTCATGAGACGTTGATACAGATAGGTATTTGAGTTAAACATCTGATGTTAATGAGATTGTCACTCAGGTATGCTGCAACGGTCCACTCACCAAGGTTGTCGACAGTGTTGTTGGTGCGGACAAATGTCTCAGCATGATAGTAGGGGTCCATGGCATCAGATACCTGAACACAGTTTACAAACATGTTTACCAATATTTTCATTCAGTGTACATTGCACGGCGTATGGTACATAATTGGAGATTTTTATAAAGCGCACAGAAACCGGAATATGAGAAAGGAAAAGATATTAAATTCAATAAAGATTTGACTAGGTTCGGAAAGGTATTCTAAACAACAGATAAAAAATGTAGAAAATGACGACAGCAATGTTAAAGAAAGAAATTCCAGGATATTGGTACAAATGTATGCCTGGTACCCGTGTGGTAAAGGACCAGGTTCTCTGTGACTTGTCGACAGCGGACACCTTCACTGTGTGAATGTTGCTCAGCATCTGTAACACAACACAACATCAATGTGAGGTTGATTGTGTCCCTCAGATACAATCACCAAATGATGATTATATTGTCACGATGCATAATGCGATCACTTGTTCCCAATGCATTGTGCAGAACTTCAGTATAAATGTAATTGTGATGTGTCAAAAAGCAGACTATTTTTGCAGATATCAAATGTTCATAGTTTTCCAGTAAAGCACTAATGCTAGATCAGACAGAATTATATTTGACTTCAAATTCAAGCTAAATATGTTTAGTTGGTGAAGAATGACATAATGTGAGAACCTACCGTATGGCCTTCAAACAGACACATTCTCACGTGTCTACTCAGCACAGTCATACCTGGGAATACAAGAAAAACTTTCCTTAACACTAATTCATAATAGTATTCAAACAATAAAAACAATATATGTTGCATACTACCACTTGATGACTAGGTACAGATTTTCTTTCTTTGTCTTACTAAGTGTGCCTCTACCTTATCCCAGCAAAAGTTTACCCCTGATGAATAATACAAACAAACTAGTTCAACATAACAAGTCTACTGTACTGCCACAAGCAGTTTGACATACGGGTTCCAGGCACACACTCATATACTGTGACAGACTGTCTGGCACCCATTTAAGGTCCAAATGTGACAGTCACGTTGCAGACAACTTTCTGTGACAGAAAGTCATACTGTTGCTGACAGTCATAATTTAGGATACAGAGTGTGATATACAGACACTGACCTGAACCAGGAGGTGGGATCTGCTGACAGGGATACAGAGTGTGATATACAGAGACACTGACCTGAACCAGGAGGTGGGATCTGCTGACAGGGATACAGAGTGTGATATACAGAGACACTGACCTGAACCAGGAGGTGGGATCTGCTGACAGGGATACAGAGTGTGATATACAGAGACACTGACCTGAACCAGGAGGTGGGATCTGCTGACAGGGATACAGAGTGTGATATACAGAGACACTGACCTGAACCAGGAGGTGGGATCTGCTGACAGGGATACAGAGTGTGATATACAGAGACACTGACCTGATCCAGGAGGTGGGATCTGCTGACAGGGATACAGAGTGTGATATACAGAGACACTGACCTGATCCAGGAGGTGGGATCTGCTGACAGGGATACAGAGTGTGATATACAGAGACACTGACCTGAACCAGGAGGTGGGATCTGCTGACAGGGATACAGAGTGTGATATACAGAGACACTGACCTGAACCAGGAGGTGGGATCTGCTGACAGGGATACAGAGTGTGATATACAGAGACACTGACCTGATCCAGGAGGTGGGATCTGCTGACAGGGATACAGAGTGTGATATACAGAGACACTGACCTGAACCAGGAGGTGGGATCTACTGACAGGGATACAGAGTGTGATATACAGAGACACTGACCTGATCCAGGAGGTGGGATCTGCTGACAGGGATACAGAGTGTGATATACAGAGACACTGACCTGAACCAGGAGGTGGGATCTACTGACAGGGATACAGAGTGTGATATACAGAGACACTGACCTGATCCAGGAGGTGGGATCTGCTGACAGGGATACAGAGTGTGATATACAGAGACACTGACCTGAACCAGGAGGTGGGATCTGCTGACAGGGATACAGAGTGTGATATACAGAGACACTGACCTGAACCAGGAGGTGGGGTGGGATCTGCTGACAGGGATACAGAGTGTGATATACAGAGACACTGACCTGAACCAGGAGGTGGGATCTGCTGACAGGGATACAGAGTGTGATATACAGAGACACTGACCTGAACCAGGAGGTGGGATCTGCTGACAGGGATACAGAGTGTGATATACAGAGACACTGACCTGATCCAGGAGGTGGGATCTGCTGACAGGGATACAGAGTGTGATATACAGAGACACTGACCTGATCCAGGAGGTGGGATCTGCTGACAGGGATACAGAGTGTGATATACAGAGACACTGACCTGATCCAGGAGGTGGGATCTGCTGACAGGGATACAGAGTGTGATATACAGAGACACTGACCTGAACCAGGAGGTGGGATCTGCTGACAGGGATACAGAGTGTGATATACAGAGACACTGACCTGATCCAGGAGGTGGGATCTGCTGACAGGGATACAGAGTGTGATATACAGAGACACTGACCTGAACCAGGAGGTGGGATCTGCTGACAGGGATACAGAGTGTGATATACAGAGACACTGACCTGAACCAGGAGGTGGGATCTGCTGACAGGGATACAGAGTGTGATATACAGAGACACTGACCTGATCCAGGAGGTGGGATCTGCTGACAGGGATACAGAGTGTGATATACAGAGACACTGACCTGATCCAGGAGGTGGGATCTGCTGACAGGGATACAGAGTGTGATATACAGAGACACTGACCTGAACCAGGAGGTGGGATCTGCTGACAGGGATACAGAGTGTGATATACAGAGACACTGACCTGAACCAGGAGGTGGGATCTGCTGACAGGGATACAGAGTGTGATATACAGAGACACTGACCTGAACCAGGAGGTGGGATCTGCTGACAGGGATACAGAGTGTGATATACAGAGACACTGACCTGAACCAGGAGGTGGGATCTGCTGACAGGGATACAGAGTGTGATATACAGAGACACTGACCTGATCCAGGAGGTGGGATCTGCTGACAGGACACTAAAGTCACCACTCTGTCAACACGGGCTATGCGAGGCCGAATCTGTGAGGAGGAACCACATAGCTCACATGAACTGTTTCAAACACACTAACATCATAACAAGCCTCTATATACCACATGATATAGAGAAGCATGAAAAGGTAGAGGATCACAATGAAGTAGATGTCAGTATAATGATCTTATGTATGTTCACTACCTGCTGACTTTAAACACATTTCAGCAATACCTCTTCATGTCAACAATTTGGACAGCCGTTAATACCATTTGCTGACAAACCAAGTATCATATTCAAGTCAAATCTGGGAACAAAACGCATGACAACAGATACTGACACTGGTAAGGGACACAATTCTACCTTGTAGGTTGCAATATGCTAGATGCATCAGCCAGTCATTGTTGAGGAGGGAACTTACCTTGTTGGTCATTGGATCAAAGAACAGATCTCTGTATGTGAGGTTTGATGCACTCAGCTTCGGAGACATGTAGTTTCTCATCCGGAAAGTATCACCTACAATAAAGCAAACATTATGACTCTGTAGAGGACTAACACACAGTTTCACTACACTATGCATGCTGTATAAGACGTTCATACATTGTTCACAAATTTACCATCTATTTACCATCAAAACCTATTGCATGCAGTATCCATGAAGTATTATCAAAGAGTTATCAACCATGGCAGCTTGATTGTTCAAACAGTTCCTAGAAGTCTGCCTGTACCTTTATAAGTGAGTGAGTGAGTATGGTTTAATGCCGCTTTTAGCAATATTCCAGCAATATCACGGCGGGTGATACCAGAAATGGGCTTCACATATTGTACCCATGTGGGGAATCGAACCCGGGTCTTCGGGTGACGAGCCAACACTTTAACCTCCAGTTTACCCCACTTCCCCGTACCTATATAAGAGTGACAGGAGGGTGTTCCAAGTGCGAATTAGAAATAGATATCTGAAAACACTGAATTTATGCACCCAACTCTATTATACATATAAGAACAGAGACAGGCCAGACATATATTGTAGTGACAGCTACCTACAGGACCATGATGCCTCATTTTCAAAATAAAACATTGTCAAGACCCTGACTCAACATCACTGAGTCTAAATGTCAGGATCAAATACATGGATGTCAAAACTACTCAACACAAACCTTCATTGAAAACCCGTGACAAAGTTGATGGTCTGAATCCAGACGGAACAGCTCCCATAGCCTGAAGGACATCAGACACAGTCGTCTGTGGAAATATGTGAATGATTGATTGAATGAATGGAAAGTAACCATTCCAATAAAATGATCTGTAAACTCGTAAAATGTGAAACAGATCCAAAACACATGTAATTTGTCAAAAGGACTGTGCAGATGACTATGAACACTAGGTTAACAGCATGGAATTCTGGGTAGGAAAATTGCAATATGTCTAATGTGGCTGCCACCCGTGCTTGTTTTGAAAATGTTGATATGTTGATGGCTGGATATTCAACCTCCAATGTGTGGAATCCATGTTGACATAGGCTCCCAAGTTTTCACATTGTGGATCATGGATCAACCGATCTCAGTGACTTAAGAGTGTCACCATAACCCAATGCCACAGGTCACTGCTAAAGATATCCGTCACAGGTTGGTCTGGTTGAGACTTTTGTGTTTACAGCCATTGTCACATATCTGGAAACTCTCAGTGAAATGAAAGATGCTGTTGATCCAAATGAAATCACAAATGGTAATTACCTCAGATGTGAAATCATAGAAGGAATTGATCTCAGTGAAATCACAGATGGAACTTATTGCTTAGAAATCAGAGAAAGAATAGATCCAAGTGAAATTACAAATGGTACAAATCCTGTCCTGAGCTCACCTGCACAGAAGAATCCTAGTATTTATGGCCATGCCCATACTCTAACAGCTGAGTTCAGCATAAAACTAAACTCACTCACCACACTCCAACGATGACCTAAGATAGTTGTAGCACTAAGATTGCTTTGTGCAAGTGGGCCCTGGACAATGATATTAGCATGATGCTGACACCTACCTCCTTCACTGCTTTCCTTATACCTCCCCATAGCTTCTTAGCTCTGAAATTATAATGAAACATGTTTCAAAACATAACCAGAATTTTTTACAATCTCATAAAATCACACCTTGCACTCCAGTTCCATAACTCTCAGCCAGAGGAGGATCTGAGGTTACCTCCAGAAGAGGTAACACCAAGTGACCTTTCTAATCAGCCAGTCAGCATGAAGGATTCTAAATTCAGTATGAGTGAGCTCAGCCTTCAGACCTGTGTGTCTGATTTCTTTTGCTTGAAAAAAAATTGAAACAACACATTTGTATTGTTGATAATGGACACCTAGACATTAAGATATGTTCTCTATCCCCTTGAATATAAGCAGCATGACAATTACACCCATCAGGGAGGAGGATTGATAGAATATTTGTGTTTTGTGTGGGCTTTTGCTTGTATAAATGAAAACTGCAGACACAGGGTGTTTAGGATCCTAGCTAGATCTGAGTAGCTCAGGAACATGAATATCCTCCATTTGGATTGGGCAGTTTGCTCAGGATTCTACAGACCTTCTACAGTGGTGTCATCACATCTTGTGGCAGGGGGGCACATTATCACAAATGGTGAAGCCCTAAGCAAGAGCATATCTTTGATAGACCAGGATTGTACTTGGGCCTGGTCTCAGATCAGTGATCATAATAGCTACATCTTTGACCATGAGGCCACAAAAGACGTTTATATGTCCTTCTTTGCTTGTGCGTGACAGGAATGATGAACAATACGATCTTCTAAATCAACTCAGTTTGACTTTGAGTGTGGCTGATTTTAAACTCCTAAAATTAATTTGAAATTGAGGATGCTAAACCCGAAGCAACATATTGTGATTTGAATGAATCCTTTGATCAGTCAGATCACAGCATATCAAAGAAATCTCGAGTCTCTTTGAGTTTTGCTATGGGCAACACTTTATCAAAGACTGACTGACTGATTTTTGGTTTTACGCCGCTTTTAGCAATATTCCAGCAACATCACGGCGGGGGACACCAGAAATGGGCTTCACACATAGTACCCATGTGGAGATTCGAACCCGGGTCTTCAGCGTGACGAGCCAACGCTTTAACCACCAGGCTACCCCCACCGCCCCCTTTATCAAAGAGGTCAAATCCAACTACTCACCTGGCTGATTTGGGTTTCTCCTCACCATCAGCAGCATCTTCATCTTCTTCTTCCTCGTCTTCCTCTGTGATAACATCATAGTACATTAGTTTTAATACTTTAAGTTTTGGTAACTATCGGACAGTGTGACAAGTGAATGAGTGAGATATACACTGCCTTGAACAATATTTCATATCACTGGATGTCAGCTTTAGGAAGGATGAAAACTCACAGTGATGCACGTTATGGATGTTGACTATGTTTGATGAAACCTGGAAGTACAGGAATGGTACTGACCAACCTAGAAACATAATCAGGAAATTCTGGGATTCAATTCCTATGTTTCTGGAAGTCCTTTTCTACACAGCAAATTGTGTAATCTCAGATGATGCATCCGTGGAACTCACTTGATACGAAAATACCTCGATCTGCAACTGATGGCAGCATACTGAATGTGCTGCCTTTAACACCAGTGTGACCAATATTTAATTAACATCATGCTGTATCAGTTTGACGGGAGAGGAAATCTCAAAGTGATGCAGATCTTAGCGCTTTTATACATTGATGAACCCAAAAGCACAGGTATGATGCTGACAAACCTTGAAACGATCAAAGTAAACTGGGATTCAGACCACATAGCGTTCTGTCACATCCAAGGGAAATAACTCTGCTGTCCAACCCTTCCCTTCTACTATATCAGTAACCAGATCAGGAAGTATTATGTTGGTTTGAAGAGTTGGAAGTTAGGGTTTGTTTCCAACTTCCAGAGAAAATGTAAGATATATGAGAGATACATAATAATTATCATAATCATCCTGACTTACCATCGTCTTGCTGGACAGACTTGAACTTATTGTGCATCTGTAAACAATACAGCTTACATTATACAAACAGATAAACATCTAGCATGACAGATACTAATTCCAACTTTCAGAAGAATGAAATTGTGACACCCAGGTAGCAACCTCTTATAAAAGTATTATCTACTAAACATACAAGTTACAGTACAAGTATGAAATGTTTTTGAATAGTTTCTTTGTCTTCAATACCTCCATTAATATTCTAGCTGTATCACAGCAAGCCTGAGTTGGTCAGACAAACCAATGGTTGACATTATGAAGGTCAGATGTCAAGCAACTAACAAATAAGCCATCTGAACAACATACATTAGGGCACTTAGGACCTAGTTACTGCATCCCACATAGAGGCACCTGAACAACATACATTAGGGCACTTAGGACCTAGTTACTGCATCCCACATAGAGCCACCTGAACAACATTCATTAGGGCACTTAGGACCTAGTTACTGCATCCCACATAGAGCCACCTGAACAACATACAGTAGGGCACTTAGGACCTAGTTACTCCATCCCACATAGAGGCACCTGAACAACATACATTAGGGCACTTAGGACCTAGTTACTGCATCCCACATAGAGGCACCTGAACAACATACATTAGGGCACTTAGGACCTAGTTACTGCATCCCACATAGCAGCATAGAGCCACCCTGAACAATTCTAGGGCATACATTAGAGGCACTTAGGGACTTGGGACCTAGTTACTCCATCCCACATAGAGCCACCTGAACAACATACATTAGGGCACTTAGGACCTAGTTACTGCATCCCACATAGAGCCACCTGAACAACATTCATTAGGGCACTTAGGACCTAGTTACTGCATCCCACATAGAGCCACCTGAACTAAACAGGACCAGTTACATTAGGGCACTTGGGACCTAGTTACTCCATCCCACATAGAGCCACCTGAACAACATAGCCACCATTAGGGCACTTAGGACCTAGTTACTCCATCCCACATAGAGCCACCTGAACAACATACATTAGGGCACTTAGAGGAGGGCACTAGTTACTGCATCCCACATAGAGCCACCTGAACAACATCCCACATTAGGGCACTTAGGACCTAGGTTACTGCATCCCACATAGAGCCACCTGAACAACATTCATTAGGGCACTTTAGGACCTAGGGTTACTGCATCCCACATAGAGCCACCTGAACAACATACAGTAGGGCACTTAGGACCTAGTTACTCCATCCCACATAGAGGCACCTGAACAACATACATTAGGGCACTTAGGACCTAGTTACTCCATCCCACATAGAGGCACCTGAACAACATACATCCCACATCCCACATAGAGCCACCTGAACAACATACAGTAGGGCACTTAGGACCTAGTTACTGCATCCCACATAGAGCCACCTGAACAACATACAGTAGGGCACTTAGGACCTAGTTACTCCATCCCACATAGAGCCACCTGAACAACATACATTAGGGCACTTAGGACCTAGTTACTGCATCCCACATAGAGCCACCTGAACAACATACAGTAGGGCACTAAGGACCTAGTTACTGCAACTGCATCCAACATAGAGGCACCTGGGACATACACACATCACGCATCACATTCACAGCTGATTTTCAGGGGCACTATGGAAATTTAAAACTTAACAATTAAGATGAATAACAATACAGTGTTCATACAAATTATCAGCAATCAAATTTAAGGCCATTTTTAGGGGCTTTTCAAGGAACTATAGAAACATATAACACATAAGTAGATGAATTACACGAGGTTGGTCAAATGTGGGACTGATCATCGGAGGGAAATAACTCTTAGCTTCATCGCTGCACTGGGAAAGTTTTGCTTGCAAAGGAGATTGATTAGCACCCACTGTCATTGCAAGGTATTTTTATTTGGATTAGTTTCCTGTAAAATCATAACGCAAGACGTAAATATAGGGCCTTTTTGGGGGGGGGGGTTGGTAAATCAATGGCAATTACGGCATTTCAATGCTTAAACGAATTTAGCGCCTTTTTAGTGTAAAACATCCAAATTTCAGGCTTTTCCAAGCCTGTGGGAACCCTGTGATATAACATCAAAAGTTAAACAATGATATCAAGATGTGAATGATAAAAAGACAACAAAGTAAGATGTCCTAAAATATACATTGTTTTGTTGTACCATGTCAGTGTTCATTCTACAGAGTGGAATCATGACATAGTAAGATCTTAGTATACAAGAAATCCCACTGTGCATCAAGTCAGTATCCGGTTCATCCTTTCAGACTGATACTGCTAGTGAAGTGGTTGTCTGTTACCCATGCTTCTTTGGTAACCCCCTTTCTGAACATCAACCAAAGGCCCTGTGTTGTTTGGCAACCAGAATGAACACTGACTGCATGCTGACCAAGAAAGCTAAGCAGCCTGGCCTACCTGTAAGTATGTAGAGGGGACAAGGCCTTTCTCTCCATCACTGTTCTCAGCCACCCACCATCCATCATCCCTGAAACACATTTTCACTTTCATTGTGTAACAATGTTCCAAGTGTAATACATTATATCTGTTGACATTCAGCAGGGGCACTGGTCAGCTCTATATTTACACTGTGCTATTTTTAGACACAGTTCTGGAATGTACTACAACCCAACACACATTACACATACAACCCCTTATAGTATAGTCAAGGTGTAATCAAGATCCCTTATAGTACACTCAAGGTGTCATTATCCTTTATAGTACAATCAAAACTCATGAGGCGAGGTGAAATTGGGTTTTACTTAGGAATATTTCGCTCATATGATGACATGCATGTGTGTGTATGTGTGGCTGCTTGTCCTAGCACACTGAGATACCATGCTGCAGTTAAGCATGAATACCCCACTCAGACACATTATACTGACTCTGAGCCAACCAGTCCTGTTGTATTCATTAATGCCACAGGAAGAGACCAACAAGTACGATATTTTCACGTCTTTTGGTATGACGCGGATGGGGATCGAACGATCTATCCACTACACCATGGGGGCGGTGCTTAAAACTCATATACATACTGTAGAGCATGGATATATCACTATCCAAATATGCCTTAATTTCAAATAATTATGTAATTTTTAGAGTAAAATTGATATTTTCGACTTATCCTGACTCATGCTTATTGCTTGTCTTCTTCTTCTTTGCGAACATAGTGGAACACGTGTATTTCCCTATTGAAGTTCCCTTCAATAAAAAATCACTAATTAGAACTCACCACGAGTTACCTCCCTTCCACAAGCGCGGGAACGAGGGCGCCACATCCACCCATGTGCCTCACCCACTCCTCATATACTGAGCCCAACATTTGAATTTTCAGGGAAATCCAAAGTGTTATGTGGGGAGGATGGGAGGGCTTACCTCATGAGTCAGGATAAGTATAAAATATCAATTTTACTCTAAAAATTACATATTTTTCCTTATCCTGACTCATGCTTATTGCTTGTAGAATCCGACGGAAAAGGAGGTGGGAATATATAATACTTTGGATTTTAATAATTAGTGATTTGAACTGTGATGATTGTAATAACCCTATGGGAACTTCATAAAGGCACTGAACTGATGAATTCCTGCTGCTAACTTATCAGCTGCCATATAAAGGTTATTACAATTTACTTATTATGATAAAAGTATATATAACATTAATACAATGCTTAAGACTAATAGACTTAAGCTTGTTAATATGATAGCATAAACTCCTTAGATTTTGTTAGCTAAAATACTTTTATGATATAAACATAGTACTGAGATTAAACTTAAGCTAAATATAAAATAGCAAAAACTCCTTAGAGTTTATTAGCTAATATACTTTTATGATATAAACATAGTACTGAGCTTAAGATATGATTAAACTTAAGCTATATATATAATAGCAAAACTCCGTAGAGTTTGTTAGCTAATACATTTTATAATGTAACCATAATGCTTAAGATATAATGAATCTTAAGCTAAATATATAATAGCAAAAAACTCTTTAGAGTTTGTTAGCTAATATACTTATATGATATAAACATAGTACTGAGCTTAAGATATGGTTAAACTTAAGCTATGTATATAATAGCAAAACTCCGTAGAGTTTGTTAGCTAATACATTTTATAATGTAACCATAATGCTTAAGATATGATGAAACTTTAAGCTAAAGTATAAATATATAATAGCAAAAAAGCTTTAGAGTTTACCAATTTCAGGCTAATATACTGCCAAGGAAATATATGATATAAACATAGTACTGAGTTTTAAGATATGAATAGAGTTCTTAAGCTACATATAATAATAGCAAAAAAAACTCCAAAACTACCAAAAGGCACCAGAGTTTGTTAGCTAATACATGTTATAATGTAACCATAATGCTATGGGGATAAGATATGATGAAACTTATATGATATAAACATAGTACTGAGCTTAAGATATGAATAAATATATAATAGCAAAAACTCTGTAGAGTTTGTTAGCTAATATATATAATTTATGATATATGAGCTAAATATATATAATAGAGTTTGTTGCTTAATTTTTATGATATGATAATTACTGTGCTTAAGATATAGCTACATATATAATAATAAAAACTCTGTAGAGTTTGTTAGCTAATACATTTATAATGTAACCATAGTACTGAGCTTAAGATATGATTAACTTAAGCTGAATATATAATAACAAACTCCGTAGAGTTGTTAGCTTATATATTGTATGATATAATAACCATAGTACTGAGCTTAAGATAATAAAAGAACTTAAGCAAACTATATATAGCATGTAGCTATTTAGTACTGTTATAAGATAAGTAGAAATCTGTAAGATTGACTTATCTTCTCTGAGGAACTGTCAACTGTTGTGCGAGGAACATGGGACCGAATTGGTGGATACCTGAGACGTCCTTGGTGGTGATATCTCTCAGATAGTGGTTGGCAAACACCATATCGGATCTCCAGAAATAACCCTCCATTATGGTATTTCAATAGCACTTGCCGTGTAGATCAAGTGTAGATGTTAGCGCTCTAATATCATGAGGATTAGAAGCTCTTGGAGGGTCGAGTCCTGCAGTCTTGTAGGCACGTAGTATGACAGTTCTGATCAAAAAGGAGATAGTAGTACGTGAGACTTCAGTCTCGTAGCTTGTTGATAGAGGAAATAAATCTCTTGAATTTTTCCCTCCTGTTTGGCTCGGTGGAGATATATTTTCAGTGCTCTTACTGGCCATCGTGATAGATTCATCGTATCATGGGGTCCAAGTATATCATCAAAGCGTCTTCATAAACCTCACTTGTGAGGTGTTGAGCACTATATTCAGATCCCAAGTTGGGCGTGAAACTTCCGTTTTAATCCTCCAATCGGAAAGCTCGTAGCAAAGGCGAGTAACTGGGTTAAGGTTAACTTGATGCCCGTTCTCAGTTATGACAGAGCTATTGCTGCAAGATAGGTGGACAAGTTGAGCCTTTTAAAATCTTAGTCTGGCGTAGATAACATAAGTAGTCAGCCACTTGAGGATGAGTAGCATATCTAGCTGTAAATCCTTTCTTTGCAGCATAATTGACAAAACTGTGCCATTTGTCATCATTATAAGTTGCAAGTTGAGTTACGCGGGGCAAGCTAGACTGCTTTGCGGCTCTGGCTGAATAACCTGTTATTCAGACGCGCCTTGATACAATCCATATGTGAAGTTGGAATATTTCTGGCTTTCGATGCGGATGTATTAACAGATTCGAGCACTCAGTAAGATGTAGTATTGGTTGTCCGATTTCTTGAATAAGAGTTGGAAACCGTTCTGCGCTGGTCAGTAGGCGTGACCAAATTCAGATGGAGGCTCTGCGTTTGACTGATTTTGAGTAAACTTGTGAGATTAACGCTGGTGGCGGAAAAGCGTACGCGTTGAGACCTTCCCACGATATGCTTAGTGCGTCTGTTGCCAATGCTAGTGGGTCTGGAACTGGCGATACGAATGTGTCAGTTGTTTGTTGAATCGAGTGGCAAATAGGTCTATTAGTGGAGTTCCTATTTCCTTGATAATTTGAATGAATATCTCTGTATGGAGCATTCATTCTGTCGGCGATGGTATGTGTGGCCGAGAGAGAGCGTCTGCTATCACATTCTTTGCTCCTGGAATGTGATATGCTCTGACATGTATGTTGAGATTGTCGATTAAATCGAACAATTGAAAACATAGAGTCGATAGGTTAGGGGACCTGGTTGAGCTTAGTTTGTTCACATAAAAACGCCACTGTCGAATTGACTGTGTGAATCATCCACTGGGTATACTGTAGTAAGTTGCTCCAGTGCATTAAGGCGTTTAACACTGCTTGCATCTCTAGCAGATTTATGTGTAATTTGCTCTCTTGATTGCTCATAGCCCTGATGCCGTCCTGTTGGCAAGATGGGCTCCCCAACCTTGTAGTGACACATCTACGTGAGAAGTGTTATCGATTCCAGCTCTATTAGCGAGGCGATCTATTCAAACATTCGATCTCTTGGTCCACCATAGTAGATGAGGTTTGACCTGAACCCGATAAATTGAGCGGTAGAGATTCGTCTAGATCTTGAATTGATGATGACTTGTAAGGGATGTAATTGTAGTCTGCCTCTGCCTGTCATGTCTTGAGCTGAAGTGCGTAACCCCAACAGACTCTGCCACTGTCGTAGTGGTAGCGGAGAGAGTAAGGCTTGTGGAATTGACTGTTGGATCTTGATCCATGGTCCTCCGGTACAATTATACGATTCTGCGCCGTTACAAATCAAAAACCTAGAATTAGCAGATCTTGCGAAGGTTCTAGGTCCAACTTAGGTAGGTTTACTAACCATCTAGTTGTGTTAGTAGCTTGATGATGAAATTCAACTGTAGTCTGAGACGCTGTGGATTTGGATCCACTTGTATCCCGTCGTCTAGGTAAATTTGCTGCGAAGTCCTTGACGATGTAGGTGCACAACCAGGTGTGACTGCCATCGTTGAACTTTCTACTGCCGTGCCCTCGTCCTTACTTGACAGGGGAGGTCTCTAACCTCAAGAAGGCAGCCCAATCATGAAGGTTCAGATTAGCTGGACTGTAAGGAGGCTTGCTCGTTCACTGATATATTGTTGTCACTTGCAACCTAAGTCTTGAACTGTGAACTATGATCGACCTCTGCGTAGGGCGTTGTCCATTGCGGTCCAATCAGAACAAGGCATTTTGATTCTGTAGAGTACCCGCGCTGTGATGTCACCGGTGTAGCAGGAAAAGGAACCTTGTATAATATAGTGCCGTCGTTGATATTAGAACAATCGTCGGTCTTCACCGTAGCTTCCCGAAGTTACCCGAGTGACCACGTGTTTCAAGGGTTAATGGTAAACGGGCGAACCTCCGGGGCGAAATACCTCGCTCTGTAATATTAATGCTGGGTAGGTTATTTTCCTGGCTGTCGTGAAAGTAACTTCAGTCTTGAAGATAATTCGACTTCCTTATATAAAGGTTCAATAAAACTTGCAAGTTGTCAGCTTGTAGACTGTATACATGAATGTATCGTCATAATTGTAGAATTAAAGCTGAACTTGTTGTACATATTTCTTCTCAGAAATCGTTGACGATTATGAGTTATACTACGCTGTAACAAGGCTGCTGTTCAATTTCGTTATTGAATTGTCTGCAGATCTAGCGTAATGGTCGCATGTAGATAATCGTATCGTAGTCCAGGATTGCATACCTAGCAATCTATACGGAAAAGTTGATTCCTGTGAAGATCTCAAACGAAGCGTTGTTGATGCCCTTGATGTAGGTAGTCGGCTTGAAGATCCTTAATTAGGCTCTTCATCTGTTGATAAAATAATACAGCGGCGTTCTGTGTTGTAAACAGCCTGTGCAATTGTCTTCAGCGTAGGCTTGTAGGCGGCATATGGCATACAGTTGATAGACAACTCATGCGATGTCTTGAGCGGACTGGCAGTGGCTATATATGGCGAGTGGCTAGTATATGGAGACCTTGGAGCAGACTTCCTCGGTGACGCCGGGACTTAGCTCTCGAAGTAAGTATCCTTCTAGATCTTCTGGGTGAAGTAGACTTGGAGCCACTTAGCCTTAGCGACCTTCCAGCGAAAGTATCGAGTCAGAGTCCAATCAATATATGAGCTTGCTTGCTTGAAGCGACCTCTGTGTTCTACAGGGTGTGGGCTCGGCGAAGCGCTCCTCCTCCAGCGATGTCATTACGCAGAACTGGTGAGGCTCTAGCTCCTCGCCGGGCTGACCTGGGACTTCCTTAGCGAAGGGTCTAGAGTCCGCTCAATATATGAGCGCTTGCCTTGAAGCGACCTCTGTGTTCTACAGGGTGTGGGCTCGGCGAAGCGCTCCTCCTCCGCGATGTCCCTCGCAACTGGTGAGGCTCTAGCTCCTTCGCAGAGGTTCAATATATGAGCGCTTGCTTTGCGAACGACCTCTGTGTTCTACAGGGTGTGGGCTCGGCACAGCGCTTCTCCTCCGCGATGTCCCTCGCAACTGGTGAGGCTCTAGCTCCTTCGAGGAGGCGGCCTGGGACTTCCTTAGCGAAGTGTTCGCTACGGGCTGGATTGCCCTTCGCGGAGGCGCGTTTGTGGGCTCTGGGGCCCTGTATGACTTATTATGGGTTGGGCTCTGAGGCCCGTGGCTCTGGGGCCTCTGTAAACCGTAACGGTCCTCCATCAGTCTCATGATTTGGTTGACCAGGTCGTCTGGGATGGTCTGCGCTGGCGTTGAGGGTGTCCTCTCTGTGATAGTGACGGGACCCTCAGTTATAATCTCCGGCGTCAGCGTAGGCATCTCTGGTTGCATGTTGATCTGCGCTGAAGTGACGGTAGCCGATACCGGTCACTTCTTATAACGTACATCTGGAATGATAATCGGAATGTCATCATCATATAAACATAATTCTGAATATCAGAAGCAAAGTTTTTTAGTAGCCTTCGTGGATTTCCCTTTTGACGAAGCTGTAGACCTGGGGGTTCGGAGCGTACGTTGAGACGAAGTGGAAGCTCTTCTAGTCTTAGATTGTGATGAAGGAACGTCCTGGGATGCAGGTCGCTTCTAGGATATAGCGGACTGCGTCCCACGCTTATCCCCCGAAGGTAACTCAGGATATATCTGACTCCGATCTATTAGCCATGACTGAAGATTGTTTCCGAGATCTATCTGCCATCCGTCACAAGACGGAATTTATCAAAGGCAGAATTAGACAAATTAATACATAATTTAGAGCGTGAAACAATAGAGCATGGAGATATGCAACTAGGGCATCTTAAATGCGGATCGGTAGCAGAGTAATTTACAAACAGTGCAGATTTTTATTAACGCAAACTGCTGAGCAAACAAGGTGAACCGTGAATCAAGCAGCAGAAACACGAACAATTATCAATGCATGTTGAATAAGGATACTAGTTACACCTCTATAGATGAATATAAGAGGTAACAAACTAAATATAAATAAAGGATATAGTGTGCAGGGAGACACAGGTGCTCTCACGTCTTGCTCACTGGGCGAAGAAGGAGAGAGTGAGGCACATGGGTGGAGGTGGCGCCCTCGTTCCCGCGCTTGTGGAAGGGAGGTAACTCGTTGTGAGTTCTAATTAGTGATTTTTTATTGAAGGGAACTTCAATAGGGAAATACACGTGTTCCACTATGTTCGCAAAGAAGAAGAAGACAAGCAATAAGCATGAGTCAGGATAAGGAAAAATATGACCACTACATATATACATAGTATGAAGCAATACAATTATTTCGTGAAGCTATATTCACTAATACAATATATTGCTCACACTTACCCAATGCTAACCATGACAACGGGGGGTCAAATACTTATACCACTTGTATACTCTGTATTCAACACACAAGGAAAACTGCTAGTTACTAAAGGTTGGAAGTTCGGTACAATCTCGAATGAATAACCAACAGATGACACATGATGTTTTCCAACTACCTTGTCTCAATGATGGTGAGGATGTCACCTTTCTTGAATCCAAGATCTCCCTCTTCTTCACCAGCATAGTCCTCCACAGCTACAAACTGCCGCATCTGGAAGTAACACTTTGTGTTTAATCACACGTGGAGTAAGCAGGGTGAGTGGGTGGCTGAGTGGGGGCCATTTTCAGACACTTTATACAAGTCTAACATGTAGTGAGTGAGTGAGTTTAGTTTTACACCAGTTTTTAGCAATATTCCAGCAATATCATGGTGGAGGACACCCGAAATGGGCTTCACATATTGAACCTAAGTGGGAACCCAGGTCTTCGGGGTGACGAGTGAACGCTTTAACCACTGGGCTACCCCACCGCCCCAGTCTAACATGTAAGGTGATGCTGTAGCTGTGACAACACTCTGACGTTACTCACAGAGGGTGTCGTCTCTATGGTTGCTTTTGTTCCTCCATCCTCATCCTCATCATCATCATCATCATCATCTTCTTCATCATCTTCATCTTCCTCATCCTCTTCTTCTTCTTCATCTTCTTCTGTTTTCTTGGCTACCTTTGCATTCCTGTACACAAACAGATAATACCGATGTGTGACTACCACTAGACACAAATTCATGATCAAAAGCTATTTCCATGAGAATTAATGTCCTACAATGAGACTAAATGGATACGGTTATGCAAGGTGACTTCACTGATTGTATGTCATCTTATCCCACTGGCATGGTTCTCTGTTACTATGACGGGCACTGGTTTGCCTAGTTTTGACACAAGCATTGACAGGCCACTATGATATAGTGGCAATGCTGCTAAATGTGATGTTAAACAACAAATTATTTAAAATAGTGGAGTTGTTGTCTAGAGGAAGCTAATAATGAAACAGTATTTCAGTTACACCACAACAGGTCATAGTCAGGCACAGTCAAAACAAGCCCATGGCATAGATATCTGATGAACCTCATGACAAAGGTGTTGACAGTCAATGACCCTAATAAAAGTGACATGGAGATTTGAGGTATGCAAGAAGGGCTTCCCACAAAGATGCATCTGAACATATGTCCACTGAGTGGTACATGGTCAAATCTGGACCAAGTAAAACCAGTGGTCGCTGACACTTTGTTTACTTCAGTTTCCATTTGTATGGCCTGGGTGACATGAAAATGGACCCCCATGGCCAGAGACCAGGTTTACTCCCGAACCATATCTGTACAAAGATCATAGAGCATAGGTTTCAGTACTTTTGTTGAGATGGTTTGGTTTCTTCTTCCTCCTCTTCATCTTCCTCCTCCTCTTCTTCCTCATATTCATCTTCATCATCTTCCTCTTCCTCTTCATCTACTTTTGTTTTGGCAGCTGTGGGTTTATCTAGGCAAATTGTTTCACACTCACATCAATATTGGTATGCCCAGAGGTTTTGTAATATACTTGAGTTTAAAAAGACAAAAAGAGTAAACGTTGGACTGTCACTGAGTATTTCTCACTCTAAAATAATCAAGTATAATAAAGTAGTGAGCTTAAAACATGGTTGGGATTCCACAAAACAATTTAACCCCCTTTAAATCCAATACTCAAAGTAGTAAGCTTTGAGCAGGAACTGGGCCCAGGGCTGATGTTTCTTTAGGAAGAGTCAGATATGTTTTATAAGCAATATTTTCTACGAAACAATTCATCTTCTTCTGAACACAAACAAATATCTCTACCCTTTTTATCAGTGGGTTTGACTTTAGCTTCAGACTCTTCCTCCTCTTCTTCTTCCTCCTCCTCTTCCTCTGCATCCTCCTCCTCCTCAACCTCCTCCTCTTCACCTTCCTCCTCTTCCTCACTTACCTCCCCCGCCTCGCGACGCATCTTCCTAGAAAGGGATTTCTCTGTCTTTAATTATGACATGAGGGTAATGACAAGGTCATCTTGACTCCCATTCTTTATTTGGCACACTGTACATACTGTATCACATTTTTATATATGTAGCATGATCAATTTGGATTAACATAATCTCTATAACAGTTTATTCACTTATAATACTTAGTGTGTTTTAGTATTTTCTTTTAAGCGTTCAATTAAACGGAAACAAAACACTAACTTTAAAAGTGTCAAAATACGGATGTGTTGTTTCTTCACGGAATACAATTTGCTTATTACTACTTTGACAGATTTTACTTGTGTTCAGCGCTATTCTCACTGCGCTGCCCAAAGCAACACCTGTTCTGCTAGGCAAAGTTTTAAATACTGTGAGTGAGTATGAGTGGGTGGGTGAGTTCAATTTTACACCGCACTCAGCAATATTCCAGCTATATGGCGGCGGTCTGTACCAATCGAGTCTACACCAGACAATCAATTGATCAACAGCATAAACATCAATCTACGAATTTGGGATACGTTGATGTGTGAACCATGTCAGCGAGCCTGACAACCCAATCCCGTTAGTATGCCAAGCATACTGGATCTTCATGGGTGAATGTTCTCAGAAACTGGAAACTAGCAATCAGCTGTATGCACATTTTTCACAATTCTACCTGTGATTCAGTTAAACAATACCCAATGAATTAACTTTAAAGAAATTTGGTGCAATGTTCGTACTACAGCAAATGACCAGTGAATATCTAGGTTAGAATTGGTCTTCAGCAACCCATGCTTGTCAAAAGGTGTCTAATGCGATAGAAGTAACTTGGTTGACACATGTCATCGTATCCCAAATGCATAGATCGATACTCATGCTGTTGATCATTGTATTGTCATTATTTACAGACCGCCACCAAATAGCTGGAATATTGCAGAGTGTGGTGTTAAATGACAAATAAAGAATGAAAATGACATGCAAATATCGTAATTACAACCAAAAAGGTTACCAGTATAACATCAGGCAGTTATCTTGTTCGAGGAATATATCCATCAATATATACACATAAGAACAATATCCCGTACATTTAAAGCTGTAATTATGTGGAATAATGACAACTACATGAGTGGGGTGGTGAGGTAGTATGGTTTTATGCCACTGGCAGCAATATTCCAACAACTTCAAGGAATCACCAGAAATAGGCTTTGTACAGTCAGAATTACAACCATGCTGGGTGACAAGTGAATGTTCTAACCATTAGACTATCCTATCAAATTGATACGTAACTGAAGGAACACAACAAACGTCTATCCACTTAAGTATAAAGATACCTGATAATAATAATAATAATAATAATAATAATAAGAGTACTTTTATAGCGCCTCATCCACATCACCCAGGGACATGCTCTAAGCGCATAACATATATACAGGTTCTATGTACAGGAAAGTTGACGTCATAGATATTTCTTGAAGAGGTGAGTTTTGAGCTTGGACTTAAAGACTGGGAGTGATGGAGAGGTTTTAAGATCCGATGGTAGAGAGTTCCAGAGAGTGGCAGCAGCATGAGAAAATGAATTTGCACCAAAGGTTTTGAGTTTGCACACAGGAATAACTAGCAAGAGTTGATCGCTGGAGCGGAGAGATGTTTCAGGTTTGTACAGTGTTATCAAATCATGGAGGTATGCTGGACCAATGCTATTAACAGACTGATAAACAAGGGAGAGCAATGATATACAGTAAGACTTACTTGAGATACTGTTCTTCATTCTCATCTGGCTGCAGCTTTGTCATCGTCTCGCTCAGCTGGGTCTGAGACAAGTGGAAAACTATGGCTTTACAAAAATTCACTACTTTATCAAAGTAACGATGTAAATGCAGCACTATCATTGACATTTAGGATGTGTGTAAACATAAGAGTTGCTTGATGTACTCAACCATGATCTTGAACACTGAAATTATAACACAAAAACAACCATAACAACGTTTTTCAATAAATATCATCATCTTACTGAAGGAAAGAATTGACTGTGTTTCCATCTTATCCATTCTTTACATATATTGTCAAAGGATGAATCATATACTCACTGCCATTTGAATGAATTAGTTTTGTAGTCAAATTATTAATATCTGTGAATGTTTGAAACTAGAAAACTATTTTTCAGACCATTAGTTTAGTTCTTGGCCAGGTGTCAAATTTCTGTTGTAAATCAATCCCTGAAAACAGGAAAATTATCTCCTTACCTGCCATACTTCCAAACGCTTTGTTTCAAAGGTTTTTTATTTGCATAGTTCTTCACTTTGCTGGGCTCATCCTCCTAGAAAATAATTAACACAAACCATGTATAAAGATACCCTCAAATAAAACACATTAATGCTTGGTGTCAAGCAACCTGTGAAACAATTACATATATACAGGTTCTATGTACAGGAAAGTTGGCGATCATAGATATTTCTTGAAGAGGTGAGTTTTGAGCTTGGACTTAAAGACTGGGAGTGATGGAGAGGTTTTAAGATCCGATGGTAGAGAGTTAGAGAGTGGCAGCAGCATGAGAAAATGAATTTGCACCAAAGGTTTTGAGTTTGCACACAGGAATAACTAGCAAGAGTTGATCGCTGAGCGAGAGATCTTTCAGGTTTGTACAGTGTTATCAAATCATGGAGGTATGCTGGACCAATGCTATTAACAGACTGATAAACAAGGGAGAGCAATGATATACAGTAAGACTTACTTGAGATACTGTTCTTCATTCTCATCTGGCTGCAGCTTTGTCATCGCCTCCGGCTCAGCTGGGTCTGAGACAAGTGGAAAACTATGGCTTTACAAAAAATTCACTACTTTATCAAAGTAACGATGTAAATGCAGCACTATCATTGACATTTAGGATGTGTGTAAACATAAGAGTTGCTTTGATGTACTCAACCATGAACTTGAACACTGAAATTATAACACAAAAACAACCATAACAACGTTTTTCAATAAATATCATCATCTTACTGAAGGAAAGAATTGACTGTGTTTCCATCTTATCCATTCTTTACATATATTGTCAAAGGATGAATCATATACTCACTGCCATTTGAATGAATTAGTTTTGTAGTCAAATTATTAATATCTGTGAATGTTTGAAACTAGAAAACTATTTTTCAGACCATTAGTTTAGTTCTTGGCCAGGTGTCAAATTTCTGTTGTAAATCAATCCCTGAAAACAGGAAAATTATCTCCTTACCTGCCATACTTCCAAACGCTTTGTTTCAAAGGTTTTTTTATTTGCATAGTTCTTCACTTTGCTGGGCTCATCCTCCTAGAAAATAATTAACACAAACCATGTATAAAGATACCTCAAATAAAACACATTAATGCTTGGTGTCAAGCAACCTGTGAAACAATTACTGACACAACTACCAATCCAGATTTATTTGTAAATAAAAATATGTTAAAACCAAACAATTACTGAGGTTCTGATATGGCTGAGCTTTACCTTTCATACTAGGTAACCATTTTGTCATGACGATATTTATTACTCATTGTGCTAAGTATGTTTATTAACAAAGGTTACCTCTTTGAGCTCCTTTACAATGTTTAGCAATGGAGAAACTTCTTGTTTCAAGTCAAAACAGCTGAAATGGAGATACTCTTTTATCAACAAAGGTTGCATCAGTGTGCAAAGTTACAGCTTAATGATTTTGATGACATACAAAAGAGTTATTAACTCCAATGTTACAATGTTCCTTTGCTCAAATGTGATGTCTTCACCATCATGATTAATTAGCAAGTACAGTCATCCCTTGCAATAATGCGTTATGTAATAGTTACTATAATGCAGGTGTCTAATAACACGGGGGGGGTTGTCATCCATGTACCCCAAGACCCGCGTTATGGCGAGGGATTACTGTAATTACTATTGCAGCTTCACAGTTCTAAGAATGAACAAACAAATGAACAAATCTAATATTTCCCAGATATGATATTAAGTATCATATCAAGTAACATATAATAATATATACAAGACTGTGACTTGGAACATGTCCTACATCAGGATGTTACCAGGTACAAATTCAACTCCAACAAACTTGTCACCTACTTTTTGTACAGCTGTCTCAACTTTTCTTCCTTGTCTTTCAGTTTGGTGTTATCAAGAGTCTTGTTACTTTCCTTCACCAGCTTTTCAACCTGTTTGTCAATCAATAAAACACACGTAAAGACAAGACATTCTATGATAGTGAGTGAATGTTGTTCCATAGCTCTAGTTACATCAACTTTATGACAGCTGCCTGTAACAATAAAACATGGCAACTCAAACCAGTGATTGATGGTGTGAGCTTTAATGACTCATGCATGCAGTTGTTATTCATATTCAACAGCCATTTGGATCACTTAGTCCAGATTATGTCTTCCATACATCATTAGGGTCAATAGGCACAAGATATTGAAATGCATTTTATACTTTGATAACCATAACATGATTACTGCTTGCACTGGGATCATGATATGCATGGTCTCTATACAGTTAATAGTAATTGTGTCAGTCTTATTTAGAACTCAAAAGCAAAGAGACATCATCTTAATCAAGTATTAAAGAAAATGTATGTGTGTCTATTATCATCTTTGTGATCGAGTTTGAATTCAGGACCTAAAATAGCAGAAACTGAGAAAGTTGAAATTTTGACATTCAGGGAATCAGTGAGTTTGTTTAGTTTTTTGCATCAACACTCTTTCACTCTGTATTTGAGGAACTATCTATAAGTTAAAATTATCCATATTTCGCTAACTGGAATAATAATCTAAGGCTAACTGAAATATGAATGTTTAAAAATGAAAAAAGAGTTTTCTATAGAAACCCAAAGAAACCTTATTTGTTTGAAAGGATTAATTAAACTAATGATCATGTATAAATTTTACTTAGACACTCCTCTACAGGTCAATTATCCCATACATTATTGTTAGAGGACATGAAGTCTTATCACCAATGTTTGTCACTCTTCGGACAGACATGCTTTTCTAACTGGATTCTAGATGTTAAACTTGCACAAGCAAAGACACAAGGCAGTTCAATTCTTACTTTTTTCAGAGGCACAGGGCAGTTTAACTGGTAGTTTTCTCAGTGCCCTCTTAATTTAACCTGACAATAAAACTACAAATTTAAGATGTTTCACTTTGCAAGAGATATGAAAGATCTGTGAATGTAAGTTCTTGACAGGATACACAATGTTCAGGCTGTCATGAACTTAGATTGGTTGGTTGGTTTGTTGGTTGTTTAACACTGCACTCCACAGTATTCCAGCTATATGGCAGCGGTCTGTAAATAATTGAGTCTGGACCAAACAATCCAGTGATCAACATCATGAGCATCAATCTTCGCAATTGGCACATGATGACATGTGTCAACCAAGTCAGCAAGCCTGACCACCTGATCCCGTTAGTCGCCTCTTACGGCAAGCATGGGTTACTGAAGACCATTTCTAACCCGGATCTTCAATGATCATCATCAGATCATGAACACAGAAACAAATGTGGATAGGTGACTGTAACTGACTGGGCTGACAGTGAAGGCAATAACTCTCTGGAGTCTAAACAGTGTTCCTGCTTTGGTTCTTCAGGTTTGCATTGCCACATTAAACAATTTGTAGTGTCCCTTATCCCATATTTCCAGGAGAAAACTAAAAACAATCTCAATCACATTTTCCCCACTTCTTAGGGATTTTTCATTAAAATCTGTAAAGCAACTAAAAACATATACATAGGCTGATACCCCACCTCCACCCCTGTCCTGAAAGTTTATTAAATGACAATTGAAACGCATGTGAAAATGAAGTGTGCATCCCCCTTTCTCAAGAGCGTGCACACACACACACACACACCCCTTCTCTAAATGCTGTACCCGCCCCTGATATATATTTATCTGCTTTAGCATATGTGTAGCCTGCACATGTTCATCACTCTAAAGAAGTCTGCAATGTATGAACATATTTTATTCACATTGAAATGGATTACGGAAACCAATTTAGAAATCTCTCTCCATGTCTGTCTGTTAATGTACAATATCGTCAACCTCTACTTCGGATTGGAACATTCTAATTTTTCTAATGATATTAGATAGCATGTCACAACACGTTTCGAAGCTGAGTTGTTTCTTAATATCCCTTACACTGTGATGAGAACCGAACACAGCTCTGAATGAATTTTTAACTCATGTACAAAATGTCAGGAGAAAGTTTGCGTAGTGGTAATCGTGATGCATTAGCATCATTACATTATTCGCAAAATACACATCAATTTATGTGAAATTGAGTGAGAATTCATCGTGTATCTTGCTTGACAACAGAGATAAAAAGAAATACTGCTCCTTTAAAAAACAGCATGACAAGTTACCCTCTTCTTCAAGGCATCTGCTTCTTTCGTTGCCTTAGGTAATGGTCCTAATTGTTTTGGCATTTTGAAGTTAACTGTATGTAAGCACCCAAGAAATCACTGTCATTTATATTTCAGATCAGGAACACCGCCGCCATATTTCAACAATGTTTGTAGGGGGCGCTCTTTCCGTGAGGTTCTCCGAATAAATGTTATCATTTGTTTTGGGCACACTATATTATGTACAACGTTATTTCGAAAATGTAAGAAACGAAATTACATGTCAGAACATATATATCAACTGAATCAATGGCATAACCATTTCTATAATGTTAATTACATACAAATATTTATTGATGACATTACGTATAATAGGCCCCGTCTTGTAAGTAGGAATCACTAGACGAACAACCACGCTGCATGCGCTGCTGTAAGTTTAAAAATAGTATATACATTATAGTATAGACGGGTGCAAGTCTTACGCTGTGAGGAACCCTCAAGCGCAGCGCGCGTGAAATGTGGGACTAGTTTATATTATTCCACAAGAAGGTCATGAAACCACTTGGGAGTACTGCACTTTACTAAATTACGTCCCACGTTGGGTATATGATATTTTAATTCATTGTATGTGATGTGTGACAGTCTTTGGTGTCTTTGTATGCGTTCTTAAGCAATATTGCTTTTTGAAGAGATTGATATTGCGTTGTTATTTACGTTGTCCAATGTTCGATCATCTTTAGTTTTTACGGTAAAAAACAACTGGTTACCGGTATATATTGTCATATGTACGCGGTTTTATTCTTGATGCCAGTCTTTTGCATTGCAAGTCCCTGTGATGGTGATTACGTGGCTAATGATCTGGAACAGCGTCTTAAGCTTAAAAATTAATATTCGTACTAGTAATTTGAACCCCTTAAAACATGAGTTTCATGGGAAAATGAATGTAAGTTGCCTCAAGATGACTTTTTACCTTTTTCAGATTAGGAGTGCTAGCCTGTCCAACAAGATGGCAGGTTTTCTCACAAGACAAGTATTAGTGCATAATCAGAAACTGTTATCCTTACCACCATGTGTGTACTTTAATCCTTCACGGACTAAAGTAGGAATTTATGAACCAGACAAAAAAGTCGGGTTATGGAAAACCATTGCCGTCACACAAAACCCTCCTAAAAGAGGGCATGAAAGGACTGAAACAAGAAATCAAATTGTTTGGACAGGAAGTAAAAGAGAAATGTTATGCTGATCCGTTTGTCGATGTGCAAGACGGAGACTACACATACGAGTGGAAGATGAATACCAGGGAGGACATTGACAAGTGGATGGTGACCACTGATCATGACAACAACGAGGGACTGAGCAAAGCCTCATTAGTGCTTAGTACAAACAATACTGCAATGTTTCATGGGTATTTATCACAAGAAGTGATGAAGGACGGCATTCAGAAGCGTAGTGGGTATGCTGGGATACGTTCTCCCAGTAGCTTTGTAAGTAATTATGTGGTATTGTTAGTTTAATGTGTGGTGATGGGGTAGCCTTGTGGTTAAACCATTCACTCATCACACCAAAGACCCTGGTTTTATTCCTCAAAAGGATACAAACTGTGGAGCCCATTTCTGAAGTCCTCTGCTGTGATATTGATGGAATATTGCTACAAGGGGGGTAAAACTATGCTCACTGACTCCAGTGTCTTTTCATATTTAATACACCCGTGAGGGTCTGGGTTAGAATGAACCTTCAGTAACCCATGCTTGTCGTAAGAGGCGACTAACGGGATCGGGTGGTCAGGCTCGCTGACTTGGTTGATACATGTCATCGGTTCCCCATTACGCAGATCAATGCTCATGTTGTTGATCACTGGATTGTCTGGTCCAGACTCGATTATTTCCAGACCACCGCCATATCGCTGGAATATTGCTGAGTGCGTGTACAACTAAACTCACTCACTTTAATACAGAGGAACCAGGAGAATCTCTTCATTTTCAGAAAGTAAAGAAACCTAAATATTGCAGACTTGACTGGGATTTTTGTTTCATGGTCTTTGAATCAATGAGAGGCTTAGCCGCTTTAGTGATGACAGAAGCGAACACTTCATTGCAGATGTTAAGATTTTCTTGATCCTCATAGTATACTCCAGTCATAGGTTTAGACAGGTTTTTAGAACTATAACATGGTCAAAGACTGTATAAGGACCCGTGAAGATCCGGGGTAGAATAGGTCTTAAGCAACCCATGCTTGCCACAAAAGGCGACTATGCTTGTCGTAAGAGGCGACTAACGGGATCGGGTGGTCAGGCTCGCTGACTTGGTTGACACGTCATCGATTCCCAATTGCGCAGATCGATGCTTATGCTGTTCATCACTGGATTGTCTGGTCCAGACTTGACTATTTACAGACCGCCGCCATATAGCTGGAATATTGCTGAGTGTGGCGTTAAACTAAACTCACTCACTCAAAGACTGTATCCACTTTCTGAAAAGAAGTCATGTTAAACCCATGTGAGCATGGTGAGGATCAAGGAAATAATGGAAACCAAACATTTCATTTTCAAAAATTATTAATTTAATTAATTAATATAACTCTTCACCGTCAATAACCAGCCTTTGTTGAAATGTTGCATTAATGATGCACCGAACCTATTACTGTAAGTATTTTGTTAACAAGAATATACTTTCAAGTGACAAGATTCTGGAGTCTTAGAATGTGCCATGATTACTGTACTATTACTACAAAGGGATACTTTACTGGCTCTCTAGTGTTTGATGCATGCTTCAAGTACCTCTGTGATATAGTCGTACAACAAAACACTGATAAGGAACAATCACTGCTACAACTTTATGGCTGTTTGTTTTACAGAAGTCATTCAAGAGAAAGGTCTCCTATGACTGGTCTATTTTCAACTGTTTGGTGATGCGAGTTCGTGGGGATGGGCGCACCTATATGATCAACATTCACATGAATCGAACCTTTGACGTTGGCTGGAATGATCAGTATAACTATGGCCTCTTCACCAGAGGTGGGCCATACTGGCAGGTTGCTAAGGTTGGTTAGTTTTAAAGTACAGCACACACTGTAATGACTTCTAGACAGCTGCAGTCCTGCTATTAAACTAAAGGGACAGTACACGGACCATTCTGAAGCATTGTTTTATGAACAAACTCCCAAGCTTTTCTCTTTTAGCTGTTGTCTTGTTTGTAAACATTGTGAAGAAATGCAGTTAGTCAGAAATACCAGACAGGCTTAATGGGTACCCAGCAGGAGATGGTAATGAGAATGCAGATTGACGGCATGTACTTAGGTTCTATTATCCCCAGCCTATTATTATTTCCACCCAAATATGTATATACTGATCTACTTGTTCACCAATGTTGATAACGATACGCTATTTAACCTTTGTATTTTCATTGATACGGTGTTGAAAAAATAGTGTAAATGCATTATGTTAACTTCAGATGAATTTTGTTAGTGGCGCAGTATGTATGTATGTTCACCCATTTATACAAAATAAAATGAATGATGGTATATTATCCCCATGGAGTTGAGAAATGTGAACACACACTTTCAGCATGTGTGGTATACACAGTGTCAGTGTTTCTATTATAACTATTATGCACCTCTCATGTACTTCAGATTCCTTTCTCCAAGTTCTACCTGACCAGCAAAGGCCGAATCCAAGATAAGCAGGAGCCAATACAGCTGACCAATGTGTCGACCATGGGCCTGAGTATAGGGGACGGCAACGAGGGGCCCTTCTCCCTCGAGATAGACTATATTGGACTCATGTATGATGAGAACCACTATGAAGAATTTGCTTATGAAATGTATGAGGCAAATCCAGCTCATGTGGGTACATGAGAAACTTGTTTCGTGTTTGGAAAAAATCATGTGAAATATTTTGAAATAACATTTACAACTTGTTTGTCATTTTTATTTCATTATCAAGAAGTACAGAAATTATTGGTGGGTGTCTGTGTGACTGTTACAAATCAGAATTAGGAAAGATTTCATGACATATAACTAACAAAACAACACAATCCTGTTTTCAAGCACTTACAATCCTACTGCACACTTCATACACAATCTATAAATATACAAAACATACAAGAAAACATTCTTTGCAGTAATAGTCCAGAAGAGGAACTCTTTAGATTAACAGGGTGTCAGACTACATAAGTTTCAGTTTCATGTCGTTCTGTAAGAGAATGCATGACTGAGGATTTGGATAAATATGTAAATCGTCAGCTGCAGGGGAAGAGCACAGGTGCTATTCCCACAAGTATTCTGTCACAATCACCTGACTTGCCATGCAGTTTAGTCATTGTTTCACTCCATAGAATATGTCAATTTCAAGATAAATCAACTTCATAAATATGTGCATAATTAAATCACCATAACCTGAAATCATTGATTTGTGACACAAACAAAACATAATAATGCATAGTCCAGTTGAGGATCAGCGAAGCAAGATGTATGGACATTGCTTGATATCAATACTAAAATATTGACTGACACCAGTTACAGCAGGCAAGATTATTGCTACTAGAATTTGTCCATTCACCACAGGACCTAACATAGTCTGGCCTTTATTCAGTAGTCTGGGGTGTAAGTTCGGGCAAATTCTTACAGCACAATAAGTTCAACTAACAGCAAATAAACCTAAGTGGACAAAAATCTAATGCAAGTGAAAGAAGGTTTTGGTACAGACTGGAAACAGGTCAACTTCAATTCCCACTGCCCAGGATGGTCACTGAAATACCCATTACATTTAATCCCTATGAATGTCCACTCTATCAGCAATGAGATGGGAGAAACAAGATTTCAAATCCACTTCAGCCTTTATTTCAGTATCTTGGCATGTCTGCTTGATGTAGGAGAAAGCCACAAGTGAAGCAATGATGAAATCCACAAGCAGAGGGGAAGTGCTGACAAACCACAATATTTATGAGGAGCAAATCTTTGATTGAAACCACAATCAAGGGTCTCTGTTACACCCGAGGAACACAACTCTACAAAGTGAATATCGACACTGTAGAAAACTAGGCTGCAAGTGCCCTAACAACAAGTGCGTGAGTTTAGTTTGACACCACATTCAGCAATATTCCAGCTATATGGCGGCATCTGTAAATAATCAAGTCTGGACCAGCTTGAGCATCAATCTACGCAGTTGGGATATGATGACATGTGTCAACCAAATCGTAGAGCCTGACCACCCAATCCCGTTGGTAGCCTCTTACGACAAGCAGGAATAAACAAAGCAGGGAAATGTATGATCAGTCACATTTGTCAACTTGGGCCTGGCTGTAATTCTGAAAGCTTGGACTACTCACAGCCATCATCTGTCAACACAACCCACAATGACTCTACACTGAATCACAGTATGTAACCTCCATCAAGACTTCTTAATGGTGTGTGTGTGTGTGTGTTTAGTAGGGTAGCCTAGTGGCTAATCATGCCTAAGACGCAGGTTCAATTTCCCCACATGGATACAATGTGTGAAGCCCATTTCTGGTATGCGCTGACGTGATATTACTTGAATATTGCTAAAAGTGGCATTAAAATAAACTCATTCACTCTTAATGCGTGTTATGAGATTACTTTGCGAAATGTTAAACGAGGAAAACCAATTGTAACCTGCCTCTTTCCTACAGCCGCCAGCATGATCTAGTTAAGTTGTTAAAAAGCAAACAGCTCTGCCTTATTCTTACAGTTATGTTGTTAGATCACCACAAACATATACATGGAACACTCAATGACAGCCAGTGCTTGTTCACTCCACCATACCCCACTCCACCAAACCACTATACCCCGCTCAATCGTAACCCACTCCACCATACCCCACTCCCTGCTCAATCGTACTCGACTCCACCATACCTCACTCTATCATACCCACCTCCATCATACCCACCTCCATCATACCCCACTCCGCCATACCCCACTCCATCATACCCCGCTCCATCATACTCCACTCTACCATACTCCACACCACCATACTCCCCTCCACCATACCCCACTCCATCATACTCCACTCTACCATACCCCGCTCCATCATACTCCACTCTACCATACCCCACACCGCCATAGACCACTCTACCATACCCCGCTCCATCATACTCCACTCTACCATACCCCACTCCATCATACTCCACTCTACCATACTCCACACCACCATACTCCCCTCCACCATACCCCACTCCATCATACTCCACTCTACCATACTCCACACCACCATACTCCCCTCCAGCATACCCCACACCACCATACCCTACTCTACCATACCCCGGTCCACCATACCCCAATCCACCATACCCCACTCCACCATACCCCACACCACCATACCCCACTCTACCATACCCTACTCTACCATACCCCGCTCCACCATACCCCACTCTACCATACCCCACTCCATCATACTCCACTCTACCATACCCCACTCTACCATACCCCACACCATCATACCCCGCACCACCATACACCCGTGAAGATCTGGGGTACAATAAGTCCTCAGCAACCCATGTTGCCACAAAAGGCGACTATGCTTGTCGTAAGAGGCAACCAATGGGATCGGGTGGTCAGGCTCACTGACTTTGTTGACACGTCATCGGTTCCAGACTGGTCCAGACTCGTTTATTTACAGACCGCCGCCATATAGCTGGAATATTGCGGAGTGCGGTGTAAAACTAAACTCATTCACTCACTCCACTATATCCCACTCCACCATATTCCTCTCCACCATACCCCACGCCACCATACTCCACTCCACCATACCCCACTCCACCATACCCCACACCACTCCACCATACCCCACACCAGCATCCCCCACTCCAACATACCCCACTCCATCATACCCCACTCCTCCATCATACCCCACACCACCATACTCCTCTCCAGCATACCCCACGACACCATACTCCACTCCACCATACCCCACTCCACGATATATACCCGTGAAGGTCTGGATTAGAATGAACCTTCAGTAACCCATGCTTGTTATAAGAGGCGACTAACGGGACTGGATGGTGGGGCTCGCTGGGTTGGTTGACACGTCATCGGTTCCCAATTGCACATATTGATGCTCATTCTGTTGATCACTGGATTGTCTGGTTCAGACTCAATTTTTTACAGACCCCTGCCATATAGCTAGAATATTGCTGAGTGTGGCGTAAAACTAAACTCGTTCACTCCACCATACCCCAAGACACAAGTCAGATTTGTCAAAATTACATATCCTGATAGTTCGGACCTCTCACTGCCCTGATCTGTCAACATCCACAGGACACAACCCACAGCGCCTTGTAAGGTGTTTTGACTCGTTACACTGAAGTCGACATTCTTAATGTGTGTTATGAGATTACACAACTCGTGTCTGTCATGAGACTGATCTACTATTCTGCTACTTACACTGCTACAAATAAATACATGTAGTTCTGTCTCACTCTCATAGTTACATTGTTAGATCAACAGAAACGTATACATGTATATGGAACACTCCATTCAACGCTGGGTAACAAAAAGTACCACCTCTTTTGATAAAATACATGTTACCAATACCATACTGACTTCATGTCGGTCAGTCTTTGTTATATCTCCTAAAGCCACACATGTATCGGGTTGGGTAACAAAACATAGCACCTATTTTGGTAGGACAGATACATGGGGCCGAACCATGATGATGGACCATCCCATCTCAAAGTGCAAACATTAAACCACAGTGACATGGCAATGCATGGTCAGTTTCAACCCATGTATCAGTGACAATATGGTGCCCTTTTCGCCAAACAAATTTGGTGCCATTCTGCTGTGGTGCCGTTTTAGCTATAACCCACATGAAAATACGTACGTTACTATACTTTAAACAGGTGAGCAAGGAGGTGATATAAAAGCTGGATCTATGGCATCATCAAAGGTGTAACCAACCCAGTGGCCATGGCAACGAGCCAGTGGACACTTCGTGTCTTCGTCACAGGGAGAGGAGCCAGGCTGAGGACAAGAGTTCCGCCCGTAACCCCCGCTTGAAATGTATTCCATTTATTAGGATTATTTCTAAAAATAAATAAATAGCAACATCGGCCAGGTTTGTAGTTCAGCCAGCTAACGTCGTGTTCACACCGACCTGGGTAGGAACACGACGTTCAGCTGGCTGAACTACCAGGTTTGGAACTCAACTCAATCACATTTTACCGATTACAACATAACTTTCAACTGAAATATTTGGCGGTGGCGGACCGAGAAATCGAAAGATGGCGTGTGTCACTCTTAGATATTACTACCGCAGTAGTTCACAGTTTTGGAAATTACACATGTAAAACCGGAAACAACTCTGTCCTGAGTCTCGTGACGATGAATGCACGTAATGTCACATCGTGTAACTTTCAGTAGAATCTGAATCCGCAGATTATTAACGAATCATATCTGGAGAAAGATGCTATTGAAGGAACATGTGTCATTTGTTCATGCAATACACACACACTTTACAGAAATACCCCGAAAATACATGAATAGTAACCACAGCTCATGTGACAAGATAGATTGTCTACCGATCGAGACGAGTCAACTACGCAGAGAGGTGTGAAAAAATGTAATTCTAAATAAAGATATTTTTAAAAGTGAGTAAAGATACTTATAAAACGTATCCCCGAATTCGCTAATGTGAAATTATCAATCATTCGATCCTACACTTGATACGCTGTAGGTAGAAAATAACGTTTTTGAAAAGGTACGAGGTCTCCTAACACCCATTGCGTTTTAGAATCGTCCATAATAGGGGGTTCCCCGTATAAGGATCCTGTCCAGGGGAAGTAACCGGATGAACTGCGACAATATCGATTGCGCATATAGGCCTTTTAAGGCCTAAGGTCGCCATACCTCCCTACAATATCGATTTTGTGACCGCGTTTTTTTTTACGTATGCGTGTTATTGTTTAGAGTTAGACTTTTGCTTGATTTATATCCATATAATGCTTGTGATTTTAGTGTCTCATAGGTCAAATGGCCGGTTGCTTTTTGTGTTTAATGTATGTCGGTAATGTAATGAAGCAGAGACCATATATCGGTATATGGTCTCTGAATGGGGTTATAGCTAAAACGGCACCACAGCAGAACGGCACCAAATTTGTGTGGCGAAAACGGCACCATATTGGCGAAAACGGCTACTGATATCTGGGCTAAAACGGCACCATATATAAAACAAAGTATGACGTTGACTCATGTTTAATTTCATTTCATTATAACATCAGCAAGATTATATCAACATATGAGTCATTCTCAAAATCCGTGCATATTTATGTCAGATGTTTGTATCCGCCAAACTTAAGTCAAAATCAAACCAAAAAAATTATGGTAACTAACTTATCACAATATTTTTCTACACTTTACAGTAACAAAAGTAGGGAAACTATATTTTTATATTAACTTTACACCACCCAATTTTACTCAATGTTCATGTGTCACAACTCCAGTGGCTAAAAATACATCCTTGTTCTTAAATTTTGATAGTTCCGACATAATAGTAGATGTATTTATTATCTGCAATCCGATTATCTTATAACAAACTAGTTTTCCCCATAAGATTTTAGTTTGTGCCGTTTTCGCCATAAGATTTGTAGCCGTTTTCGCCAAGTCGAGGTTCCGTTATGTCCAAATGGTGCCGTTTTCGCCAGGTGCCGTTTTGCTGTGGTTCCATTTTAGCCTGCACCCTCTGAATGAAGCACGTGACACTTTAATAAAGATTTTCTCTCTCTCACACATACCTGAATAGATATCACTTCATGACAATGGATATCTGTAGCCGAGTCTATGTCTTTGTGTGAGATAAGACAATTTAAGGCATATAATATATTCTGTATATGAAGACATTGCTGTCAAACTTAAATCGAGATCGATGTACTTTGTGTAAGTAGGACTAGTTGCATTCCACAGAATCTACAGTTCTCATAAACTTTACATACATTCAGTGGTACAAAATCTATCAATATCAGTTGCTGCCTAACTGCTTGTGCTAAAACGTTTTTAGCAAAAAACGTGAAAAAATAAGAAGTTTGATGTTCTGTATTCTATCATGTAGTGAGAGTAATATCATATACACAGTTTGCAACTTAGCATGCAGTTTGTACCATAGGCGCCTGACTCTGATATGTTTATAAGTATGACCTATATATATAAGATATATCTTATATATATAGGTCATACTTATAAACATATCAGAGTCAAGCGCCTATGGTTTGTACTGGCAGGGGTAGTGATACATATTAACCCCACTAGTTTATGTTTTAACCTCAGATTCATGTCAGCAGTCTGACACACTATGCATCCCTGGTTTTAGCTTTTTTTTCAATATGAATTGTCCTCAATGATACTAAGTACGATTAAATGGTGTGAAACCAGTCCTAAAGTAATGGTTGAATAAGCAATAGGTTGCAGAGTTCCAGCTGTTGCGAGTTGGCATTTGTTTTTGACATGCAGTTCATTTAGCATTGTATGGTTGTCTGTTGTCAGATCATCAGGCGTTTTGCTACCTGTATAAGGAGACACAAGGTTGGTACATCCATTCAAAGATAGACAGGGCTTCACTGCATAGAGAGATAGATGACACACCATTAAATGATGCATAGCATAGCAAGGAAAGACCACTGACCATGGAAAGATAAAGTTGTGTTGTCTATCTTTATGGTCTGATGTGTATTTCTGATCTTGTCAACACAATATCAGTTGTGAACTTAAAACATTTGTCTCTCATTTATATTAGGTAGGCTAGTGATGAAAGTGTTCACTCATAATACACGTGAAGTAGGTTCTGTTCCTCACATGGTTACAGTGTGTAAAATTGATCATATATTCATTCCCCTAGTGATTGCTAAAATATTGCTGAAAGCTGTTTAACCTCCACTCGCTCTCATATTCACTAACTCACTCATTCACTGTAAATATACATTAATCAGGTAGTTTAGACATATTGTAATCTGACTTGAGTTAATGACAAGTTCATATTGCTTCCTCAAATCTACAGCTGGGTCAAAGTGCTTTGTTAAAGACAACTCTATTCAGAATTAAATTGTGAACCTGGTTTTATATACATGTTGTATATTTATACATTAGACACTTTAGACATAGTTCATTTTGCAAAGGTAGTACTAAAACGATACCTTGGCAGCTGTGGTTGTCTATGAATGGATGACCTAACTTTGTACTTGTCAGGTTCTGCGTGAGTTCACAAATTCAGTTACCGTGGTTACGGTCCTCCCACTTTTTTAGCTGTGCTTTGTTAAGGACCAAACATTACCGACACAGTCTGTCCGATACAACTTTAATGTCTCAGCCATTTATTGTCAGTGTTACAGGACGCGTCATTTGGTCATGCATGGATAATGTATTGAACATATAATGATAGGGGTCAGGTGTCCGATTATCGGGTCACTTTGTAAATAGACGTATTTGTCAGTGTCTCATGCTTGGCAGTAATTATAGTGTCAAATTATTGGAGAAGCCTGCTTTGTGTTCTGTGGCAGTGTATGTCCATTCTATGTCTACTCTTATTATACTACTCAACTTTGATAGGGATATGTTGTATTTAAATACATACAAGATGAAAGAAAACTGTTTTAGTGGTATATAGGTTTGACGTTTCAATGACAAGCCTATTTTTAGTGGCATGATTCCACTGTGTTGCAGATCACAATGGTGGATGTTTTGTTCCTGTGCATTGGTTGTGTTGTCGTCCTTTGTGTCATACAACTACTTCGACTGATCAAAGCTGACTGTGACCTGGTGCTACAATGGGCAACATGTTTTGGAAAATCTCCAAGTATGCATTTAAAGTTTTAAAATAGGAATATTGGCTGGATAGATTCAATCAGATGTAACTCTAGAGAGGAATGGAGAACCGTGAGAATGTGGCAGACACAGCAGTCATCCAGAGAAATTATTTATCCCTCTGTTGATGTCAATTGGCAGACACAGCAGGCATCCAGAGAAATTATTTACCCTTCTGTTGATGTCAATTAACAGACACAGCAGGCATCCAGAGAAATTATTTACCCTTCTGCAGATGTCAATTAACAGACACACCAGTCATCCAGGGAAATTATTTACCTTTCTGTTGATGTCAATTAACAGACACAGCAGGCATCCAGAGAAATTATTTACCCTTCTGCAGATGTCAATTAACAGACACACCAGTCATCCAGGGAAATTATTTACCTTTCTGTTGATGTCAATTAACAGACACAGCAGGCATCCAGAGAAATTATTTACTCTTCTGCAGATGTCAATTAACAGACACAGCAGGCATCCAGAGGAAATTATTTACCTTTCTGTTGATGTCAATTAACAGACACAGCAGGCATCCAGAGAAATTATTTACTCTTCTGCAGATGTCAATTAACAGACACAGCAGGCATCCAGAGAAATTATTTACCCTTCTGCAGATGTCAATTAACAGACACAGCAGGCATCCAGAGAAATTATTTATCTTTCTGTTGATGTCAGTTGACAGACACAGCAGGCATCCAGAGAAATTATTTACCCTTCTGCAGATGTCAATTAACAGACACAGCAGGCATCCAGGGAAATTATTTACCTTTCTGTTGATGTCAGTTAACAGACACAGCAGGCATCCAGAGAAATTATTTATCTTTCTGTTGATGTCAATTAACAGACACAGCAGGCATCCAGAGAAATTATTTACTCTTCTGCAGATGTCAATTAACAGACACAGCAGGCATCCAGAGAAATTATTTATCTTTCTGTTGATGTCAGTTGGCAGACACAGCAGGCATCCAGAGAAATTATTTACCCTTCTGCAGATGTCAATTAACAGACACAGCAGGCATCCAGGGAAATTATTTACCTTTCTGTTGCTGTCAATTAACAGACACAGCAGGCATCCAGAGAAATTATTTATCTTTCTGTTGATGTCAATTAACAGACACAGCAGGCATCCAGAGAAATTATTTACTCTTCTGCAGATGTCAATTAACAGACACAGCAGGCATCCAGGGAAATTATTTACCCTTCTGCAGATGTCAATTAACAGACACACCAATCATCCAGGGAAATTATTTACCTTTCTGTTGATGTCAATTAACAGACACAGCAGGCATCCAGAGAAATTATTTACTCTTCTGCAGATGTCAATTAACAGACACAGCAGGCATCCAGGGAAATTATTTACCCTTCTGCAGATGTCAATTAACAGACACACCAGTCATCCAGGGAAATTATTTACCTTTCTGTTGATATCAATTAACAGACACAGCAGGCATCCAGAGAAATTATTTATCTTTCTGTTGATATCAATTAACAGACACAGCAGGCATCCAGAGAAATTATGTACTCTTCTGCAGATGTCAATTAACAGACACAGCAGGCATCCAGAGAAATTATTTACCCTTCTGCAGATGTCAATTAACAGACACACCAGTCATCCAGGGAAATTATTTACCTTTCTGTTGATGTCAATTAACAGACACACCAGTCATCCAGGGAAATTATTTACCCTTCTGCAGATGTCAATTAACAGACACAGCAGGCATCCAGAGAAATTATTTATCTTTCTGTTGATGTCAGTTGGCAGACACAGCAGGCATCCAGAGAAATTATTTACCCTTCTGCAGATGTCAATTAACAGACACAGCAGGCATCCAGAGAAATTATTTACCTTTCTGTTGATGTCAAATTGCAGACACAGCAGGCATCCAGAGATTATATTTACCTTTCTGTTGATGTCAATTAACAGACACAGCTGTCATCCAGAGAATTTATTTACTTTTCTGTTGATGTCAACTGGCAGACACAGCTGTCATCCACAGAATTTGTTTACCTTTCTGTTGATGTCAACTGGCAGACACAGCTGTCATCTAGAGATTATATTTACCTTTTTGTTGATGTCAATTAACAGACACAGCTGTCATCCAGAGAATTGATTAACTCTTCTGTTGATGGCAATTGGCAGACACAGCTGTCATCCAGAGAATTTATGTACAATTCTGTTGATGGTAGTTCTCATTCAATGCATTTTAGTGTCATAAACAAATTATTTAGAAATATTAAGTTTACCTCTTTCTTTTTCCTAGTCAGAGAAAAATGTGTTGGTGTATCCTGTATAAAACAATATTGTTTGTACTTTGCACATAAAACATACTTTGAAGTGCATGTTTCTCCTTACATCATACTGCTTTGATATTATAATCAATAAAATACGTAACTTATGTGCAGTTTACAACAAATATTGTTTACATTTACAGTGGAAATTAAAAAAGAATACAAGTTGTAAGGCTGCCTGGCGCTCGACATTATTTTGGAGAATAAAGGCAGGAGTTAAATGAGGGACTGGATGGGTTGAAGTATAATGTGTCTGAATGGGGTATCCATACTAAACTTTGTCATGGTATTTCAGTGGTCTTGCTCTATGAAAACAGCATAAGTCTGGACAAGGACATTCCACTGTTTATGATATTTCTGAGATTGCATGTCAGACAATGTTAAAGCTGTAAATATGTCCAACTCTTTGCTATAATGTTTAATCTATTCCTACACCAGAGCGCCTGAGAGGTAAAGTGGTGTGGGTGACTGGGGCCTCCAGCGGTATCGGGGAGTCCCTCGTTTACGAGCTGGCATCTGTTGGATGTCGTCTGGTACTGTCTGCCCGTCGAGAAGAGGAGTTGAACAGAGTAAAGAAGCAATGTCTGAGTACGTCCAGTAGCCTTGGAACTAGTCAGTGATGTCTCAGTACGTCCAGTAGCCTTGAAACTAGTCAGTGATGTCTCAGTACGTCCCAGTAGCTTGGAATTAGTCAGTGATGTCTCAGTACGTCCAGTAGCCTTGGAACTAGTCAGTGAGATCTCTGTACATCCAGTAGCCTTGGAAATAGTCAGTGATGTCTCAGTACGTCCAGTAGCCTTCGAACTTGTCAGTGATGTCTCAGTATGTTCAGTAGCCTTGGAACTAGTCAGTGATGTCTGAGTACGTCCCAGTAGCCTTGGAACTAGTCAGTGATGTCTCAGTACATCCAGTAGCCTTGAAACTAGTCAGTGATGTGTCAGTACATCCTAGTAGCCTTGGAACTTCTGATTTCTGATGTGTGTGTTCCTTCTTTTTGGATGTGTGTTCCTGCCCAACTGATGTGTGTATCTAAGTGTGTGTTTTCCCACCAGCATGTGGCCCGCTTCAAGACAATGACATCATGGTGGTGCCATTGGACATGGTCAAGCAACATGAACATGCAGATGCTGTCAAGAAAGTCCTCCAGCATTTTAAACAGGTACTTCCTTGGTCCCATGTGTCTATTTCTGTGTGCACAGTTAGAAACAGCTACTGTTGTCAATCTCCAATATTCCAAGACAAAAACTTACCAAAATTTACCATTTCTGTTAGTTTTATCTGTTTGAAACAGAACTGCTTTAAGGTTTTGATGGTTTGGACCACCATGTCCTCCACTGCAGCTGATATTCCTGATGTCTGCTATGCAAAGCATTCAAGTTATACAGGTTTAACTTTGTTGTACTTCATCTAAATCAGCTTAACAAAGTCAAAACAAAAGGAGCTTGTTGTTTCACTTTTTCTGAAACTTTTACCTTTAGGTATGATATGCCTAATCCTACCCACTGTTGGAGCAGGACATGTTTTGAAAAGCATTTTTTTGAAAGGTCAAGGTCAGTGTTCAGATTTATGGAACACATGGTTAAAACATTGTTGATTCGTCACATGCAATAAAATTGGTTTACTCTTCAGGCATGAAATATCATATTTATTTGTTTGTCAACATGTCCCACCACATCAAATGTCAACAACATTTTTTTGTCAAATGTCAGGGTCTTTTGTCAGATAATTCTTGACATTTGCACGATTAGAAAATGTGCTTCAATGAATTTATTCAACATGGTCCTATCAAAAATCTTCTGGGCACAGGGATTAAAATGAATGTGTATACCGATTTTGGTGTCTATAAACATGCTTTGAAAGGTTTAGGTCAAAATATGTCAAAGGTCAAAGTGAGCAGTCAGTTTCTGAAGCATGATTATTTTTATAAACATGAAATATCAGAACATCAAATATTCTTGAAAGAAGGAATAATGAAAAGATAGTGTGACGTTAACAAAGTGTGTGTAACTGATGGACAATAGGATGTATAATTTACTCTTCAGATAGACATTCTGGTGAACAATGCTGGCCGCTCACAGAGAGCTGAATGGGTGAAAACATCCGTTGACGTTGATCGTGAGATGCTGGAAACCAATGTCCTGGGACCCTTATCACTGACTAAAGCTGTCCTTCCCGACATGATAGCTCGGAGGGACGGTCACATTGTGGTCATGAGTAGTGTTGCTGGCAAAGTGGGTATGTGTGACTTGAGTTTTACACATTGATTTACAAAGTGTGTGCCTGTACATTTCTTTCACGAGGGCTGGGACAAGTAACCCGAATATCAGGGACAGGTGAGTAATGAGTTGGACCCAATTACCCGTCTCAATACCCGGACCCGTTATGATCATGTGACTAATAGATTAAACAATGTTATATGTTATACTTTTATGATTAAAAGGTTGTATTGACAATTTGTCTTTGAAGATTTAGACATAATTTATAGTCACTTCTTTTGAATATAATTCATGGTTAAGATATTGAAAAACTTGAAATTTTAGCCTCCGAACTGAAGAATATATTGCAATTTCTTGCAAATTTGATGTCAGGAATTAACATAATGGGTATCCAGGTAGGGTAGGGTACTAGGGGATGGGGTACCCAGGAAGATAATTTGGACCCGTCCCAGCCCTATATTACACTGAAGTCAGTTCTTATGAATGTCAACAGTTATAACTTCTGAGGCTGCTCAATTAATCACTATGGCACAAATAAAAGAAGATACAAAATCAATCAACAATATAGCACCAAGCAATAAGCCATCACTGCCTCAGCCAATCAGGAAAATCATAGGTGTTGCTATACTTCTTTCCATGTGTATTCTTAACATTTATAGATTTCGACACCAGATAGCATGACAGTAGAACAGGTAACCCTCACTGCAGTCAGACTTAATGGTCTGTTCATTACCAAAATAACATGGGAAAAGGTCAGCATGTCTTAACTCTCAGAAATGGGTCATCCTCTCATCAACAGGTGATGGGTGCCCAAACTGCCTGAGGCTGGGGTGTTACTCTGTGCAGTCAATGTCAAAACTTCATGTATATGTTTAATAACTAGGTCATTGCATTTGTCACATGTTGTGTTGGTCATTACTGTAATGGTAGTTCAGGATTTCAAATTAGATACAAGGTTAATTTGTTAAGAAGGCTAAATAGTAGTTGAGCCTTGCAATATCAATACTGCTGCTTCCTATTGTGTATGGACCCGAACAATACTTATTTCAGAAAGAAATAGGATTGGCCAACAGGCATAGAAACCTTAGTAAAGACCTCTCCTTTAAAAACTTACATCATAAACAGGACAGTACAGCAATCCTGAAAATAAGTAAAATATACATATATCAAAAGTCTGCATTTGAATACAATGCAATTATTACAATATATTAAATTAACCTTGGAAATGGATGAGTCTCATTGGTTGGTCAATAAAGACAAGTATCGGGGAACAAGTGCCCATTCTGCCCTAGTCTGGGCTGTGACTGCCTAAATATGTTTTTTTATTTATTTTGGCATTACATTTGCTAGCTGTGGTGTTTCTGGCTTTACTGTATTGTTGATTCGGCATTCCAGAATAGACAGCCATGTTGATGTGGTTTGATTGTTGAGAATGTCAAAGGTTTTCACCTTTGCAACAATAAATGTAGTTCAAGTTCTGTGTAAGATGAATGTCAAATTCTGCTTGAACCTATTATAAACAAATATGTAGTACTCCTGGAGTTGTAACATGACAAAAGTAACTCATACCTTAATCAAGGCAATGACCTCAACCAACTCCTTGCATCATAACCTTTTGTCTTTGCAGCTGATTGTATGATGTATTTTGTCTCTGACAATGTCTGAATCAAATGTCACAGATGTTTAATTGCAGGAGCTCCACTGTCTGGATCGTACACGGGGTCTAAACATGCGATCCAGGCAAGTCATAGTGTTTTTAAAGGTTTTACATTGTAACTTGTTGATTCCCAAGTTGAAACTTAATTTTAAAAGTTAACCAGGAATCCGTCCTTGAAAGAATTATGTGTGACACCAACAAACCACCAAGAAATGTGCTGTTAACAATTGTGATCAAATTTTAACTAAGTTCACAAATCAATACACAGATATCACTATGGCAGACCAAATTGAGTGGCAGTGTGTGCCACAAGTACAAGTTCAAATGTAATATTGAAGAGCAGTGATTGTGGCAGGAAAGACAAGGAGGGTAATATACACCTCTCACCAGCAGTATTACAGCTCTGAACAATATGGTTTAACAGTGAGTGAGTGAGTTAGTTGGGTTTATGCTGCTTTTAGTAATATTCCAGCAATATCATGGCAGGGGACACCAGAAATGGGTTTCACACATTGTACCCAGGTGGGGAATTAAACCCAGGCCTTCGGCGTGACGAGCAAACGCTTTAACCACTAGGCTACCCCATCGCCCCTAGGGTTTAACAGAGAATATCAAGGGAATAATGATGATATACAGCGCTGGTCTTCTTGTGGCTTGTGATGTCATGTGAGATGAGAAGCAGAATTTAACTCCCCTTATCTTAAGAATATTCTGATCTCAGGCAAATGATTCTGGAACAAGCTCACAGCTGCTTCCAGATCTTTCTGTCTAAATGTAGTACAAGTCTAAATATAGCACGCCACCACACCTCGCTGAATATCGCATGTACAATGTATTACATCTGGAGCATTGTTATACAATAGGTAACACTGCCATGTACCAAGATAATGAAACTACTAAAGTAATCTGAAATAACAAACCACTGACATATTACTAATAACCTAATATTCCTGTTCCGTGGTGTAAATGGTACGAGGGTTTGATCATGTATCATAGGGGAAAGAGGAATTGGTCGTCTGAGGACTGTATTATATTTTGCTGTCACCTCCTCCCCAAATTAATATATGTATTTATGATTCCCACCTAGTAGGGGTTCATGGGATGTATTGTTTCGTTCAGAGAAGATGTCAACACAAGAGAAATGATGAGATACTTAAGGAATACAGCTTGCTCTATCCCCATGTATAGATGTGAAGCTCCCCTTTGTTAAGGAATACAGCTCGCTCTATCCCCATGTATAGATGTGAAGTGTTAAGAGCTGAGACATTTTATCCATCGGAAAGCATAAATATAATGTTTCCACCAGTGGTGTTAGCTTGGTGAAGCAACTGCAAACCAAGAAACGGGGGTGCTACGGAGTAGTTTACCATAGGAGACTGTACCAAGCAGTGACAACTGACATGCATTGTGACGTCGGTTCCCAAGGGCATGTTTGATCATGAGGGGGGCAGACAAGAAAGGTGTAGTGACGTAATGCATAAAGTGTACTTTATCGCCTGATAAAGTACTGTCGGCACCTTTGATCTTTTAGCAAAGCATCTTAGAATCTAAAATATTAACATGATATTACAGATATACAACTACAATGATAAACGCCTACTTACTAAACTAGATTACCAAATCCAAACCTCCTTATGATAGCTATAGATGCTAAATAAACTTACCACAATGAGTGGAGTGCAGTAATGGTCATACAGAGGGGAGGGGAAGCAGTGCGCAGAGAGACATGATGAAGTATTTAAGACTGAAGATCTGGCCCCAATGGTCACAAGCTTCAGAAACAATAGAAATGATCATCACTGATCAAGCCAGGTAGCTAACTCAAAGAACAACTTTACCTAGGGATCGATAGAGTGTGCTACAGTTTGTTTAAAGTGCTGCTATAAAATACTTACTCTGAAAGTCCAAATATTTACGTTCTACCAAATTATATACTTGGATGTAATTTCTGTACACAGGGCTGGTTTGAGTGTTTGTGGGTGGAACAGTATCCCAACAACATCAAAGTGACAATGGTCTGTCCTGGACCTGTCTTTTCCAACCTACTGGCTATTGCCATGACTGAGGAGAAAGGAAAGGTATGATGGTAAAGAGTGAAATATTCCAAAACAAGCTTTAGAAGGGATTGGTAGTGTGATCATAGTTTGTTTGAGAATTAACTCAAGCTGTCAAATTGTTGAATTGCTTTGTGCAAATAGATTTAGCTTTTGAAAAAAACAATAAGTGAAAGTAAATCTGTTCCAATATTGCACACTGCCCATTGGTCACCTTTGGCTTTTTTGTACATCTCCCTCTAGTTTCTTATCTGCTTTCATGACTGCTTGGAACCCTCATGGCTGCCTTTTGGTGAGGTTTTCAATTACTGGGTGGTGCTTCATGTATGTAAGAGGAAAAGGTGGTTTGGGTGCTGTGGGTCCCTGCTGCAGTACCACTCACACAATCACTTGCCCTACATGTTATAGATGGGTGTTCTCTAATCAGGTCGTGGGAGGTGAAATGAAAGCAGGGGAGAAGAGGATGGCGACGTCCCGGTGTGCCAGTCTCACAGCAGTCGCCATCGCCAATCAGCTGGATGAGGTGTGGATTGCCCTCCACCCAGTACTGGCCTTCACCTACATGTTCCAGTACTTCCCATCCTTCGCAAGAAGGTGAGTCTCCATTTACTTCCTCCACATATATCTACCAGTATTTTCCTTCCTCCCTTCTCAAGAAGGTGTCCCTCATTTACTTCCTCCACATAATCTGCCAGTTTCTTTCTTCCTCTGCAAGAAGGTGAGCCTCCATTCACCTCTTCCACATACATCTCCCAGTTTCTTTCTTCCTCTGCAAGAAGGTGAGCCTCCATTCACCCCCTCCACATACATCTCCCAGTTTCTTTCTTCCTCTGCATGAGCGAGCCTCCATAAGCCACCTCCACCCCCACAAACATCTCCCAGTTTCTTCCTCTGCAAGATGGTGAGCCTCCATTCACTTCCTCCACATACATCTCCCAGTTTCTTCCTCTGCAAGATGGTGAGCCTCCCAGATTGTTCCACTCTTGGCAGAAATCGAGCTTGACTATTACTAACTGTGAATTAATACAACATTCACACAAAATAAGCTTTTAGACATGTTCTAATGCAGAGTATTACAGTTATGGAAAGTGTGTATTACAGTAACTTTGTAAGTCAACATGAAGCGGTAACCCCTGCAGAAAATGAAACCAGCCTTGCAAGGTTCATTTCATGTGAGATGCCTCTATTGTAACATCACACTACTCACTGGGATGTAGAATATGTCACAGTTAGATGTGAGAAAGCACAAAAATAATAGCACTAATTTTCATCAAAACTTGCCATAGAGTCTATAAGTTGATTGGGTTTTTCAGTGTCTGCCAATAGATATTGCCAAACACTTTGAGTTTTGTAGACATACTCTTCAGTAATTATGAGCTTTTTATGACGACACAGCTGTCAATTAACATTTGTCTGAGGTAGTTAATATAATTTAAACCTCTGATTGACCAGCTAAAGTCATTTCCTAATACGTAGTTGAATGTGTTGTATTTTCCAGACAGGCCTGTAAGATAGGTCTCGCCAAATTAAAGAAGATGAGAGAGGGTCAATAGTGGATGATTTGAAAGCTATCATCCCTGTCCAGCTCTGACCAGCACAAGGCATTTCACCTTATACAATGCACTGACCAGCACAAGGCATTTCACCTTATACGATGCACTGACCACACGGTGGACATCTGTGAAGTTAATCGCTGAAACCATTCCAGTGAAATGTCCGAGATTTCTGAATGACTGTTAAAGAGACAATGTCTCTATTTATAGCTCTGTTTCTGAATCCTATCTATGATGGTGTGGTGATGATGGTTTTCTGTTCTCACATATCTAAACTGGATGTATGTACCATGTATAACTGCGTAAAGGCCCTGTCACATCTTGACGATTTAGCCAGCATATGTCGACATATCTAAATCTCTCTAAAACAATGGTATTCATTGAAATATAGATGTTTTTTAAATGTTGGGTATATACATAGTGTATTCATAACAAGTTGGACATATGCATAACATATTAGTAATTTAGAATATTTTGATAACTTACAGAAAACTTATCCGACGAATGCTTAGCGTATTGTCAGCATTCACAACTTATGCCCAACGATAGTCTAACTTATGCACAGAGCGCGGCAGCATATTGCCTACGATCACATGTAGTAACTTATAAAAAGGCTGCCGCTCGATGATTCAAATCCTAACCACACTAGACATTGCAGTATCAACATCACCGTATCAACATCACTGTCATGCCGAAGAAAACTTTGAAAAAAATGCTGCCAATATGCCATCATATGGTAGCTGTAAGTTAGAAACACATACATTAAGTTCTGTGGTCGTCAGGAACATGTCAAATACGTCTATATACATCAATGTATGTTGGCGATAAGTCGATAAAAGTAACACAGACGTTTAAAGCATGTTACTCATAGGTTAGAATAAGGTTTGGGTCGCTTGACATTATTTCAAAGTATTTTGACTAATGAGTAACTTACAAGTAACGTGTGTGAACATATGTCAACGCTCACAGAACTTGCCTACAACTTATGGCCCACGTATGCAGGACGTTGGCAGAAGTCGAAAATTTTGTGCATGCACAAAGTTTTCCGACGACCTTTGCTGTACTACAGCCAGCGTGCTTCAGCAGGCGTTTAACTTATACAAAACTTATCCATAACTTATTTGATGAACAACAGCGTACATTTTTCATAGGCTGGCTAAATCATCAAGTTGTGATGGGGCCTTAATCAGCCTTGTTCCATCAAGTATATGACCGATGTCAGTACCTTCATTTGCAGAATCTGTCAAACTTTGGGCACTGAAGTATAATGCTTCTCAAACAAGGGTGGAATAGGATTATGTGTCAGGTTTATTGTATCTGATTTATTAATGCTGAACAAATCCATACTCACTTACTCTCCCAATATTCGGACATGTTTCTATGAATTCATTGTTCACAATCACTTTCACAATGGAGTCTCTTCCTTTCACTGAATAGGTAAACTTGTAAATTTTGTCTTCTGGCTTTCTAGCACCAGTAAGTCCTCCAATATAATGATTCAGGTTCAGTTTGCTGTTAATGTGCATAGTGTTACATTTCATTACCTTTTTAATCAGACTACTCAGATTTCATTCTCATCCAAATTGGAAGAATACTATATTCCGCTTTCTGAAGTGCTAGATGGTTAACAGTCACGTTGCTCGCTTATCCTACTGGGTACCCATTTACTGCAAGGTGAGCAGAGCATGTTTCCAACAAAGTCTCTAGTTGTGGAGACAGCCATGCATCCACGTCTGTGTTTTACCCTTTAAACAGTTTTTATGTTGATTTGTGAGATAATCCTAGCTAATTCTATGTTTGATATCTTTATGTATCCTCTGTGTAACATGTATTGGGAGCAGCAGAGAGATGCACCTCATGTAGCAAGTGCTTTATTGTTAGGCAGAACACACTGTGCCAGCAACAGTAATCCAACTGACTTTTGGACTTTCATCCTGCCCTCTCTACAAAACGCCTTCATCACCTCAAACTGCTGCACTCTGTGTTCATATCCACTGACTTACACAAACACCTTCACCCATTAAGTATACGATTGAAACCTTTTAATAAGCCTCCCATCTCACATTTTAATCATTTTAAATACATCAAAATCTGATAATTGATTGGATGTGTACAAATGTATATTTGTTAAATTGCATAAGCATAGGATTGAACATGCTCTGTGTAACCATAGATAATGTACACAGTGTTCCTGCTTAGCTGCATATTTGATTAATGTATGCAAAATAAATCATCATTACATAGTTTACTTTGAGTTGTTTGTGTACAATTGCATGAAAAGTCTATGAAACCCAAATCATAGCAACACTGCAGATTACTCCATAAATTCTTTTCTACTGGGATTGATATTTTTTTCAACTCGGGTTCTTGCATTTCTTCCCAGATTTGTATTTACTGATCAAAAGGAGGTATGACACATACATAAGCCGCTTGTTTGATGGATAGACCTCCTGGGGTCTTGAGACAACACGAGGCTTGATGTCAACAAAGAATGGTAGTTTTATTCTTACAGCGTAACTTATGGGGCAGGGTGAACAACCTGCACACAACTTGCAAAATCTGGCACAGGCTACCAGGGCAAGGTGGCAAAGTGATGCTGACGCTTGGGCAGTAGATAGCTGTACTGACTGGTCAGTTCATGCCATCAAGTCCATTCCAGTCTCTGGCGTGCTATTCTCGATGTCTGCCAACTCTCCTGTGACCTTGTCCTGCCTGTTTTTAAAGGCAGATGAACAACCAATAATCTGCATTAGTCAGCAGTTCTCACGGACATTTTCTGTGTAGGTCAGCAGTTCTCACGGACATACTCTGCTTTGCTTTCCATATTTTGACAAGCTTGACATATGTCCGACATGTGTGCACGACAGTGTTACAATAAGTTGAACATGATATAACTGATATTCTTTTGCTTGCCCTGAGGCAACCCCCACTCTGCCATGTTCGCTCCACCATGCACAACTCCACAATCCTCCACTATACCATACTCCACTCAACCGTGACCACACCACCATGTTCCCCTCAACAAAGCTCAGCTCCACCACTCTCCACACCACCATACTCCGCTTCACCCAGCTCCACTCCACCATGCTCCACACTACCACACTACCACATACCATGCACCATACTCCACTTTACCATACGCCTCTCCCCTCCACCATGCTCCGCTCCACCATCCTCCACTCCACCATGCTTCACTTCACCATACTCAGCTCCACCATACTCCGCATAACCACATTCCACTCTACCATGCTCCACACTACCATGCTCTACACCACCATGCTCCACACTACCATGCTCCACACCACCAAGCTCCACTCCACCATGCTCCACACCACCATGCTCCACACCACCATGCTCCACTCCACCATGCTCCACACCACCATGCTCAACTCCACCATGTTCCACACCACCATGCTCAACTCCACCATGCTCCACACCACCATGCTCAACTCCACATTGCTCCACTCCACCATACTCCACACTACCATCCTCCGCTCCACCATACTCCACACTACCACCCTACGACATACCATGCACCACGCTCCACTTTACCATACGCCTCTCCCCTCCACCATGCTCCCCTCCACCATGCTTCACTCCACCATGCTATGTTCAACCACACTCCACTCCACCATGCCCCACACTACCACCATACCACATACAATGCACCACACTCCACTTTACCATACACCTCTCCCCTCCACCATGCTCCCCTCCACCATGCTTCACTCCACCATGCTTCACTCCACCATACTCCGATCCACCATGCTTCACTCCACCATGCTCCACCACAATGCTCCATCTCCACCATGCTCCGCCTCCACCATGCTTCACTCCATGCCCATCCACCATGCCCCACTCCAACCATGCTCTCCACACCACCATGCTCCACACCACCATGCTCCACACTCCACCATGCCCCACACCACCATGCTCCACTCCACCATGCTCCACACTACCACCATACCACATACAATGCAACCACACTCCACTTTACCATACCATCCTCATGCCTCCACCACACTCCACCATGCTTACCTACCATGCTTCACTCCACCATGCTCCACTCCACCATACTCCACTCCACCATGCTTCACTCCACCATGCCTTGCCTCCACCATGCCTCCACTCCACCATGCTCCACTCCACCATGCCTCCACTCCACCATGCCCCACACCTCCACCATGCTCCACTCCACCATGCTCCACACTACCACTATACCACACATACCATGCACCACACTCCACTTCACTCCATACGCCTCTCCCTCCACCATGCCCTGCTCCACCATGCTTCACTCCACCATGCTCCACTCCACCATGCCCTCCACCACACCACCATGCTCCATCCACCATGCCCCACTCCACCACACTCCACACTACCATGCTCCACACCACCATGCTCCACTCCACCATGCCCCACACTACCATGCTCCACTCCACCATACTCCACACTACCACCATACCACATACAATGCACCACACTCCATTTTACCATACGCCCTCCCTCCACCATGCTTCTCCTCCTCCACCATGCCTCCCGGCCTCCACACCATGCTTCACTCCACCATGCCCACTCCACCACACTCCACTCCACCATGCTCCACACTCAACCATGCTTCACCCACCAGGCTCCATCCACCATGCCCTCGCTCAACCACACTCCACACTTCCATGCTCCACACCACCATGCCCACTCCTCCACCATGCCCCACACTACCATGCTCCACTCCACCATGCTCCACACTACCACATGCTACCACATACAATGCACCACACTCCACTTTACCATATGCCTCCCTCCACCATGCCTCCGCTCCACCATGCTTCCACTCCACCATGCTCCACTCCACCATGCCCACTCCACCATGCTTCCATCCACCATGCTCCAACTCCACCACCACTCACCACACTACCATGCTCAACCCACCACATGCTCCACTCCACCATGCTCCACTCCACCATGCTCCACCCTCCACCATGCTTCACCACCATGCTCCACTCCACCATACCTCCTCACTACCATGCTTCACTCATACCATGCCCACTCTTTTACCATACTCCACTCCACCACCATGGTCCGCTTCCACCATGCTTTACTTCCACCATGCACCCACTCCACCATACTCCACTCCACCATGCTTCCACTCCACCATGCCCGCCCTCCAACCACACCCACACCACCATGCTCCACTCCACCATGCTTCACTCCACCATGCTTCACTCCACCATGCTCAGCTCCACCCACACTCCACTCCACCATGCTCCCTCCACCATGCTCCATACCACCATGCTCCACACACACAATGCCCTACTCCACCATGCTCCACACTACCATGCCCTGCTACCACCACCACCATGCCCCACTCCACCATGCTACGCACTTCCACACCATGCCTCTGCTCCACCATGCTCCACACTACCATACTCCACACCACCATGCCCCACCCACCATGCTCCACACCACCATGCTGCCCACACCACCATGCTCAACTCCACCATGCCCACACTACCACCATACCACACCACAATGCACAACACCACCTTATCATACCCTCCACCACTCCCCACTCCACCCATGCCCACACTACAATGCCCCTGGCTCCACCATGCTCCACACTACCACTACTACCACATACCATGCACCATACTCCACTTTACCATACTTCTCCCCTCCACCATGCTCCTAACTCCACCATGCTCCACTCCACCATGCTTCACTTCACCATACTCCAGCTCCACCATACCCGCGATCCACCACATTCCACGCTTCCACCATGCTCCACACTCACACCACCATGCTCTACACCACCATGCTCCACTCCACCATACTCCACACCACCATGCTCCACCCACCATGCTCCACACCACCATTCAACTCCACCATGTTCCACACCACCATGTTCAACCCACCATGCTCCACACCACCATGCTCAACTCCACCATTGCTTCACTCCACCATGCCATGTCCACACTACCATCCTCCTGCTCCACCATGCTCCACTCCACCATACCCACCATACCACATACCATGCACCACGCCCACTCTTACCATACGCCTCCTCCACCATGCTCCCTCCACCATGCTTCACCTCCACCATGCTGCCCTCTCCACCACACCCACCCCACCATGCCCCACACTACCACCATACCACATACACCATACCACCCACACTACCATGCTCCACACCATGCCACCACACTACCACCATGTTACTCCACACGCTCTGCCTCCACCATGCTCCACTTTCCACCATATACCTCGCCTCCACCATGCTTCACTCCACCATGCTCCACTTCCACAACACTCCACTCCACCATGGCCCCTCCACCATGCTTCACTCCACCAGGCTCCATCCACCATGCTTCCCATCCAACCACACCACTCCACCATGCTCCACACCACCATGCTCCACTCCACCATGCCCCACACTACCATGCTCCACTCCACCATGCTCCACACTACCACTATACCACATACAATGCACCACACCCACTTTACCATACGCCTCTCCCTCCACCATGTTCACTTTGCATGCTTCACCCACCATGCCCACTCCACCATACTCCACTCCACCATGCTTCCACTCCACCATGCTTCGCTTCAACCACCATGCTCCACTCCACCATGCTCCACCCACCATGCTTTACTCCACCATGCCCACACACCACCATCCTCCGCACTCCACCATGCTCCACACTACCACTATACCACATACAATGCACCACACCCACTTTTACCATACGCCTCCTCCTCCACCATGCTCCTCCGCTCTACCATGCTTCACTCCACCATGCTCCACTCCACCATGCCCGCTCAACCACACTCCACCTCCATGCCCACACCACCATACCACTCCACCATGCTCCGCTCTACCATGCTTCACTCCACCATGCTCCACTCCACCATACTCCACTCCACCATGCTTCACTCCACCATGCTTCGCTCAACCACGCTCCACTCCACCATGGTCCACTCCACCATGCTTTACTCCACCATGCCCCACACTACCATGCTCCACTCCACCATGCTCCACACTACCACTATACCACATACAATCCACCACACTCCACTTTACCATACGCCTCTCCCCTCCACCATGCTCCGTTCTACCATGCTTCCACTCCACCAGGCTCCATCCACCATGCTCCGCTCTCAACCACACCCACACTTCCATGCTCCACACCACCATGCTCCACTCCACCATGCCCCACACTACCATGCTCCACTCCACCATGCCCACACTACCACCATACCACATACAATGCACCACACTCCACTTTACCATACGCCTCTCCCCTCCACCATGCTCCGCTCCACCATGCTCCACTCCACCATGCTTCACTCCACCATGCTCCGCTCCACCACACTCCACTCCACCATGCTCCGCTCCACCATGCTTCACTCCACCAGGCTCCATCCACCATGCTCCGTTCAACCACACTCCACACTTCCATGCTCCACACCACCATGCTCCACTCCACCATGCCCCACACTACCATGCTCCACTCCACCATGCTCCACACTACCACTATACCACATACAATGCACCACACTCCACTTTACCATACGCCTCTCCCCTCCACCATGCTCCGCTCCACCATGCTTCACTCCACCATGCTCCACTCCACCATACTCCACTCCACCATGCTCCATCCACCATGCTCCGTTCCACCACACTCTCCACACCCACCATGCCCACACCACCATGCTCCACTCCACCATGCTCCACACCACCATGCTCCACTCCACCATACCCCACACTACCACCACACCCACCATGCACCACACTCCACCTGCCCTACCACCACCATACGCCCTACTCCACCATGCCCTACTACTCCACCATGCACCACACTACCACTCCACCACCACACGCACCATGCCCACACCACCATGCCTCCACTCCACCATGCTTCGCCAACTCACCCTCCACCATGCTCCGCTCCACCACACTCCACTCCACCATGCTCCACTCCACCATACTCCGATCCACCAGGCTCCATCCACCATGCTCCGTTCAACCACACTCCACACTTCCATGCTCCACTCCACCATGCTCAGCTCAACCACACTCAACTCCAGCATGCTCCCCTCCACCATGCTCCATACTACCATGGTCCACACTACAATGCCCTACTACACCATGCTCCACACTACCATGCCCTGCTCCACCATGCTCCACAGGACCATGCCCCACTCCACCATGCTCAACACTGTGATGCCCTGCTCCACCATGCTCCACACCACCATACTCCACACTACCATGCCCTACTCCACCATGCTCCACACTACCATGCGCCACACCACCATGCTCAACTCCACCACGCTCCACACTACCACCATACCACATACAATGCACCACACTCCACTTTACCATACGCCTCTCCCCTCCACCATGCTCCCCTCCACCATGCTTCACTCCACCATGCTCCACTCCACCATACTCCGATCCACCATGCTTCACTCCACCATGCTCCACCCCACCACACTCAACTCCACCATGCTCCGCTCCACCATGCTTTACTCCACCAGGCTCCATCCACCATGCTCCACCTTTCAACCACACTCCACACATCCATGCTCCACACCACCATGCTCCACTCAACCATGCCCCACACTACCATGCTCCACTCCACCATGCTCCACACTACCACTATACCACATACAATGCACCACACTCCACTTTACCATACGCCTCTCCCCTCCACCATGCTCCGCTCCACCATGCTTCACTCCACCATGCTCCACTCCACCATGCTCCACTCAACCACCACTCCACTCCACCACCATCCACCCCTTTACCCACCAGGCTCCATCCACCATGCTCCGTTCAACCACACTCCACACTTCCATGCTCCACTCCACCATTCTCTGCTCCACCATGCTTCACTCCACCATGCTCAGCTCAACCACACTCTACTCCAGCATGCTCCGCTCCACCATGCTCCATACTACCATGGTCCACACTACAATGCCCTACTACACCATGCTCCACACTACCATGCCCTGCTCCACCATGCTCCACAGGACCATGCCCCACTCCACCATGCTCAACACTGTGATGCCCTGCTCCACCATGCTCCACACTACCATACTCCACACTACCATGCCCTACTCCACCATGCTCCACACTACCATGCGCCACACCACCATGCTCAACTCCACAACGCTCCACACTACCACCATACCACATACAATGCACCACACTCCACTTTATCATACGCCTCTCCCTCCTCCAGTACCTGCTCTCCACCATGCTCCATCCTCCACCATGCTCCTCACTCCACCATGCTCCACTCCACCATACCACTCCACCATGCTTCACTCCACCATCTCCACCACCACCCACCATCCACCATCCCCTCCACCATACCATACTCCACCAGGCTCCATCCACCATGCCCGCTCAACCACACTCCACACATTACCATGCTCCACACCACCATGCTCCACTCAACCATGCATGCCCCCACCTACCATGCTCCACTCCACCATGCCCACACTACCACCATACCACATACAATGCACCACACCCACTTTACCATACGCCTCTCCCTCCACCATGCTCTGCTCCACCATGCTTCACTCCACCATGCTCCACTCCACCATACTCCACTCCACCATCCTTCACTCCCCATCCACCATGCCCCACCACTCACACTTCCATCCCCACCACTCATGCTCGACTCCACCATGCTCCACACTACCACCATACCACATACAATGCACCACACTCCACTTTACCATGCTCTCCTCCACCATGCTTCTGTTCCACCATGCCCAACTCAACCATGCTCCTACTCCACATGCCACACCACAATGCCCTACCACACCTACCACATTACCATGCCCCACTCCACCATGCCCCTTCCACCATGCCCCACTCTACCATGCTCAACACCACCATGCCCTGCTCCACCATGCTCCACACCACCATGCCACAACCACCACTCTACTCCACCATGCCCCACACTACCATGCGCCTACACCACCCTCCACCATGCCCACACTACCACCATACCACATACAATGCACCACACTCCACTTTACCATACGCCTCTCTCCTCCACCATGCTCCCCTTCACCATGCTTCACTCCACCATGCTCCACTCCACCATACTCCGATCCACCATGCTTCACTCCACCATGCTCCCCTTCACCATGCTTCACTCCACCATGCTCCACTCAACCACACTCCACCATGCTCTCCACCATGCTTCACTCCACCAGGCTCCATTCACCATGCCCGTTCAACACGCCCACACTCCATGCTCCACACCACCATGCTCCACTCCACCATGCCCCACACTACCATGCTCCACTCCACCATGCTCCACACTACCACCATACTCACATACAATGCACCACACTCCACTTTACCATACGCCTCCCCCTCCACCATGCTCCACTCTACCATGCTCCACTCCACCATGCCTCCGCCTCCACCACCTCCACACCATGCTTCTCACTCAACCACACCCGCCCACCTCCATACCATGCTGCCCACCATGCTTCACTCCACCAGGCTCCATCCACCATGCTCCGTTCAACCACACTCCACACTTCCATGCTCCACACCACCATGCTCCACTCCACCATGCCCCACACTACCATGCTCCACTCCACCATGCTCCACACTACCACTATACCACATACAATGCACCACACTCCACTTTACCATACGCCTCTCCCCTCCACCATGCTCCGCTCTACCATGCTTCACTCCACCATGCTCCACTCCACCATACCCGCCCACCATGCTCCACTCCACCATGCTCCGCTCACCACACTCCACTCCACCATGCTGCACCACATGCCTTCACTCCACCATGCTCCATCCACCATGCTCCACACCATACCACACATACCACATACCATGCACCACACTCCACCATGCTCACTTCACCATGCCTCCACACTACCATGCCTCCACCATGCAGCATACTCCACCATGCATTATACTCACAAACCATGCTCCACACTCCCCTTACATACGCCTCCACTCCACCATGCTTCCACTACTCATGCTTTTACTCCATGCTCCATCCACCATGCTCTGTGCCAACCACGCCTCCACACTACCATGCTCAACACAACCATGCTCCAATCCACCATGCTCCACACTACCATGCCCTACCCACCATACTCCACACTACCATGTGCCAACACCACCATGCTCACTCCACCATGCTGCCACACTACCACTCATACCACATACAATGCACCACACTCCACTTTACCATACGCCTCTCTCCTCCACCATGCTCCCCTTCACCATGCTTCACTCCACCATGCTCCACTCCACCATACTCCGATCCACCATGCTTCACTCCACCATGCTCCCCTTCACCATGCTTCACTCCACCATGCTCCACTCAACCATACTCCGATCCACCATGCTCCCCTTCACCATGCTTTACTCCACCATGCTGCATCCACCACACTCAACTCCACCATGCTCCGCTCCACCACTCTCCACACATCCATGCTCCACACCACCATGCTTCACTCCACCATGCTCCCCTTCACCATGCTTCACTCCACCATGCTCAACTCCACCACACTCAACTCCACCATGCTCCACTCCACCATGCTTTACTCAACCAGGCTCCATCCACCATGCTCCGTTCAACCACACTCCACACATCCATGCTCCGCACCACCATGCTCCACTCAACCATGCCCCACACTACCATGCCCCACTCCACCATGCTCAACACTGTGATGCCCTACTCCACCATGCTCCACACTACCGTACTCCACACTACCATGCCCTACTCCACCATGCTCCACACTACCATGCACCACACCACCATGCTCAACTCCACCACGCTCCACACTACCACCATACCACATACAATGCACCACACTCCACTTTACCATACGCCTCTCCCCTCCACCATGCTCCGCTCCACCATGCTTTACTCCACCAGGCTCCATCCACCATACTCCGTTCAACCACACTCCACACTTCCATGCTCCACTCCACCATACTCTGCTCCACCATGCTTCACTCCACCATGCTCAGCTCAACCACACTCTACTCCAGCATGCTCCGCTCCACCATGCTCAACTCCACCATGCCCTCCTCCACCATGCTCCACAGGACCATGCCCCACTCCACCATGCTCAACACTGTGATGCCCTACTCCACCATGCTCCACACTACCGTACTCCACACTACCATGCCCTACTCCACCATGCTCCACACTACCATGCGCCACACCACCATGTTCAACTCCACCACGCTCCAAACTACCACCATACTACATACAATGCACCACACTCCACTTTACCATACGCCTCTCTCCTCCACCATGCTCCCCTTCACCATGCTTCACTTCACCATGCTTCACTCCACCATAATCCGATCCACCATGCTTCACTCCACCAGGCTCCGCTCCACCATGCTTCACTCCACCAGGCTCCATCCACCAAGCTCCACCACACTCAACTCCACCATGCTCCGCTCAACCATGCTTTACTCCACCAGGCTCCATCCACCATGCTCCGTTCAACCACACTCCACACTTCCATGCTCCACACCACCATGCTCCACTCAACCATGCCCCACACTACCATGCTCCACTCCACCATACTCCACACTACCACCATACCACATACAATGCACCACACTCCACTTTACCATACGCCTCTCCCCTCCACCATGCTCCCCTCCACCATGCTTCACTCCACCATGCTCCACTCCACCATACTCCACTCCACCATGCTCCACTCCACCATGCTTCGCTCAACCACACTCCACACTACCACCATGGTCCGCTTCCACCATGCTTTACTCCACCAGGCTCCATCCACCATGCCCGCCTCAACCACACTCCACACTTCCATGCTCCACGCCACCATACTCTGCTCCACCATGCTTCACTCCACCATGCTCAGCCTCAACCACACACCTACTCCAGCATGCCTCCCGCCCACCATGCTGCTCAACTCCACCATGCCCTGCTCCACCATGCCCACAGGGACCATGCCCCACTCCACCATGCTCAACACTGTGATGCCCTGCTCCACCTCCACACTGCTCCACACACCACTGCTACCCACACTCCACCATGCCCTACTCCACCATGCTCCACACCACCATGCGCCACACAAACACCATGCTCCACTCCACCATGCCCACACTACCACCTATACCACATACAATGCACCACACTCCACTTTACCATACGCCTCTCCTCCACCATGCTCCACCATCTTCACTCCACCATGCTTCACTCCACCATGCTTCACTTCACCATAATCCACCACACTCCACCATGCCTCACTCCACCATGCTCAACTTCACCATGCTCAACTCCACATTGCTCCACCATGCTCCCACTACCACCACTCCACCCACTCCACACTACCATGCCCACTCCACCATGCTCCACACCACCATGCCCTCCATCCACCATGCTCCACACTACAACCACACTACCACTCCACCATACATCCACCATCCTCCACACCACCATGCCTCAACTCCACCATGCTCCACACTCACCATGCCCCACACTACCATGCTCAACTCCACCATGCTCCCACACTACCACCATACCACATACAATGCACCACACTCCACTTTACCATACGCCTCTCCCCTCCACCATGCTCCACTCCACCATGCTTTACTCCACCAGGCTCCATCCACCATACTCCGTTCAACCACACCCACACACTTCATGCTCCGCTCCACCATACTCTGCTCCACCATGCTTCACTCCACCATGCTCAGCTCAACCACACTCTACTCCAGCATGCTCCGTTCCACCATGCTCAACTCCACCATGCCCTCCTCCACCATGCTCCACAGGACCATGCCCCACTCCACCATGCTCAACACTGTGATGCCCTACTCCACCATGCTCCACACTACCGTACTCCACACTACCATGCCCTACTCCACCATGCTCCACACTACCATGCGCCACACCACCATGCTCAACTCCACCACGCTCCACACTACCACCATACTACATACAATGCACCACACTCCACTTTACCATACGCCTCTCTCCTCCACCATGCTCCCCTTCACCATGCTTCACTCCACCATGCTTCACTCCACCATGCTCCGCTCCACCATAATCCGATCCACCATGCTTCACTCCACCAGGCTCCACTCCACCACACTCAACTCCACAATGCTCCGCTCCACCATGCTTTACCTCCACCAGGCTCCATCCACCATGCTCCGTTCAACCACACTCCAAACATTCATGCTCCACACCACCATGCTCCACTCAACCATGCCCCACACTACCATGCTCCACTCCACCATACTCCACACTACCACCATACCACATACAATGCACCACACTCCACTTTACCATACGCCTCTCCCCTCCACCATGCTCCCCTACACCATGCTCCGCTCCACCATGCTTCACTCCACCATGCTCCACTCCACCATGCTCCACTCCACCATGCTTCCCTCAACCACGCTCCACTCCACCATGGTCCGCTCCACCATGCTCCACTCCACCAGGCTCCATCCACCATGCTCCGTTCAACCACGCTCCACACTTCCATGCTCCACCCCACCATACTCTGCTCCACCATGCTTCACTCCACCATGCTCAGCTCAACCACACTCTACTCCAGCATGCTCCGCTCCACCATGCTCAACTCCACCATGCCCTGCTCCACCATGCTCCACAGGACCATGCCCCACTCCACCGTGCTCCACACTACCATACTCCACACTACCATGCCCTACTCCACCATGCTCCACACTACCATGCCCCACACTACCATGCTCCGCTCCACCATGCTCCACACTACCACCATACCACATACAATGCACCACACTCCACTTTACCATACGCCTCTCTCCTCCACCATGCTCCCCTTCACCATGCTTCACACCACCATGCTTCACTCCACCATGCTCCACTCCACCATGCTTCCACTGCTTCACTCCACCATGCTCCACTCCACCAAACTCCACTCCACCATGCTCCATCCACCATGCCCGCTCAACCAGGCTCTCCATCCTTCCATGCTCCGTTCAACCACATGCTCCACTCCACCATGCTCCACACTACCCACCATACCACATACAATGCACCACATGCTCCACTTTACCACCATACTTCCTCTCCCTCCACCATGCTTCACTCCACCATGCTCCACTCCACCATACTCCACTCAACCAGGCTCCATCCACCATGCTCCGTTCAACCACTCTCCACACTTCCATGCTCCACACCACCATGCTCCACTCCACCATGCTCCACACTACCACCATACCACATACAATGCACCACACTCCACTTTACCATACGCCTCTCCCCTCCACCATGCTCCGCTCTACCATGCTTCACTCCACCATGCTCCACTCCACCATGCTTTACTCCACCAGGCTCCATCCACCATGCTCCGTTCAACCACACTCCACACTTCCATGCTCCACACCACCATGCTCCACTCCACCATGCCCCACACTACCATGCTCCACTCCACCATACTCCACACTACCACCATACCACAAACAATGCACCACACTCCACTTTACCATACGCCTCTCCCCTCCACCATGCTCCGCTCCACCATGCTTCACTCCACCATGCTCCACTCCACCATACTCCACTCCACCATGCTCCACTCCACCATGCTTCGCTCAACCACACTCCACTCCACCATGGTCCGCTCCACCATGCTTTACTCCACCAGGCTCCATCCACCATGCTCCGTTCAACCACACCCCACACTTCCATGCTCCACTCCACCATACTCTGCTCCACCATGCTTCACTCCACCATGCTCAGCTCAAGCACACTCTACTCCAGCATGCTCCGCTCCACCATGCTCAACTCCACCATGCTCCATACTACCATGGTCCACACTACAATGCCCTACTACACCATGCTCCACACTACCATGCCCTGCTCCACCATGCTCCAAAGGACCATGCCCCACTCCACCATGCTCAACACTGTGATGCCCTGCTCCACCATGCTCCACACTACCATACTCCACACTACCATGCCCTACTCCACCATGCTCCACACTACCATGCGCCACACCACCATGCTTCACTCCACTATGCTCCACACTACCACCATACCACATACAATGCACCACACTCCACTTTACCATACGCCTCTCTCCTCCACCATGCTCCCCTTCACCATGCTTCACACCACCATGCTTCACTCCACCATGCTCCGCTCTACCATGCTTCACTCCACCATGCTCCACTCCACCATACTCCACTCCACCAGGCTCCATCCACCATGCTCCGTTCAACCACTCTCCACACTTCCATGCTCCACACCACCATGCTCCACTCCACCATGCTCCACACTACCACCATACCACATACAATGCACCACACTCCACTTTACCTTACGCCTCTTCCCTCCACCAGGCTCCGCTCTACCATGCCCTACTCCACCATGCTCAACACTATCATGTCCCTGCCCCACCATGCTCCACACTACCATACTCCACTCCACCATGCTGAACTCCACCATGCTCAACGCTACCATGCTCAACTCCACATTGCTCCACACTACCATACTCCACTCCACCATGCTTCACTCCATCATGCTCCGCTCCACCACACTCCGCTCCACCATGCTGAACTCCACCATGCTCAACACTACCATGCTCAACTCCACATTGCTCCACACTACCATGCTCCACTCCACCACGCTCCGTTCCACCATGCTCCACACTACCACCATACCACATACCATGCACCACACTCCACTTTACCATACGCCTCCCCACTCCACCATCCTCCGCTCCACCATGCTTCACTCCACCATGCTCAACTCCACCATCTCCACTCCACCATGCTTCACTCCACCATGCTCCGCTCAACCACACTCAACTCCACCATGCTCCGCTCCACCATGCTTTATTCCACCAGGCTCACTCCACCAGGCTCCATCCACCAGGCTCCGTTCAACCACACTCCACACTTCCATGCTCCACACCACCATGCTCAACTCCACCATGCTCCACACTACCATGCTCCACTCCACCATGCTCCACACTACCATGCTTCACACTACCATGCTCCACACTACCATGCCCTGCTCCACCATGCTCGACAGGACCATGCCCTACTCCACCATGCTCAACACTATCATGTCCCTGCTCCACCATGCTCCACACTACCATACTCCACACTACCATGCCCTGCTCCACCATACTCCACACTACCATGCCCTACTCCGCCATGCTCCACACTACCATGCTCCACACCACCGTGCTCAACTCCACCACGCTCCACACTACCATGCCCTGCTCCACCATGCTCAACTCCACCATGCTCCGCTCCACCAGATCACCACAACCACGTACACAGACACTCAATCTGTCATGTCTGTGTGTGTTACTAATAATATCAAGGTGATACCAATAATATCAAAATGTTTCATATGAATAAAGAAAAGTGGTTTCATTTCCGCTAGAGAAACTCAAACCAGTTTTTTCTAAAACAATTCCAGAATTGGTGGCAGAAATTATGATATCCCACTGGTGTAGATGTGGGCTGTCAAATACAGCATACCTACTCCCTCATCTCCAAACGTTCATGACCCAATGACATGGCCTACCATAGACTGGTGGAGCTCTGCCTGTACGGTTGACAGTGGTCACTGGCTATCCAGAATTTGAGTAAGGGTTATCGCAGTGACAAGGTAAGTTTGAACCTAAAGGGTATAGGTTTGTTTGCAGAATACAATATTTAGTGAAATGAAGTAAAACAATTCAGTTATGAATGTACGATACTCCCTGTCTTCCCACTATCTACCTTTCCATGGTGTGGTGTATATCTTTAAATATATCTTCGTATGGTGTGATGTCTGCCTTCCCGTCTTCCCACTATCTATATTTCCATGGTGTGTGTATATCTTTAAATTTATCTTTCATGGTGTGGTGTCTTGTCTTCACGTCTTCCCACTATCTCTCTTTCTATGGTGTGGTGTATATCTTTAAATATATCTTCGTATGGTGTGATGTCTGCCTTCCCGTCTTCCCACTATCTATATTTCCATGGTGTGGTGTATATCTTTAAATATATCTTTCCATGGTGTGATGTCTGTCTTCCCGTCTTCCCACTATCTATCTTTCTATGGTGTGGTATCTGTCGTTTCCTTGCATGGTGTATGTCTTTCCATGGCGTGGTGTTGGTCTTTCTATGGCATAGTGTCTGTCTTTCCATGGTGTAACCTCTGTCTTTCCATGGTGTAGTGTCTGTCTGTCTTTCCATGGTGTAGTGTCTGTCTTTCCATGGTGTAGTGTCTGTCTTTCCATGGCATGGGGTTGGTCTTTCAATGGCGTAGTGTCTGTCTTTCCATGGTGTGGTGTCTGTCTTTCCATGGTGTAGCGTCTGTCTTTCCATGGCGTAGTGTCTGTCTTTCCATGGTGTAGTGTCTGTTTTCCATGGCGTAGTGTCTGTCTTTCCATGGTCTAGTGTCTGTCTCTCCATGGCGTGGTGTTGGTCTTTCCATGGTGTGGTGTCTGTCTTTCCATGGTGTAGTGTATGCCTTTCCATGGCGGGGTGTCTGTCTTTCCATGGCGTAGTGTCTGTCTTTCCATGGCGTAGTGCCTGTCTTTCCATGGCGTAGTGTCTGTCTTTCCATGGTGTGGTGTTGGTCTTTCCATGGTGTAGTGTCCTACTTTCCATGGTGTAGTGTCTGTCTTTCCATGGTGTAGTGTCTGTCTTTCCATGGTCTAGTGTCTGTCTTTCCATGGTGTAGTGTCTGTTTTCCATGGCGTAGTGTCTGTCTTTCCATGGTCTAGTGTCTGTCTGTCCATGGCGTGGTGTAGCGTCTGTCTTTCCATGGTGTAGCGTCTGTCTTTCCATGGTGTAGCGTCTGTCTTTCCATGGTGTAGTGTCTGTCTTTCCATGGTGTAGCGTCTGTCTTTCCATGGTGTGGTGTCTGTCTTTCCATGGTGTAGCGTCTGTCTTTCCATGGTGTGGTGTCTGTCTTTCCATGGTGTAGTGTCTGTCTTTCCATGGTGTAGCGTCTGTCTTTCCATGGTGTGGTGTCTGTCTTTCCATGGTGTAGTGTCTGTCTTTCCATGGTCTAGTGTCTGTCTGTCCATGGCGTGGTGTAGCGTCTGTCTTTCCATGGTGTAGCGTCTGTCTTTCCATGGTGTAGCGTCTGTCTTTCCATGGTGTAGTGTCTGTCTTTCCATGGTGTAGCGTCTGTCTTTCCATGGTGTGGTGTCTGTCTTTCCATGGTGTAGCGTCTGTCTTTCCATGGTGTGGTGTCTGTCTTTCCATGGTGTAGTGTCTGTCTTTCCATGGTGTAGCGTCTGTCTTTCCATGGTGTGGTGTCTGTCTTTCCATGGTGTAGCGTCTGTCTTTCCATGGTGTGGTGTCTGTCTTTCCATGGTGTAGTGTCTGTCTTTCCATGGCGTGGTGTTGTTTTCTCCATGGTGTTGTGTCTGTCTTTCCATGGCATAGTGTATGTCTTTCTATGGTGTGGTGTCTGTCTTTCCATGGCGTGGTGTTGTTCTCTCCATGGTGTTGTGTCTGTCTTTCCATGGCGTAGTGTCTGTCTTTCCATGGTCTAGTGTCTGTCTGTCCATGGCGTGGTGTTGGTCTTTCTATGGTGTGGTGTCTGTCTTTCCATGGTGTAGTGTCTGTCTTTCCATGGTGTGGTATAAATATTCCTCTCCCAAGATGAGTAGCGTGATTTCTAAAACTGATACATTGTTTTAATGTAATAAGGGTCGTAATTACTGGCAGATTGCTGGAAATATACTACTGAACAGACAATTTTTTTCTTTTGAAAGTATCAAAATATTACAAAATATTAAAATAGATGCCATAAAGCTTGCCATGACACGTTTTAATCCCAATTCTGTCTAGTCTTGTCTTGTTTTGTCTTGTTAATAGTAAATTCCATGAAATAAAAATCATCGTTAATATGATTATGCTGCCATTAAGTTAAACAAGAAACAAAAATCATATGAACGAATACATGTGACAGCTTTCACAGTGTCTGACTGTAACCAGAAAGGGCGGCATACTACACAAGACATTTGCTTGTCTCGCTTTGCAGTTTTATTCCTCACATGTTTACTATCTGTAGAACTGGTTTTTAGTACATTGCTAAAAATTGTGTAAAACTCACTCTCTCTCATTTATTACTAAAAGTATTCTGAAGGGCACTTGTCATCATGAACATGCCTTGTCCTTTGAATGTCTGCAAAACTACTCAATTTTTTACAAGGATAATCAGTTCTGTTATTATATCTCAATATATTTTTTGACAGATTACGCAAAGAATCGGTTTTGTCTGACTTTGCAAGAAACGGCTCTACCTATCAAAGGTGAGGTAGTATGTTTTAAAGATGAAACATATCGCTATCAATAGTTGAATTGTTTTCATTAGGAGACAATCCGTCTATTGTTTCAATGACAACTGTATTTTAGTAGATGCACGATTCCACTGTGTTGCAGATCAGCATGGTAGATGTTGTGTTCCTATGCATTGGTTGTGTTGTCGTCCTTTGTGTCATACAACTACTTCGACTGATCACTGCTGACTGTGACCTGGTGCTACAATGGGCATCAAAATTTGGAAAATCTCCAAGTATGTCTTTAAAGTTTTGAAATAGAAATATTGGTTCCACAGATGCAATGAGATGACTGGAAGACAGGATGAGACTGAAAATGTAATAAAAACGTGTTATTGAAATGATATTTTCACCTGTATTATGTATATTATGAAACTTAAGGTTGATTATTTTCTGACTAAAAAAACATATTCTGCAACTCCGAGTAGTAAAACCTTGAAGCACCCAGATCAGAACTGCAGTTGATATGGTCGTGACTCGAGAAGACTCGGCATCATCTTTACAACCAGATACAGCAGTCATCCATTGACATTATTTACAAAGATAGTAAGTGGCATTTGGCAGACGCAACAGTCATCGAATGAAATTATGTACAATAATAACAAGTGTCATTTGGCAGACGCAACAGTCATCTAATGAAATTATGTACAATAATAGCAAGTGTCATTTGGCAGACGCAACAGTCATCGAATGAAATTATGTACAATAATAGCAAGTGTCATTTGGCAGACGCAACAGTCATCGAATGAAATTATGTACAATAATAGCAAGTGTCATTTGGCAGACGCAACAGTCATCGAATGAAATTATGTACAATAATAGCAAGTGTCATTTGGCAGACGCAACAGTCATCGAATGAAATTATGTACAATAATAACAAGTGTCATTTGGCAGACGCAACAGTCATCCATTGAGCAGCAGTCATTTCATTTATATACATATATACAAATACCCGTATATATATATATTTGTATAGTGCTATAGTCCATCCAGCTTGCATGCTCAAAGCGCTCGTGGAAGTGACACACTCCTGAGCTGATATACTGTACAAACAGTAAAAAAGGTCTCAACAGAACTGGAAGAGTAATATTTAGCAAACAGGTGGGTTTTTAGCTGGGACTTAAAAGAGACAATAGTTGGTGAATTATTTGTTGCAGGAGGTAAGTGTTCCAAAGTATTGGGGCTGATGCACTGAAAGCCTTTTCACCAAAGGGTTTCAGTTTAGTTCTTGGACCAAACAAGAGATGTTGGTGGTCTGACCGGAGGTTTCTGGGGGCCTTGTGATCTAAGATTAGTTCACTGAGATATGCTGGAGCTAGGTCATGCTGACATCTATAAGCAAGACATAACGTTTTGAAATGGATCCTTGCCTCTACGGGCAACCAGTAAAGATCTTTCAGAACTGGGGTGATGTGTGACCGTTTGGACGTCCTCGTGAGAATTCTTGCTGCAGTATTTTTGATTTTTTTTAAAGAGATCGTGGTTGATGCCATAGAGGAGACTGTTACAATAATCTAGTCTTGACATGATTACAATGTACAATGATATCAAGCGTCACTTGGCAGACGCAACAGTCATCGAATGAAATTATGTACAATGATATCAAGTGTCACTGGCAGATGCAGCAGTCATCGAATGAAATTATGTACAATGATATCAAAAGTGTCATTTGGCAGATACAACAGTCATCCATTGAAATTAATTACACTTCTGCTGGTAGCAAGTATCAGTGGAGAAGAGTTGGCTTCCTTTGAAATTCTAACTCTAAAACTCTAAAACTACTTGAATGATCTTCACCAAATTTGTTATACTGCCTCTCCATATCATGTAGATGTTCCTTTCAGGGTTTGAGTTGTTTGAAGTTGTTGATGAATCTCAATAGAGCATTAATGTTAAAGCGTATCATATATCAGTGACTTCGTTCTATAAGAACCAGCATAAGTGTTGATTTGTTTGTGATACAACAGCTGTGATTAGAGCTGTAAACGTGTACTATTACTTCATAAATTTTCTAAAATATTTTATCCACACGTCATGTTAAAGCTGTAAATATGTACTTGTTCTACAACTATTTGCTATAATGTTTAATCTATTCCTACACCAGAGCGCCTGAGAGGTAAAGTGGTGTGGGTGACTGGGGCCTCCAGCGGTATCGGGGAGTCCCTCGTTTACGAGCTGGCATCTGTTGGATGTCGTCTGGTGCTGTCTGCCCGTCGAGAAGAGGAGTTGAACAGAGTAAAGAAGCAATGTCTGAGTACGTCCAGTAGCCTTGAAACTAGTCAGTGAGATCTCTGTACGTCCAGTAGCCTTGAAACTAGTCAGTGATATCTCAGTACAACCAATAGCCTTGAAACAAGCCAGTGATGTCTCAGTGTGTCCAGCTACCTCGGAACTAGTCAGTGATGTGACCTTGGAACTAGTCAGTGATGTCTCAATGACCTTGGAACTATTCCCAGTACAGAGGCGGATACAGCTTTTTGAGAAAAGGGGGGTGTGGGTGTTTGGGTGTGTATGTGTGTTTGCACACTCTTGAGAAAGGGGAGGATGTGCGTGTGTGTGTGGGTGTGTGTGTGTGTGTTTTTTTGTTTGTTTTTTTTTTGCACACTTCATTTTCACTTTCAGGACTTCAAACATGGATATAACATAAATGATGCTCTGTATGGTAATCTAGAATTACCTAGATCTATAAATCATGATATTCTCTAATCAGTACATAACTTTTTTGGCCCTTCAAGAAGATTTAATCAAATTTAAGTTTTCACCTGGCCCTTTGCAGATCTAAAAGTAATTTTGCTGTATGGATGTTTTATTCATGTATAGTGTATGCTTAATGTTATTGATGATGTCATGTACTTTTGTAATAATGTTATGAAATGCAAGTCGCATAAATGCTAAAATCGTATCACATTGTAGATATAGGCTATAGCCCCTAAACAACAAAATCTCACGCAACAGTGCCTAATGCTAATTACCTGGCTCGCATTTCTCACCTAGCCATAGACCTTTCTGGTTAGACTCTGGTTAAGTTAGATTGAACCGCGTGTGCACCCCTACAAACCAACCAACCCCCAACCCCAACTCCCTTCCCCTCTGGATCCGCCTATGGCAGTAGGCTTGGAACTTTTGTCTTTAAGCAAAATGTGTGTGTTTAGTCCTACTGTTGTGTCCCCATGCCCAAGTGACGTGTGGACCAGCCCTACGGGTGTTGTCCAGATCTCCTGACATCTGTACAATACTGATATGTGTTCACACCTTTGGGAGCATGTTTTCGGCAGGCGTTCTTCTGATGTGTGTGGTGTGTGTATTCCTGGCGATGCATGTTTCCTGATATGTGTGTTCCTTCTTTTTTGGATACGTGTTCCTTCCCTACTGCCTTACTGATGTGTGTTTTTTACCAACTACTGTATGTATCTAATGTGTGTATGTGTGTTTTCCTGCCAGCATGTGGCCCGCTTCAAGACAATGACATCATGGTGGTGCCATTGGACATGGTCAAGCAACATGAACATGCAGACGCTGTCAAGAAAGTCCTCCAGCATTTTAAACAGGTACTTCCGTGGTCCCATGTGCCCATTTCTGTGTACACAGTTACAAAGAACTTCTGTTGTCAGCCTCCAATATTACAAGACATCAGAATACTTTAGCTTGCCCTAAGGAAATCTGTTACTTATTAGCTGTCTGAAACAGGACTGGACTACTGGGCATCTTCTATGCAAATATTTAAAGTATTAGGGATTCATATTCTAAGGGCTTCTTGTTGGACACATGTCATGGTTAGCTCTAAAGTCAAGGTCATGACGAAAAGTTATTTGCTCTCTCTGGACTCTTTACGCACATAACATTAAACATTAAGGCCTTTCTACACTCTGTAGGATGGAGCCTTGCTTTGCAAACGATTTTGTCACAGGTTAAGGTCGGGGTTCAAATGTTTAGAAAACACAATTAAACATTTCAATTTCTATCACATATTTATATGTTTCTCAGCATGGCCTACCACAATGCCTGCTAGATTTTTGTCAAAATGCAGATCTTCTGTGAGGTAATTTTGACATACGCACGACATGTACTGACATGGACTTATTCATGGTGAAGGGTTGCTTCTGATTTTGCAAACACGTCAAGTTTATCATGGCGTTACCTGTATGCTGACAGTTTGTGATAACTGATATCATGAATTTAACAATGAATAATTACTAGTGATGGTGCTTGGACAAAAATATAAAACTCTTACATGAAGAAACGAGGAAGAGAGGATCAATGATACCAATGTTGAGGATGTATAATTTACTCTTCAGATAGACATTCTGGTGAACAACGCTGGCCGCTCACAGAGAGCTGAATGGGTCAAAACATCCGTTGTCGTTGATCGTGAGATGCTGGAAACCAATGTCCTGGGACCCTTATCACTGACTAAAGCTGTCCTTCCCGACATGATAGCTCGGAGAGACGGTCACATTGTGGTCATGAGTAGTGTTGCTGGGAAAGTAGGTATGTTAAGTTGTGCTTGTGGAGGCATATGGTGACAGACTTGAGTTAACTCACAGATGTGGCTTTCATCATTTGGGGCCACATTGTGTATGAGATGATTACAGCATTTCATTTGATTTACACACTCCTGGAGCTGTAAAGGACATAGCTCAGCCCAGACAGCCATTCAAGTCATAACCTTTACAGCTGATCGTTTGATGTATTTTGTTACTTTGCTACTGACAATGTCCGAATGACAGAAACTGTTACAGACTTTTTAATTGCAGGGGGGCTGTTGCCAGGATCGTACACAGGGACTAAGTATGCACTCCACGTAAGTCATTGTCTTTTTTTTTGCCTCGTCTGCTAGAACCTAAATAAATTATCCCCCAAGTTTATGTTCGATAATCAAATTCCACCCATTTACATTCTGCAGCAATTATATAATGAGATGTAGTATCAACACACAGGGCTGGTTTGAACGTTTGCGGATTGAGCAGTATTCCGACAACATCAACGTGACGATGGTCTGTCCTGGGCCAGTCTATTCCAACCTACTAGCTATTGCCATGACTGAGGAGAAAGGAAAGGTAGGATGGTGAACACTTCACAGGCCACTTATGATCCTAGTCCTAGTAGAGCAATTCAGAAATTAAAATTAGAAAAAAGTCATGGTTATGATGGTATTGTGAATGAAGTTTTTATCTATGGTGCTGGTGTTCTGGTTCCTACTTTAACTGCATTATTTAAAAGGTTATTTTCCCCATGAGTGGACTAAGGGAGTTACTGTACCCATCCATAAGAAGGGCAGCAGGTATTTGCCAGATAATTATAGAGGTGTTACATTGTTATCTTGTTTCAGTAAGTTATGTACAGGTATCTTGTGTGTTAGAGTTTCAAGTTGGTGTGATAAGTACAGTATACTCGTAGAGGAACAAGCTGGATTTAGAGAAGGCCATAGCACTGTTGATTGTCTCTTTGTTCTACATGGACTTATAAATATAGCTCTTGAAAAGGGCTTAAAATTGTATTGTGCTTTTGTTGACTACCGTAAAGCGTTCGATTATGTGAATAGGAATGCAATGTGGTATAAGTTATATCATTTGGGGATAAGTTCTAAATATTTGACGCTACTTCAGAAAATGTATAGTGATGTTAAATCTTGTGTGAGACAATCAGATGATGCTTATTCAGAACTCTTTGCTTCTGTTTGGGGAGTTCGTCAACGCGAACATTTATCACCGATTCTATTTTCGCTCTTTGTTAATAATGTTGTAGAAGCTTTGTCACCAGCTAGATCTTGGTGTCTTGGTTTTTCACGTACGCTTGTTATTACTCCTTTTTGCAGAACGACATGGTTATATTTAGCAACAATATTAAAGGTTTGCAGGATGGACTGGATAAGTTATCTGAATACTGTTATCAGTGGTGATTGGTTGTTAATACTGAAAAAACAAAAGTAGTGGTATTTCGTAAAGGTGATAGAATTGCAAAGTGTGAAAAATGGTTTTATAACGGCGAGGAAATAGAAGTAGTGGGGACCTTTAAATATTTGGGATTAGTGCTGTCATCATCAGGAAGTTTGTCTAAATGCACAAAAGACACTAGCTGATCTAGGTCTAAAGGCGTTAGGATCACTGTATCGGATATTCAATAATAATACCCATACATTGGTCGATGTTCAGTACCACTTATTCAGTTATACCAGTTCTTTCATACGGTTGTGAATTGTGGGGTTTTATGGAGGCTAAACCTGTCGAAAGAGTTCATTTAAAGTTTATGAAAAATATATTAGTCGTTAAGAAATCAACACCATCTGCATTTGTTTATGGCGAACTAGGTGCATATCCACTGATAGTCCACAGGTTGATTAGGATTTTAAAATATTGGAAGAAGATTTTAGAGTGTAGTGCACACAGATCTATAGTACTGATTTACAATTCACTCTTGTCATTATCTGATTTGCACCCTTATGGTAAAAATTGGGTAACATTATTAAGAGATACACTATAAATTTGGCTATGGTTATTTATGGGTTTCTCAGGGATTGAGCAATTACCATGGATTTATAGCAGAATTTAAACAGCGTATTTATGCTATTTACTCTCAGGTGTGGAAGAATGATTTAAATTCTTTGAGTGAACTAGATTATATTTGCAAATTAAAGATTGTATAAAATTTGAAAAGTATCCAGTACATATTGATATAAGGAAATATAGAATTGCTCTTACACGGTTCAGATTGAGTTCACATACACTGATGATTGAAAAGGGCAGATGGACTACACCTAAAACACCATTACACGATCGCCTGTGTCCATTTTGTGTGAACGATGTTGAAGATGAATACCATATCTTGCTCATTTGTCCAAAATATTTAAAGGTATAAGAAATCGTTATCTACCAAAGCATGTCATTGCCAGACCAAGTATGATAAAGATTGTGAACATGTTACAAACTAATAATGTACAACTATTGATTAGTATTGCTAAATGTGTTTATCATATCTTTAAAATGGAAAGTACCATAAATATGCTGTAATTATTTACTCTTGGGTTACCATCCCTCATTTCTTGGTTAAATTATTGTATATCAAACTATATATGTACATCTACAAATACCCACGACTGTGCAATCATACAAAAAATTTGCAATCGTTGTTTTTGGCCCATGGCCTAAATAAACCTTCTGTCTGTCTGTCTGCTAAGACTGTCTTGCCTACCTGGTTATGGCTTGTTGTAAGGTGCAAAGGTGGTGTGGTACCTAGTGGTTATTGTTATAATTCCTCTGCTGTGATGTCACTCACTCACGTAACATATTGTGATTCTGTGTTCTCTGATCAGGTCGTGGGAGGTGAGATGGATGCAGGAGAGAAGAGGATGGCGACGTCCCGGTGTGCTAGTCTCACAGCAGTCGCCATCGCCAATCAACTGGATGAGGTGTGGATTTCGTTTCATCCGGTACTGGCCTATACTTATGTGTATCAGTACCTGCCTTCCATCGCAAGAAGGTGAGTCTCCATTTTGCCTCCTCCACATACACCTTCCAGTGCCTTCCTCTCCAAGGTGAGTTTCTCCTTACCTCCCACATACATCTCCCAGTTCCTTTCTTCCTCTCCAAGAAGGTAAGCCCCCATTCACTTCCTCCACATACATCTCCCAGTTCCTTTCTTCCTCTCCAAGGTGAGCCCCCACTCACCTCCTCCACGTACATCTCCCAGTTCCTTTCTTCCTCTCCAAAAAGGTGAGCTTCTGTCTACCTCCTCCACATACATCTCCAATTTTTTTCTTTCAAGAGATGGTGAGCCTCCATTTACTTCTTTGTAAGATTTAGCAACTTTATTTTGTGAATCAAGGTACACAGTAAACTCTCGAGTTTGAAACTTTAGTAATGAAGTGACCAGGATTACCTGTTGTCCAAAATACTGAGATATCTAGGAGTTGTTCAGTGTCAGTCAGGTAAGTGAAGTCAGATGTGGAAAAGCATTTAATTTCCTGAGAACCTGAAATAGTCTGTTAGTTTATCGTTAATATATCATCTGCCAATTAAAATTGCCAGACATCATTTGACTTTTACACACATACTCTTCATCAATTATGAGCTTGCATGAAGACACAGTTGTCAAATGTACATTAGGCAGAAGTGGTTATGTAATTTGGAACCTCTGATTGAGCAATCAGGATGAAGATACTTGCCAATACTGAGTAGAATATGTTGCATTTTTCAGCCAGGCCTGTAAAAGGGGTATATTCCAATTCAGGAAGAGCAGAGAGGGTCAGTAGAGCTACCTGCGATGCCAGCTCGACATTTGACAGGATAGTCCACTGACCACACATCTGTGAAGTTAAACCCTGAAACCATTCCAGTGAAATGGCCAAGATTTCTGAATGACTGTTAAAGAGACAATGTCCCTATTTATAGCTCTGTTTCTGAATCCAGTGGTGTGGTAATGATGGTTTTCAGTTCTCATGTATTTAAACAGGATGTACATACTATATATTACTGTATAACCAAGCTTGTTCCCCCATGTATTGACAGATGTCAGTACTTTCATTTGGAGAATCTGTTAAACTCTGGGCACCGAAGTGTAATGCTTCTCAAACAAGAGTGGAATAGGATGATGTCTAATGTTTATTGTAACTGATTTGTTGATGGGGAACTTTGTGTCATATTCACAAGATGATGATGTGACTGTAGATCTCATCACCATGGTGACCCCGCCATGAGATTACTGAGATGAATATTGCTGGAAGTATTGTAAAACCATACTCACTTAACCAATATCTAAAACATGTTTCTATTAGTTCACTACTCACATTCACTTAATAACTTCTAAAACTGCTTCATGCTTGTCATTCAGACTCCATTCACTATGTAAACGCTCATGGGGCTACATTATCTCAACCTTTTGGATCAGCATGCTCTCAAATCTCATTCTCTTCCTCATGGAGAGGATAAAAGCATTCGGATATGAAGTGCTAGATGGTTAACAATCACATTACAATCTTATTCTTCCAGGTACCCATCTACTGTGGAATGAGCAGCGACATACTTTGACCAAAGTCTCTGCTGAGAAGCTGTCAGACTGCTGTGTATTATATGCAACTGTAAAAGAAATAAAACAAATTGAAAATTTATAGAAAATATGTCTTAGTTGAGGTTAACTTGTGTTGTGTCTTGAGACTTTCACCAACTAATTAGAAGCGCTTTTTTATGGTAGTGGCATAGAAGTGATTTAGTTAGAAACAACACAAACCAAACCATCCCAAATTTATTCATTGCCCTCAACCATGAACAGTCTTATTGGACACTGTATACGCAACCTGTAAAGTCTTATTGGACACTGTATACGCAACCATGTAAAGTCTTATTGGGCACTGTATACACAACCTGTACAGTCTTATTGGACACTGTATACGCAACATGTACAGTCTTATTGGACACTGTATACACAACCTGTAAGGACTTCCTCTGTAGAGACATTCAAGGTGTAAACCAGTAGTACGCAGCCACACTCTAGACATTTACACACCAGGTCCCCAACCATTCTTAGCAGTTCAACTGTCAGAGACTGATGACAGTCATAGCCTTAATGTTTTGTGGGCTGGTTCCTGGTACTCGGAAACTCTGTTAGTCCTGGTGGTAAAACACCCACTACAACCCAAACTGACAAATCATGGTTACAGAGTAACTACATGTTCTTAGTAACATTTCTTGCAGTTATTGTCCAGAAGATGGAGCTGTGGATAAACAGGGTTCCAGACTACACAGGTTCTATTGTTGAACCGCTAGGGCAAGTGTATTGCACCTCCACATGTTCTGTATGTAGGTGAAAACATGCCTCTGTGTATTTGGTTGAATATGTAAATACCTCGGGGCACTTAATAGCATGTGGGGTTAATAGACATTCCGATGACAGTGGTTTATATTATCAACCAAACCGAGGACAAGTGTTTTCTGTAACTCATATGCCATTGAAACAACATTTATTTATATTTGTTTAACAGTATGTATAACAATGAATTATGATGGTCTAAAGAAACACTTGTAAAATCGGGCCAGGAAACAGGTTTTACTGGGTACCTTCTAATGAACCACCTATTTCCTACAGGCTTGTGGTCTGATGGATCACAGTGCCTGTCTACGGATCTGATTACATGGAGCAAATGTACAATGAGTATCAATTCTTGTCTTCATGTTTTACAACATTGGACATCGGAAACACTTTCCAAATTTCAGCTTCCTGGAAAAACTCATAGCAGGAACTGGATAAAGTAAAAGCATGCATGACATCTTAGTTTGAAAATACAGAAGTGTATTCCAGGCATGCCTGTCTGCAGGGAGAACAGTTTGGCGCAATGGCGGGTATAAGTACATAGGTTTATACCCTGTCAGAGGAACGCCTATAACATGACATGTATATCTCTGAGAATTTGTGGTTTACAGAAAACAGGCCATGTGTAAAGCCAATATACAAATGAAAATAGGTACAGAAAATCATTGTTCTTAAATTTGGATAAAGTTAAGCCCAGTTTGCATCACCCACTTTGTCTATCAACTGGCACTTGTCAACAGATAAGTAACAACAGTAGGAGCAGACACTTTGTATCAAATGTATATTGTGTATACATATATAACAATCTTCAGAATATCAGAAAAATTGTCAGTCCTGAAATAACAATAAATAATTAAAAAAAAGATAAGTTGGAATATTTGAATTCATAACCAAAAGTAACTACTTAATTAGCTAAATACCCCAAATTTGTATGAAACACCATCAACTTCTGACAGAACTTCTCTTTGAGTCAGTTACAAATATAATTTTGAAAAAAACAAATAGTTCCATTTAAACTGAAAAGGAGCCTCAGTGACATAGGAGATTCAGATACTAAACGGAGCAGTGGTTTAGGAGTTATGTTTGGTACAAAAATCGGTGGAATAATAAACAAGAAGACAAAGTCATCAATATCCCCTGCAATGGCAAAATACTCTTCATGATTATGTCTACAAGTTATGATTATGTCAAATATTTTGGTATGTATATAGAAAAGTGGAAGGAGAGTATTGAAAGGTTTTTTAAAGTTCTGCTCCAGAAAGCAGCACTATTACCAATTTCAGTCTATGTCAAACTTGTTGCCATGGAAATGCCAAAAATATTTTATTCAGAAATCCAAAACTACCAAAAGGCACCAGTACACCACCAGATCTATGTATGTCCCAAGTTTGGTGAAGAAACACTGAACGGTTTTAGAGTTCTGCTGTGGAAAAGAGCACAACCACCAATTTCAGGCTAAGTCAAACTTGTTGCCATGGAAATGCCAAAAATATTTTATTCAGAATTCCAAAACTACCAAAAGGCACCAGTACACCACCAGATCTATCTATGTGCCAAGTTTGGTGAAGAAATAGTGAACGGTTTTAGAGTTCTGCTCCGGAAAAGACAAATGTGCACGGAGGGATGGACGGATGCGCGCACGCACACACGCACACACGCACACACGGACAGAGTCCATTTTAATACCCCCCCGCAAAACGCGGAACAATTACAATAGGTCTCCTGCCTAGAGGCAAGGAGCCCTAATTAAAACAGTATTCCTAATAATTAAAGTTTAAATTGGAAAATTTATTTAACTTGTGTTAATAAACATGTTAACGTTCATAAGAATGAGATTTCTATAAATGAAGTTTTCATCCACTTCAACAATATACTAGTAACAACAAAGGACATGACATGATAACCCCACGTGAGTGAGTGAGTGAGTTTTGTTTAACATGACAGTGAACACTTTTCCAGCTATATCACAGAATGTCACCTTGATGTTTGAAGACACCTGAAGTGATGCAGGTCTGGGACATTAACCTCTCAGTGTAACCCCCGACCATGGGTATAGTGCTGACAAACACATGATTGGGGCAAACCAATACATGAGGGTATCAAACAGCTCTAGTGCTTCCAGTAAATACATGTAATTCACATTTGTAAAATTGCATAGATGTATTCAACATGAATAAAGCATTGATTTATCCACATCTTGAGAAATATGACCGATATTCTAAAAACAATAATAAGCACTTGATATAAGGCCAAATCAATAAAGATCTGTTTCAGTTAACAAACTGTAACAGGTATAGGTAGGTCATGTTCCAGGTCGGTAAACCAGCATGAGGAGCTTCCTTGACAGTACGATACAGGCGTGATATAAAATACAGGGATGTACCTAAAAATACATGGGTGTCTGATAAGACTAAGTAAAACAAATCTGTCTCACATAACCCACACAGGTTTTTTTCCTTTTTAAGCTCAATTTTAGGAAATAAACTTTGTTAACAAAGATACAATAGCCAATCTCTCTGATGGCCTGGGTCTTAGCGTTGCTTTATGGAACAAGGTACAGACCTGTACAATAACCAATCTCTCTGATGGCCTGGGTCTTAACGTTGCTTTATGGAACAAGGTAGAGGCTTGTACAATAACCAATCTCTCTGATGGCCTGGGTCTTAACGTTGCTTTATGGAACAAGGTAGAGGCTTGTACAATAACCAATCTCTCTGATGGCCTGTGTCTTAACGTTGCTTTATGGAACAAGGTAGAGGCTTGTACAATAACCAATCTCTCTGATGGCCTGGGTCTTAACGTTGCTTTATGGAACAAGGTAGAGGCTTGTACAATAACCAATCTCTCTGATGGCCTGGGTCTTAACGTTGCTTTATGGAACAAGGTAGAGGCTTGTACAATAACCAATCTCTCTGATGGCCTGTGTCTTGGCCTGTGTCTTAACGTTGCTTTATGGAACAAGGTAGAGGCTTGTACAATAACCAATCTCTCTGATGGCCTGGGTCTTAACATTGCTTTATGGAACAAGGTACAGGCCTGTACAATAACCAATCTCTCTGATGGCCTGGGTCTTAGCGTTGCTTTATGGAACAAGGTAGAGGCCTGTACAATAACCAATCTCTCTGATGGCCTGGTACAATAACTGTACAATAACCAATCTCTCTGATGGCCTGGGTCTTAACGTTGCTTTATGGAACAAGGTAGAGGCCGATGCAATAGCCAATCTCTCTGATGGCCTAGGTCTTAACATTGCTTTATGGAACAAAGTAGAGGCCTGTACAATAGCCAATCTCTCTTATGGGCTTGGTCTTATCCTTAATTGAACTCTCAGTCATACTGTCACAGGAAGTACAGTATTTTAGTTCCACCAGTGTGCCATGTACGAGCAGTGTTTGAAATAATCAAATTTTCCACATTGTACATCATGACATCTACTTACAAAACTTAAATAATTTAACTAAAATATCCAGTTACAGTAAAATGCCGTTCATTGTGTTTTGGCAATAATTTAGCAGTTAATACTGATTAGTGAAAAACAAATAATAACAAAAGTAAACATTTAACATTGTTTATTCCTTGCCAGTCAGACAGGAAATTTCAGTAGAACAAGCATTCTTGCATAACCCCACAATGCATAGGAATTCAGGAATATCTTGTGCATAGAAATATACTCTTTTAAAACCAACAGCACCCAATATAAACAATCGAGCACAGAATTTACTCATAACTAGCACACATCTATTCTGTGTTGGCCTGGTAAGACTAATCAAGGTAAAACTCTGTGTCCATAACTTATTTTGAAACGTGTAAGTTTAGTCTAAGCCTAACAAAATTAAGAAATAAATTTTACATAAAATAGTTAACACTTTCTGTGGTAGTGGCTTTAGCAGTACAGATAGAAGGGTGCCGTATACTAGGGGTGTCGCGATACGCGAATGTATCGATGCATCGATACATTTTTACTGACGATACGATATGCGATACATGCTTGCGTGTATCGATTCCTATTTTAAAACTTTATCGATTCAACTTTTTATGCTATATCCATCTCCTTCAAAGTCTTGATAGTAAAATTATACGAGACCGCTCCGATAAATAGATGTAGCTAGCTATATTTAAAAAATAGGTTGGAAACTAACAGCTTTTGTGATTGGCTAGACTATTTTGATGGACCAATCAGCAAGCGCGTACGTTGCCGGTAAGGTAATGCTATGAAAAGGCGCGAAAATTATGTATCGCGATACGTATCGTAACCTTAAAATCGTGATACGTATCGTATCGTGAGATTGGTGTATCGTGACACCCCTACCGTATACACAGTAAGTGTGGTTATTATGTGGGAATCATGTACATGTACAGTAATCTGTGAAGACCGTGTTCAGTTGGAGTGAAACTAGTGACAATTTTCTACTGGATAGTCTAAATCTCTTTCTCACATACAATTCTTTTCTTTACTGAAGTAAACTGTCTACAAACAAAATGCAAGAAATATCAGATAAATCCACAAAATGCAGTCTGAGTAATTGCACCTGTTAATTCATATATATATATTCATAGGATCAGAGATAAAGTATTACACACAATGAACGTTATATCATAAACGTTATTAAATGAATTTATGAACATATATTTGTCAAAGTATGTTAGGAAACATACAAAACAACTGAGGTCATCAGCAATAGCTGAGAGATCACCAGCTGGTATACATGCACCAGTGCTCCTGACCTGCACTCTGACCTCTGTTGCAGTACAGCCAATGATTGTCTTGTTTTGACACATTGATTAAAACTCAAAACGTACCTTTGTAAGCTTGTGTAAACAGTTGTGAAAACATTTGAATACACCAAATTTTGTGCCAAAGTCAAACAGCAAGTTTAAGTTTGTGGCAATGTACACCTGGTGAAATACATTTCATGTAATCTGTTAAAACCAATATGGTGTCAAAGGATGCATTCAATACTTTCTCTTTCAAATTCCAGTGCTACAACAATGTCCCAATCCCATTGCATCTCTATAAACTCAATCTCATTTGTTCATATTTCCATATTAATAACAACATCCAAATAAAATAACAGCATTCACAAAAACTAAAATTTGCATTTCTTAAACAAACAATATTCATCACATTGAGATCCTTCACAACAATAACAATAGTGTATGTTTCAAAATGCATACAGGTTGTTCTATGTCGTCTATATGGGGAATCTCTTGGGATTCAGCATAAAATATTACAGCAAAAATATACAAAGCTGCCTTGTGATAAATGTGAGTGAGTAGAAGCTATCCATAGCTAAATAAATATCGATATATACAGTAACCACGGCAACAAGGACAATAGAAGATGTAGGGCTGCAACAAGTCAGTATTGTTCAGTAATATTCCAGTAACATCACAGTAATGGACACCAGGTGTTGGGGAGACCAAGAAGTCACCCATTTTGCAGGACATTGTCATGCAAGGTACCCCAGGTTACTTCCTATATTCTGAAATGTGTCATAATAAAAGTTCCCTCATTAGGATCCCTGTTTTAAGCAGCAGCCTTGAGCTACCAGATAATCAAAGTCAACCAGTAGCCTGGTGAAAGAGGCTGGAATCGGTTATGTCCCGGACTGTGTACACTGGTATCAATTCACTGCCATCTCAGATCTGAGATGTGTGTGGTGTTATTGCAGTCCTACAGAACCATTGAGTTTACCATTTCTTCAGATCATTATAACATCTACAATCAAACCTTCAGGGATATTTGTCCCTTGGAATACTGATATTGACTACAGATGATGTTTTCTGTGATCACAGATCATTGACAATCTTAACAATGTATCATTCTTGACTTCACAGTATATAATTGGTTCCCTGACACAATTAACAAAATATGATCCTACTGATAAGCTTAATCAAGCTGAAAGATATGATTCTCAGAAAAATATTTTCATAATCACTCGGTAAACAATATAATTGGGGTTTTTATGTGGGGGTGGGTGGATGGGCATCTTTTCATGGTTGAACATGAAAATATTTACCCATATTCATCATTTGCACCAATAAGGGTCCCGAAACTCTAATAATTACCCAATTAGTCAAATCAAATCAGTAACAGATCACAGATCACTTACAAGAACCAGATCTTTTAATGTTCCATGCTATGAAAGCCCAGCAACAAATAGTCCTAGGGCAAGCAGTTATCAATCCCACCACTTCTGCAGCATGTAATTCTGGTTGTCTTCCTTGATGAAGCCAAACTGTGAGTAGAACTTGACGAGGGGGTCTCGACATTCTAGTGACACTTTGTAACACCCAACCTTGGCACTCAGCAAGGTCATGCTGTCTACAAGTCTGCAGAAGAAACATAAAGGGACGATAAAGTAACTTCAAACATCACAATGTCTGCTGTGGCTTTCACACCATCAATAACAATGTTGAGATAATGAAAATGTGATAATGAGAATAATTTTAACAATGTCCTGGCTAATTCCAGCGTCAACTATAAACTATGTCATGGGTCTGATTCACCCTAGCTCTCATGGATCCAGATCAGAATCTATCCTGACAGCCAGACCCAAATATGATTGCCACCCAAGAAAAGCCAGACCATGATCTAAATCTACCCTGGCAGAGCCAGACTCTGATATTAATCTACCCTGACACAATCCCATCCAGATATTCAACTACCCGAGCACAGCCAGAACCGAATCTGAATCTACCCTGACACAATCCCATCCAGATATTCATCTACCCGAGCACAGCCAGAACCGGATCTGAATCTACCCTGACACTTCCAGACTCAGATATTCATCTACCCAAGCACAGCCAGAACCGAATCTGAATCTACCCTGACACAATCCCATCCAGATATTCATCTACCCGAGCACAGCCAGAACCGGATCTGAATCTACCCTGACACTTCCAGACTCAGATATCCATCTACCCGAGCACAGCCAGAACCGGATCTGAATCTACCCTAACAACCCATCCAGATATTCATCTACCCGAGCACAGCCAGAACCGGATCTGAATCTACCCTGACACAATCCCATCCAGATATTCATCTACCCGAGCACAGCCAGAACCGGATCTGAATCTACCCTGACACTTCCAGACTCAGATATCCATCTACCCGAGCACAGCCAGAACCGGATCTGAATCTACCCTGACACAATCCCATCCAGATATTCATCTACCCGAGCACAGCCAGAACCGGATCTGAATCTACCCTGACACTTCCAGACTCAGATATTCATCTACCCGAGCACAGCCAGAACCGGATCTGAATCTACCCTGACACAATCCCATCCAGATATTCATCTACCCGAGCACAGCCAGAACCGGATCTGAATCTACCCTGTCAGTTCCAGACTCAGATATCCATCTACTCGAGCACAGCCAGAACCGGATCTGAATCTACCCTGACACAATCCCATCCAGATATTCATCTACCCGAGCGCAGCCAGAACCGGATCTGAATCTACCCTGACACTTCCAGACTCAGATATCGATCTACCCGAGCACAGCCAGACCCAGATCTGAATCTACCCTGACACTTCCAGACTCAGATATTCATCTACCCAAGCACAGCCAGACCCAGCTCTGAATCTACCCTGACACTTCCAGACTCAGATATCCATATACCTGAGCACAGCCAGACCCAGATCTGAAGCTACCCTGACACTTCCAGACTCAGATATTCATCTACCCGAGCACAGCCAGACCCAGATCTGAATCTACCCCGACACTTCCAGACTCAGATATCCATCTACCCAAGCACAGCCAGACCCAGATCTGAAGCTACCCTGACACTTCCAGACTCAGATATTCATCTACCCGAGCACCGCCAGACCCAGATCTGAATCTACCCTGACACTTCCAGACTCAGATATTCATCTGCCCAAGCACAGCCAGACCCAGATCTGAATCTACCCTGACACTTCCAGACTCAGATATTCATCTACCCAAGCACAGCCAGACCCAGATCTGGATCTACCCTGACACTTCCAGACTCATATATCCATCTACCCAAGCACAGCCAGACCCAGATCTGAATCTACCCTGACACTTCCAGACTCAGATATCCATCTACCCAAGCACAGCCAGACCCAGATCTGAAGCTACCCTGACACTTCCAGACTCAGATATTCATCTACCCGAGCACCGCCAGACCCAGATCTGAATCTACCCTGACACTTCCAGACTCAGATATTCATCTGCCCAAGCACAGCCAGACCCAGATCTGAATCTACCCTGACACTTCCAGACTCAGATATTCATCTACCCAAGCACAGCCAGACCCAGATCTGGATCTACCCTGACACTTCCAGACTCATATATCCATCTACCCAAGCACAGCCAGAACCAGATCTGAATCTACCCTGACACTTCCAGACTCAGATATCCATCTACCCAAGCACAGCCAGACCCAGATCTGAATCTACCCTGACACTTCCAGACTCAGATATCCATCTACCCAAGCACAGCCAGAACCAGATCTGAATCTACCCTGACACTTCCAGACTCAGATATCCATCTACCCAAGCACAGCCAGAACCAGATCTGAATCTACCCTGACACTTCCAGACTCAGATATTCATCTACCCAAGCACAGCCAGACCCAGATCTGGATCTACCCTGACACTTCCAGACTCATATATCCATCTACCCAAGCACAGCCAGAACCAGATCTGAATCAAGCTAGCAGCAAGACTCTTACAATACTTACAGTTTTCCAAGCTGCTTTCCTCTGTAGAGATCACTAACCACAACGTCTTCCACTCGTCCTCTCTGAAACATACAAAGAACAACGTCAACTGGGAGTTTGAGTCGATCTCAGTAATCTTACTATTCTTAGCTCCATGAAAATAGCCATCCCTCATGATATCAATAGGCCTTGGACATATCTTACTCTATGAACACCCATGTATCTCACCGCAGAGGCTTGGTGTATAAACTTGGTCTCCTTCACCAGTGTGGCAGACGCGATGATCTGCCCTGACTCTGTATTCTCTATTACTGTCACATAGTAGTTCTCAGGACAATTCTTCATCTGCATGAAGCGGGCTACAAAACAGCAGTTCAATGGTGGTTAGTTCATTGGATAGATAAATAGATGCACTGACAGGGGTGAATTGGGTGGGGATGGGAAGGACTCAAAGGTGGAAAGACCTGTGATGTACAGATGGATGAAGGAGCTATGGATACACATGGAAGTGTCTGAAAATTCTCTTTTAGGTATGGGGGATACAGTTGAAAACTGGATAAACTGACAAACAAATTGATAGCTTATAAATAAATACTGATGGACAGAGAAAATCAGATGACATTACAAGTGTTTCAATGAAATAAAATTATTGTTCTATTTATTTCCATTCGGGTCCATAATTATATTAATAATTTTTTCAAACTGGGTGTGAGACATACTATGAAATAAACATTCCTACCTTCAAACTCTTCCCTGCTTACATCCCCAACTTTGGTCAGGTGTGTCAGCAGCTGCAGAAAACCTGCAAGGCAAGGAAGGGAAAGTTAGATAAAGAAACCAGTTGTTAACATACATAAGGTTGTAATGAGTTTCATAACACACTGAAAATGAGCTGAATTGCCCCGAAATATCCATCTATGATCAGTTTCATTAACTACGTATGTTGGCATGAGAGAATTCATCATTCATGTTGATATATACCACACACATATTTTACCCATCAAGCACAACTCCCTGTAAGTGCACATTAACTGTAGGGATACTCAATAGTAAGGCAAAATCTGTCATACGTAGAAAAAGAATGACATTTCTCAAAGATCTATCGAGTAAATTGTCATATACAATGTTGTCTTATAATATACAAAATATATAATACTGAGTCTTTAGTGATGTAAGTACCAGATATTCGTTTTATTGCATTGTGTCAGTACTATGATTGGACAAAAGAAAAGGACTGATGTTTGACTTGAAGACATGCACCACTTTAAATCAACATCCAGCATGTCATCAAGAAAATGTAAAAGAAAACTAAAAAAGTAACCATACAATCAAAAAGACAAGTTCACCCCTAAACTGAACTGTGTGGCAGGTTTAATAAAGAAATATTAACGGCAGTTCTGCTTCGAAATGAACACTGCTCTCATTTTAATAAAAACTGAAATAAGTTAAAATCCAAAATCTTCTAAAGGAACTAGTTCACCACAAAGACTAATCATGAGAATATATAAAACATCCCAAATCTTTAACTATTTTCAACAGAAATATTAAACAATTAAGAGTTCACTGACTCCTGTAAAAGTGTCTCCAGCTAAGCTGTGTTGTATGTTTGTACAGACCCCAACATGACTAAATAAATCGTGCTTAAAGGGGAAGTGTACACGATAAAATCACATTTATTCTTATGTGAAACAAAATTAAATATTTTAATTATTTAATATCAATGTTTGAAATTATACACTCATTTTTCTTACAATGAAAGTATAACCCTCAAAATAAGTGCTGAAATGTTATGCCATCATGTGGTCCTTGTTTGCCAAGCTAAACAGGCCAGAGTTACCGCCCTTTGATTATGACGTAATTGGTGCCACTTAATTTTAAACTGGTCTTCTGTCTAGTCCCAAATCAAAAGATAATAATACTGAAATTAACCATGTGAGAAAAGTTTGTGAAAATACGAAAGAAGCATAAGAACTGAAAATGTAAGCAGCAGAGATAGATTGATCGTGTGTATTTTCATTCAGAACCTCACCTCAATGAAATACCAAATATGTGTAACAATGTTGATGTACGTATGACATCACTATCGGGAAGTGACATTCTCAAAATGGCGTGTTCACTGACACGAGTACGCCGGAATTTTCGACAGGAAATTTCGTTGTCTCAAGCAACGTATATACATAAATGTGACATGTAAGTAGTCCGAAGCATTCTGACAATCTGCTGGTTCTTATTTCCTTTTTGTTTTCATTGTGACCAAGGGAAATAGTCAGAAATGAAGAGAACTTCCATCGTCGGTGTGCGTGAATGTTTCATCAGTCATGGCGTCACACTTTCAGAAACTATAATATGTTGCAACAATACCTTTCCCATGCATGGTCTAAAACTAATGAATCTCGGAAATCATTAGAATACACCTATTTTATTTAACTATCGCTTGCTACAATACCTTTCCCATGCATGGTCTAAAACTAATGAGCAAGTGTATGCAACAAAAGTAGGCGAACCGAACAGAGTGAAATCTGAATTCGACTTTGTTTACATTACAAACAAGTGGTCCTTTCCCAGCACGGCATCTGATATATTTCGTTAGATTTCACTTGGTATTGGTGACAAAGACCATTTGTCATTTTATTTTGAACTGTATGAGGAATTCATGGATTCGTGTAAGAGTACGTTTGACGTGATTTTATAAACACTCTGCCATATGGCCTGAAAATTCACTTTGACGTTAACTGTGTGTATTTCGTAATGTGTCAAAACTGGTCAGATTTACAATGCATGTAATTTTCAGTATATTTGCCTTACGATGAGCGGATGATGTCATAGAAAACCTAATTTCAAACAGAATTAAAAACTGCCAATTGCATTTTTCCTCGTGATGTATTTGGATATTTTATCGATAGGTGGGAAGAGAGGAAGGGGTGGGCCATATATTTACGATTTATGTAGGAATTAAGTAACAAACATAGAATGCCGACATATTCACCGATGGCAAGCTAGATGTAGTGCATAAACATTTTAGTTTTTGTGCAAAACGATACTGTTGAAAGAAGACTGACTCAGGTTGAATGTTGTACAATTTGGTTACGTGGTAACACTGTTTGTACAATGTATACGTTTTTTCAAACTGCAACTTCATCACAGTGTGGAACTGACCACATAGTCAGCTGACGGCCAGGCAACAGCTGGATTAAAACAGTAGCCTGTGCAATCCAGACACTAGAACCACACCTATACCTGCACCACATGAAATGGGTCAAACAACGTCATTCGTTTATCAGTCTGGCACCAATGACATCATTTCCAAGGAACATAAGCCATGGTGTGTTTATTGTGGACATAGAACTCTCGGTTTATGTGGAAAATTTGAATCAATATAATGCAAAAAATAAATAAGTTACTTCTGATATCTGTACTGTTTTGGCTATAAAACAACTTGACAAACACTTTTTAAGATGAAAAAGTGCAGACAAAAAGGTTAATGTTTGTGTAAACTTGCCCTGTAAATGAAGACCAATAAAGTATTGAACAATGTTGAAGTGTTCTTCTTACATTAAAGTGAACAAAATGAGCTAATACTCTGCAGGTAAGGTATATGTCCCAACTATCCCAATTCAACAAGAAACTGCTGTCCATAAAACCATAATTAACACCCATATATATTTTAATTGTTTTAGTCACTAGAAACTATTTTCCATGTGTTGATACTTCTTTTAACCAATCACAGGTAGGATCTATATTTTGTTGAGCATAAAAGCAGTGATCTCTGAATATATGGCATCTGTATGGACAATCAGATAATCAACCAAGAGGAGTATGACCTCAGAGACTGGACAGATAGCCCTTCTTCAGAGAATGGGCTGATAGTACCACTTCAACTATGTATATTGAACTCTAGGTATAAACAGTACACTTGTGTACCCAATAAAACAATGAAGGATTATGAATATTTGGTATATTTTCATGAAATTCTGTGCTCAGTTTTCAATACCAAAAAAATAATAATAGAATATTCATAATCCCAGACTTTATTGTTCAGTTCGCAAAAATCTCTATATGAACCTTATCTCATCATCAATATCCTCAACAGCATATGACAGAGCCTCTCAGATGTCATCAGATGTAACATGTTATATTTAGGATTATGCTTTCTCAGTAAAGTACAGATTCTAAAACTTTTGGGGTTGAGTACCATAATTCAAACCCACATTATCAGAGTAAGGCGCCTAAAGCCAACACAAATTTAGCATGCTTAGCAATCGAACAGTCAGCCATCGCAGCTTCCACAAAATGAGTAGATGTTCATTAGTAATGATACAGGCAAGATGCTTTACAGATGACATCCTTCCATCAGCCGACTGAGTGGACTAGATCGCTGACTAGTGTGCTAGGTATTAGTCCTCGATGGGACTCAACCAAAACAGTATTAGTACCAAAATAGTGAACCCCCAAAAGTTAGATGTGTTACATTTTCATCACTGATGTCAATAACCCACAAGTCCACCCACACTGACAATACGGCTGAATATTGGAAAATATTTATGACAATCATAATTATGTGATGCACCACAGTCCTGCATGGTACAGTGCACTGCACCATATCACAGCTTGCAGCTTATGAGTCTGGTGTCTCTGCAAGCATGGCACCTAATTACAAGTGTCACTGTCTGGCAGCCGTGTAGCTGTGTATTTATTCCGACTGTCTTCATCTTAGAAACATGATGTATGCTTATGTACTTAAGTTCATCTATGGATATATATTTCTGAAAATAGGTTAAAGAACACCACTTTCTTTCACAATACAGCAGATAATCTGTGAAATATGGAGGAACTGGATGTTCGTTAACTTCTTTTGAGTTGAAATGCTATCACCGAAGGCCACAGATACATTTCAGTCAGATCTTGTGACAAGCAAGACAAAATGGGGACCTATCCTTCTCCAGATTGGAATTATACCAACAGTATTAAAGTTTCCCTTTTGCACAGCGACACAGGCAACTGTGACCCAGCATATATCATGACCTCTCAAAATCATTAGCCATGTTGAAGTATGTGTCGATGTAGAACTGCCTTGGTGCAACGGTAGAATGACAAGAGCCTCAACTGATACAGATTTATAGCACTATTCATAAGAGCGACCTGACTGACTAAAGGCTTCATACCTGTGTCAGGGGTCTTCTCGAAACTGATTTGGGGCTTATCAACTGACAACAACTCTATTTCACAGACATCTTACAGCAAAATGTTTTCATAATAGTAAATGCGTCGTCTGTGTTAGATGCTGAACATTTGAAACAAATGCCTGTCACTGACACACATCATGCAGTGCTACAAAAGGATTGGCCTGTCATACAAAAAAGGGAGAGAGTGAGTCATGTTGAGTTGAATTCAACCCCCAAATCATAGGTTTCTGGAACATCAAAGGGAGGTAACTCTGCAGTTCTGAATTGCAGAGCTTCATATGACTGCTCCATCTATGTCCCCTCACACAGAAGGAAATGCTGGAGATGTAAACAATTCACATCGTTCTCACCTATGTACTACAAATATTTTATAATGCATTTACTTGTAGGTAAACAAAACAAGTACACCAGCATTTCATACTCCTTGTCATATGTAAAGATTGGTAGATTTTCCAGTGTTTTCAAAAACAAGAGTCATCAGAAGATGACAAATCCCCCCGGCCCCCATAAATTTGAAAGAACAAATCAACTGACAGTTACATTTTTTTGGACTAGGTCCAAATTGTTTCCAAGGAAATCAGGAAAAATGAAAATGCCAAAAATCTGCAAATAGCAAAAGGCACCACTTTAGGTTCTGTTCTGATATATCTACCAAGTCTTGAAGAAAGATACTGAATGGTTTTCGAGTTGTGCTCCGGGAAACGAAGGTCACCCCGCCTTTTGAGTCTAAGTTCAAATCGTATCCATGGAAACAAAGAAAAATAAAAATGCCAAAAATCTGTAAATAGCAAAAGGCACCACTTTAGGTTCTGTTTCGATATATCAACCAAGTTTTGTTGAAAAATATTGAACGATTTTTGAGTTATGCTCCGGAAACAAAATGATTACGGACAGACGGACGGACGGGGCGTCGACTATATCCCCCCGCATTACATACCGGGGGGATAATAAAGGAAGATGTTTGTCTACTATATAACACCACAATTAGCAACATTCCAAAAGTACGGGGGGCCTGTAATAATCAAGTCGGGACCACACAAATCCAGTGGTTGATATTGTGAGCATAAGTTGCTATTGGCGTACAATGGCAGGCAATCAACCAAGTCGCCAAGCCACACCACTCGATCCGTTTGCCTCTTACAACCAGCACAGGCTGCTGCTACTTTGACTTGGAAATCACCATAGTGAGTACAGAGGATGATAAGGGCAAACAGGACTTACTTACACAGTAGTTAAATGAAGCTGAGAAGCCTACCAAAACTCCAACATGGTTCAGCATGCAAATGACTTGAATTTGAACGTTTTAATACTTTGCTCATTGACAACCTTGATGTGGACCCATTGCCGAAGGATGTGTCCAAGAATCTTTTTTATTTACAAAAATCATTGCGAAATATAGTTTATAATTCTGTCGATAATATGTCGTCATTTGAAATGTAATAAGTGTTTTCGGTCATTGTAAAAAGTGACAGATTTAATAAATGAATCTTTAGTCGTAATTTTGAGGCCTGACATGTCAGAGAAATTTTGCTTATTAGTGTGGTTTTTTTTCCACATATCCCAACACGAGCTGAATTCGACGTTCTGGTGATTTTGACGATTGCATTGCTCGCGCTATATCGGGTGAGTAATTGTGCGATCGGAGTGCACAAACAGTTTCACTGGTAGGGCGGGTGCCCAGTCGCTGTCCTGAGAAGTTTTATTTGACAATGGAAATCGGGAAGTAAAGGTATATAAAAAGCAAACAAACATCAATATTATTTACCCGAGATCATTAATACCACTTTAGATGCAAAATCAGTTGCCTTTATAACAAAAAATAGAAAGCGAAAATTCAGTAAGATCAGTCGTCTGCTGGTGACATGCAATATATAAATATGAAGCCACGTGATCACAACACTCCCTCGCAGTGCGGAGCAAAAGGTATGGCTCATCGTCGAACACCCATACAAAATACCTGGATGTTAGGAGCGGCCACTGTTTCGCCGATACAATGTCATCAACGCTATTTTTGTAGGAAACGCTTGATATTTTTGTGTGGAATAGATGAATATATCCTTTATCACTCGAGGTTAGTAAAATATAAACTTTAAATGATATTACAGATAAAAATTACGTTTTTGTCTTACATCGTCGAACACCCCTGACACCGGGATACTATATAATTTGATATGTCAAGTCAAAGTGTCCCCCCCAAAAAAATTGAAGAGATTTTTTTTCCCTCCTCCAACTCTGCATTTCAGTTGTCAATAACGCTTTAACAAGTTTCCATGTCATCCCTCACAGGAGCATACAACTTATAACATCCACGTTTGTCTGAGATATACATCAACTAATAGCCTTTGCCTTGTTTCAAAGAGGCTGAAATACTTGCTTACGGGCACAGTACTTCAGGTTCTGATAAAGGATTGCAATAAAAATATTTGAAAGCATGTTCAACAACACAGATCAAGTTTCACTTAACTGTAATTTAGTGTAAAATGCAATGAGCTAATTCACCTAAATCAATCTACCTGAACAGTGCAGTACACTACTGTGTTTCGGAGTGACGTGGCTGTTAACTGCATTGGTTAATGTTTAAATAAAAAAAATATATGGTCATCTATAAAACACAGGCTTCAGCAAACACAAATTAGGTTTGTTTGATGAAAGGCTACGAGTGACATAAATCCGTGGGCAAACTGTCATGTTTACACATGACCGCCCATCGACCTCGGTATTCTCAGGTGCCACTCACCACCTACATGCACACGTATACTCTTTCTACCAGACTTAACTTTTACCCTGATGGAAAAAAACTAGTCTTTGATGTTTCACACTGTGTTTTGGTATGAACATTCAAAATCTCTGTAGAGGAATAATTGATAACAGTTTGAAACAAGGGTCCAAATTCAGTAGACTTAATAATTAACTGTTTACGTTACAAAGATTTCTCATTGGATAGAGACTTGGACTAAACAAAATGTGTTTCTATAAATAGGTTCTTCTGCCATTTAACACAATGATATTGTATATCTGACTGACAAAGGGTCTCAGAGTAAACACAGTGTTACGCTCTAATACACTGCCACAGGGGTATACAAGTAACACATTTCTGTTTCATGGAATGTGAAATTTTTTCAAGAAATAATGTTCCCAACTTGAATTCAAACAATAAAATTTATGTGGAAACTACAGATTCACTCCTACTCAGTAGGCTAGATATACAGTGAGACAGGCTATGAGGTGTCTAGCCATACACTTCATGCTACACTGGTGAAGGTTTTAGTATCACAAGAAGGATTGCCATGAAGCAGCAGCCTACCCAACAATTCAAATTAAACACACCCACACTGTGACATCACCAAACTCATACCTATAATCAGATATCTATTACGATCAGATATCTGTCACAAAAGGAATCATGTTCCTTACTGTCAGTGAGCCAATTGAGGTTAGTCCTCACCTTTATCATAGTCTGCTAAACACAATGGTCGCATCACCAGATTTTCTCCAGGATGTGTTGGGGAGACTGGGGGGTTGTACTTCGCGGGAGACTTAGAAAAATCTATCAGTTTCAGAATATCCGGGTCATACTGGTAGCATTCTTGTCCATCCACAAGGCCATTCTGAAGAAGAAGAAAAGCTTATCACAAACAATGACATCACTCGGAGCATAAGACGAGTATACCTAGGAATCTAGAAAGTTGCTCTACCAAGATGAGGAGTCTGCCAAGTTGAGGAGTCTGTCAAGATAAGGAATCTGTCAAAATAAGGAGTCTGCCAAGTTAAGGAATCCGCCAAGATAAGTAGTCTGCCAAGATAGGGAATCTGTCAAGATAAGGAGTCTACAAAGATATGGAGTCAACCAAGATGGAGAGTTTAACAAGAAAGTAAACCTAAATAGTTAGAAAGTCTACCGAGATAGAGAGTTTACCAACATAGGGAGTGTGCACTGGTGAGTGACTGAGTGAGTGAGTTTAGTTTTACGCCGCTTTTAGCAATATTCCAGCTATATCGGGACACCAGTAATGGGCTTCACATATTGTACCATGTGGGGAATTGAACCCGGGTCCTCGGCATGACGAACGAACGCTTTAACCACTATGCTACCCCACTGGTTAGAGAGTGTACCAGGATAGACATTTACCAAGAGAGCAAGTAGCAGACTCAAGTTCTTGTAATGAAAAACTGTACCTGTGTTCAGATTCTGACGGGATTCCATTACTTAGAATGTAAATCAGTTGGCTCTAAACAATGAAATATAAATAATTGGCTGTCTATCATTTCTGCATTTCTGGAAATAATATGTCTAACTAGCTATTAAAATCTTGACAAATTGTCTTCAATAAATTAAAACGAATCAACTATCGAAGTAATGATTAATCAGACATGAAAACAGGTACAGATAACTGAGGTGTAATCATGGTAATGCTTCCATTCAAAATTGATTACCACAACGCTGCATACCATGTCAGCGTGAACACCAAACATCACATCAGCAGAAAGTGCAGCATAACATGGCGAATACAGGAACATTAACTGTATACAGTAAATTGAGATATACATTTACACTTACCAGCACATTATTACCTTCCATTTCACTCACAATTATTTCTTGTGGACAGCTTTGGATTCAGCAAATAATGGACTAGCTTACGCAACTTCAATTTATGAATGTGAACACCCATGTTTCTCAATGATTCATTAGCACCCATTTCTATAACAACCAGACAGTCAACATTATTAGTCACCATGACTACAAGGATTATCAGTCATTCTGTTCAACTTCAGGAGAATGACAATCAATACATTATTGTTACCTTCTATATTATACCACTAATCTACACAAGACCTTCTTATTTCTAGTCTACAGAAGTTTATAAAACAGGTCAAAATAAACATAAAGTTGTGTGACTACATAATAAATGTTATTCCTGGTGGAGCAGTATATTGGTTGATCAGGTCCACAGTGAAATCTAAATGCTACATATACTGCAATACTTTGAACAGGCATAATCAACATTAACCCAAACGAGAAATTTACCTTTATTAGATGGTTACAAATTTGGGGCCGAGCATTTAAAGTAAATATTCCTTGGTAAAAATGAAACACAACTTTATGGATGACCACTTATTTTTGACTCACCAGCTTCTAGTATGCTGATCAAACAATTAGTCTTTGGTAATATTTCAAAAAAATTCAAGTTCTAAATTATGGTTGGGGTGGGTAATTCAGGTACTTGAGTCAAGTTAGTCCTGATTACTGACTAGGACCCAGGTACCCCAATGATTTTCTCCCAATTTTCCTACAGTTGGCCCCTCAACAAAACCTTGTATCACTGGATTTATTCTTTGACTCTGGTTAGGAAAGAAGATTCCACAACATGTTTTACTGACTTTTTTCATTTCAAAAATGAAGAAATAAATTTGATATGTTAACATCATAGACAAATGATAGATGGACAGACTATGCACCACGCCATAAGTCCACATGGTTTATCTGTGTTGGTTATAATTAGTTCCTCCTGTATATCTCACGACTGGTATGAAAGATGACTTCCTGGTTTACCCAGAATGTTATCTGCACCACACTTGTTGACAATCCCTTCAATTGACATGGAGTCTATGTACTCATTTATGACAATACTTTTCTCTCATCTAAAGACACAACCAAATTAATAATTCACTCTGGAACATACCTTGCTTTAGTGTAAATCTAGACTGATTTTGTTTTCATAAAATATTCTCTTAAGCGATCACAATTCAGAGACACCTTCCATGAATTACTACACACAAACTACATTAACAATATGTGTAAATCATTATCCCAAATATAACACATATTAGAAATATGGAACAAGATAGCAGTTCTGCCCATATTAAAAGACCCAACCTGTTCAGATTTTATTTATTATGGGAGAATAAATAGAATTTAAGTAATAAATAAAAGCTATAAATATATTGTCCAAACAAAGTAAACAGTAACAAAGATTCTAGAACTGATTCACTGAACTGAAGTGATTACCAAAGTTGCTTTAAGAAAGTAGGGCCAGAAAGTACATTATTTTACACATTTCTTTACATTGATAAGCATCGGTTCACACAATTTAATAATAAATCAATTTTGTTGCCCAATTTTGTGGCCCTAAATTCAGAGCTGGTCTCTCACTGAAGCGTTATAATTAAATTCTAATTCACTGAAACAACGTTAGTGTTGAAATCAATAACTTTTCCAGTCATGTACACTTCGAACACCTGTCAAACACAATGAATAACGTGTCGAGCGGCCCAGATGCAGAGGCTCCGACTACTAACAAATCAAATGCTCATCTCATTTCTTACCTCAGTCTTGCTGCCAGCTTCTGTCGCCATCTTCATTTCTCTGTACATGCCACCGAGTGTTAGGTTCTGTCAACGTGTCCGGATTTCCAGTTTAACCCTTTTTGTCAATAAACAAATCCACGTCGCGATCGATCACGGTCTCCCGTGACATGCAAACCTTAGGTAGCGCTGCCCTTCCCAGTTTGTTAGGCTTGCTGTCATTGGCCAGACAGGTGCGCTATGATCCTACGTGATCCCGGTTGTTAATCTCTAAGCAGATTAAGTTAATTAGATCATCTACAATAATGACAAAACAGTGTTTATTTGGAGCAATAACTATTATATAATCTTTTTATATTAAATGTAGTAATATCCGAGCATGGTATAATGACATATGTTAATATCTGTAGAAGTTTGGTGCTTCTTCAGATACAGAGATTATTTTCAAAATGTCTGCGCCCTTGAGGCGTGTATTTCCAAAACATGTAGATAATATTCGTGGTTTTATGTGTGACATGTCCATGTCATCTCTTTTGCCTTTTTGTAGTCGATGCTCTGAACGGGTGTATTCATCACTGGGTCTTAGACGATGTAAAATACCCAAATTGTGTACACGTACAGGACGTTTGAAGTTCGAATCCTTCGCAAACAGTCGGAATGCAAGTGTATTTCACGATGACCGTGGCCTGTATAGACACGCAAAACAGCAGTATGGAAGTAAACGGAACCATGTTTCGACCTCCAACACAGTCATACAGATTCAGAGAGCTAATCTTAGTGCTAAGAGAAGCTTTGGAACATTTATGTGTCGTAGAAAAGAGAAAGCTGTATCCGTGATATCGACCGATCTTCAAAAACAGTCGGGCACCGACTGTAGAATACTGAAAGTGGATGTTTGGTGTAAAAACATAAACAGTGGTCCTAGAAAACAAGTGAAAGAAGCAACCACCTCTTCACCGGTATATAAATAGCCCAGATACAAAGCATGTTCAAAACAAAATAATTATAAGCCTGTTCCTTGGGCTCACAGTCACAGTGTACACTCTGGGAACATGTATGGTTCAAACATATGATATGTACCTACCCACCCGACCAGAGATATAAGTGGTTGCTGTAAGCTATAATATGCATTTTTGGCACTAAATGGTTTGATGGGTGGCATATCATTAAGCAACTGAGGGGAGCAATCATCCTAAGTGCCTCCAAGTAGCAAGATTAGCTTATTGCAATATATTCAATCATCTTTCCAGGTCACAACATGAAGCACCAAAGTGTTCTAAGTTGAGAAGAGTTCCATGGTTACATAAATGAGGGTGGGTGGAGGGGGATCAAATCAAAAAGAGAAACTATGTCTTTTATTCCCAGAAAGCTAAATTTTGGTTTGTATACAATGGCTGACTTATTGCAACTGGAATATATGATAATGTCATTTATCAATTTCATTTGATTTCACAATGCCATTTAGAAAGTGGTAAAATGTAATGTATGTGATGTTTGGGATTACACTTTCTTAAAGTTTCATTTCTAGTACTTTTGTCGCCTGCACACAAAGTCAGCCATGGCTGAGCGGGTTAGGTGGCTGACTTTGTGTGCTGGTGATTAGGTGCCTGACTCTGAGGGTGTGGGTTCGAATCCTGGATGGCACTCAACTCAACAAAAGTACTAGAATCTGTACTTTACTAAGAAAGTGTAATCCCAAATATAACATATGTAATATCAATTTCATGTTTTGATTTACTCTTCATATAATGATAACTTGATTTCTTGCTACATAAATCAATAATTATGTTATGCCAAACTGACCATTTTGTCATTTGAAAAGATTACAATATCTTATGCTATAGATATCAGAGAACATTTTCAGACAGAGAACATTTACACAATTCCAAACTTGCTGACAGTGGGACGGATGTTATCGGCACCGTTTCTTGGATACATGGTGATGAGTGAGAACTTTCAGTGGGCACTAGGACTTTTTGCTTTCGCTGGCGCGTAAGTGATTTGGTAAGTCGCCTGAAAGCCCTTTATAACCATTATAAGTATCAAAGACAAGAATGAGAAGGAAAAAGAAGGGTCAGCTTTAAAAGTGTTGTACCTAGTGTGCTTGGTATGTGTAAACTACCTTTTAGGTAAACTGTGAATTCAGAAAATGAATTGGAACAAGAGAATAGCAGTTCATTGATTTCTGAAACAAACCAATTAATTACCTTAACAGAGCAATATGGCTTTCCTGGCTATTTCAATTTTCACTGGGGGCACACACATCTAGTCACATAAGGCAGTGCAGAGTTGTGCCCCTTGATTGTGCTAGAATGCTATGACTGTAGTTATTGTTGTATTCACCTTCATCTACGATTCATGGTTTGTCAGAATCATACCTGCACTCATTGGTAAAGGTGGTAAACAAACTGCTTCACATGGAGCAGACAAACATGCCATGATATACTTGACTTATGGATAAGTATTCAAATCAGTCTAAAGCAGTGTCAGGACATGTTTTCTTCTGCCCCTCCTGAATCAGTGTCAGTTTCAGTGGGACCCTCAACTCTGGCTCTAAATGTTTTCAGTTGGATGGTTACATCGCCAGAAACTTCAAGAATCAAAACTCTATCCTAGGTTCTGCCCTGGATCCCATGGCTGACAAGATACTTGTCAGTGTTCTGGTGCTGACACTCACATCAGTCAACCTAATACCATGTAAGTATATCAGTATATCATGTAAGTCTTAGTAGTTTTGCCATTAGAATGGTTTCACAAAATTTTACTTGATCTCAAGAGGTTAATCATACATATGAATGTCATGTGTCTGGTGTTTCAGTGCCTCTTACAGCATTAATAGTAGGGAGAGATGTGGCTCTCATTGCTGCAGCCTTCTACCTTAGATACATCACACTGCCTCCTCCGGTGAGAACTACTGTCCTTATAACCTTCATACTTGTTGATACTAGATCTCTTTCCTTTGTACTGTATCCATTTCATCCAACAAAAACACTCACACTGTGATATAACTAACACCCTGTTGAAGAGCCATAGTGCCAGTCTCCCTGACCATACTCTCTCAATATCATGTTAGCATGAATACCTCCTCGGTGGTGTAGTGGGTAGAGTGTCTGCCTGGAGAGCCATTAATTGTTAATTGCTTTTGATATTTGAAAATGAAACAAGGATCAGTCCACTTGGTGTCTGAGGCAGATATCCTTGCAACAGAATCTTAGTGGGCTAGCACTATAAAACCAGTATACGTTGGACTAGTACATACATGCATGCACAAACACATGCACACATACATGCGTGAGAACACAGAAATAATTTTAATGTAGGAAACTTTTCAACATTTAAAAAATTGTGCCCCCTGGATATGAATTGTTATGTAGCTGAAACTGTTTCTTGTAAATCTATGGCAGTTCATCTGAATATTTGTTTTCATAGCTTGGTGGATTAATGTAATTCTAGATAATTATTTGTATTTATTTTTTGTTTTTTATTTCCTTTTTTCCAGAAAACGCTATCCAGGTATTTTGACGTCACACTAGTTTCAGCAAAGTTGGAACCATTTTTGATTAGCAAGGTAAGAAACATTTGCCCAAAGGTTTAGGTTGATCATAGTATTCATACATAAAGCTCTAGTTGAATGTGTTGATGCATGTAATGTGAGGAGCATAGCCAAATTCTTTCACCCTTCTTAGAGAAAGAGAATCATAAGTCATACTCTATGTATACTAGCCACATAAAGAAACTGTGCACACAGAAAATTCCTTCAGAATTGGAATAAAACACAGAAAAGACGAAATGATGTAGACACTTTATAAGCTGAAGTATCGGGCCGCAACAACATGTCAAAAGAACATGAACAATATCCGTAATGATGACGTCAGAAGTTAAAAATTGAGTAGGGGGCCACACGTCGAAGTCACAGAGTCAATAACGGGTATGACCATCATGCGCGTGAAGCACAGCAGTGCATTGACGACGCATAGAGGCTACCAAATGAGCATTGAAGGCCTGGGGAGTGGTTTGGGACGTGGTCACTGCCGTGTCTGAGATGAATCACCCAAATCCATCTGTCCTGTCTTGGCGTCGTTACTCGGGGACGCCCAGAATTCGGGTGGTCGGCACCGTCATTAATTACTGTTTCCATAACGCCTGACCAATGCAGATATCGTGTTACGATGGACTTGGAAATGTGCTGCCTCCTGTTGATGGCTCATGCCTGCTCGAACCATTCCAATTGCTTCATGACGTTGAGCAGATGTTAATCTTGGCATGATGTGCATGTGACTTCTCATGTGAATTTGTGAACGTTTGAATGACCAAAGATCAAGCTTTTGACAGTGACATCAATTTCTGAGTTTCATATGTTGTGTGCAGCTGCACGGGCTGCACGTGCAGTAACACATTGCAAGTCCATAGGCCACCATCAATGACGTCACGTCGCCTGGCACCTGCATGAGCATTTGATTGTCTCCAATACTTGCTATGTTCACACCTTTATTTATGTATTAAGACGCTGTCTGCCTATCTTTATATTTTCTGTGTGCACAGTTTCTTTATGTGGCCAGTATATAATAAACTATAGAGTGTTTCTGTATAATTTGCAGTGGAACACAGCATTTCAGCTCTCTCTAGTGGCCTTCACCTTGGCTGCTCCTGTCTTCAACTATGTCGATCATCCACTGTTGCAGGGACTATGGTGAGTGAAGTTGGATTTCCAAAGAAAATAGTTCAGTATATTCTGGAACAATTCAACACCATGGCATTTTGTGACGCTACTAGCCCCACTGTCTCCCGTTACCCCCTTACCACACAATATCTTTCACACATAAGCTTGAAATTGATAAATAATGCCACATTTGAATCGGAGATAGGCATAGTAAAGTCGTGGCCTCAGTTGTAGATGATCTTAAGCTGGAAGAGATGGTTTTGTGAGTGCTAAGAATCGATGAGAAAAGTCATTTTGTCACAGCAGGGATATTCTACAACAGGGATCGGTCACTCGCTTGCTTTCTTTACCATTTGTACTAATTAACGTGTGCCTCGTCATGCTCCAACGCACACAGTGACTTGGTTCGTTCCCAGCGCAACTTCGGCTGCGTTTAACAGTACTTCAGCCAGTGTATTGTATCAGTCGGAATTTTACAATGAATGAAGGAATTAATTAAGAGCAAGAATTATATGTGAATGAATGAAAGAAATAAAGAAAAAGAACAAAAGAAAGAAATACATATGTGAATGAATGAAAGAATAAATGATACACCACAGCCATCCCTCCCCAAACATGTTAAAGAACGCAAAACTATCGGTAGAACACATGTGTTAACATCAGCTGTCCTTTTTTTTAAAAATCTACTTTGAGACATTTTTTTACATTAGTAACTAATTCAGATATCTTATTGCATGTGTGGAATGGCATGGACATTGACAGAATGTTAACTGACACTGTCACAGACCCCTCAAAAACAGAAAGTTCAGAACTATCACAAAGCGTTGTAAACACCTTTCCAGTTTTGTCACATACTAAGATCAACAAGAAAGAAAGAAGTTTTAGAACTATAACACTCAAGCATCACAAGCATCAATGGCGTATCAGAACAGATCAGCGATATGTCATATTTTTCACACACCTCAATTACACTCTAACAAATTTTTTAAAATTATAAAACTATCACTATTACTTGCAAACACCTTTCACCTGATGGTATATTCCCCTCATAAAAATTAAAGGTGTATGTGAAAGATGTTTTAGAACAATAACTTGAAACACTCAAACAACGCCCTGTAGTATTTCAATGGCAGAACGGCGATATGTCATATTTTTCACACACCTCAAATAAACCCTAACAATTTTTGTTAGTTTTAAAACTATCACTATTACTTGCAAACACCTTTCAACTTAAGGTATATTTCCCTTCTAAAGATTAAACAAATATGTGAAAGATGTTTTTAGCGATATAATTTAGTCTTTCTTCGCTGTGTACTGAGAACTGAGAACTGAAGCCAGTGAGCTACAACATGCCGACTTGAAACTTAACAAATCTACTGTACTAATACTGACACTAATAACAATTATTTGACTTAAAATGAAGTGACAGAATAGGTAACTTATCTTCTACATGTAGGTTTTCAGTTGTCACAACACTCAGCGTATGTAATCAGTTGTTGAAAATAAACCGGGCTCAATCTTAAAAACTACGCTGACGCCATATTGGCTACACTGGTCACGTGACGAGCCGAGGCATACGCTAAGGGGCTTTCCGAGGAGTGACCACTCCCCCTTATATAGTCTCCCTGGTTACAGTGAGTGAGTGAGTTTAGTTTTACGCTGCTTTTAGCAATATTTCAGCAATATCACGGTTGGGGACACCATAAATGGGCTTTACACTTTTCATTTTGTTACAAGATATTTTGATTGCACACTGAAGTCAAATCAGGTTAAACAGTGACAAAATAATAACTTGTTTGTATGTCTATGTATTGGGCATTGTGTCTTTTCATTTGGACTCAAAACAAACACCCATGATGTTGAATTGGTCCAGGATATTTGTCACAGTAGAATTAAAGTTTGCTTTGAACTCTGCTAAATAATATTGTTTAGTTTGTTATTAGGATGTGATTTGGAAGTTGTATTCAATCCTGAAAGAATTCTTGCCACGTCCATATCTTGTGGCATCATAGTGGTGTCATACAGTATCAAATTAATCTAAGTTGTTTTTGTGCAGGTATTTAACAGGGTCCACAACATTCATCTCGGGTGCGTTGTACGTGGTGTACTGGAGAGACAGTGTCAAGGTACTCAACCAGGTCAAGAAGTGAGGTGCATTGTGGGTACAAGTTGTATCGTGGAGAACATGATGGCGCCAACTGTGTGGGAATGATAACATAGTGATGGTATGCTGTCATACCCACAATTGTGACGACATCCTGATGACATTGTACATCAGTCATTCTGCAGAAGACATTGATATAATGCATGTTTTCATGCTACCAATGATAACTTAATTAGCACCACACAATTTTCATGTTCATAACGCCCATCTTTATACAATGAAAAACTTTTGTTTGTGATATTTACATTTATCAACAAGTATTATAAAGTACATCACAATGAGAGTGAAATATGTAACAGCTGAGAACAGAAATATTAATGCATGAAGTGCGTGGGCTAAGATCTGTATCATGTGTATCTGTTCAAGCATCACCATCCTAGACAGTATCAGATAACCATCCTCTTAGCTTCAGATTATGTACTGATGACATGGTGCTACAGGTCGTCTGATGTCATTGAGGCAGCATGTGGATCATGATGTCATGATGGTGACATGCTCGTGACATGCGGTCAGGCAGTGGTCATAGTGAACATATTGTTTTGTGTCAATCAGGATTGGCCATCTTTGTTGAGACAGTTTCTCTCTTACCTGTTGATATGGACATGGGTTGATCATCAAGAGGTGTGCTTGTGTGTTAATAGGGAGAATTATGAAGATGACTGCTAGCTATTGTTATAGACTGTGTAACATAATGTGCTCATTTCTATTGCTAGTATGAATAAATTGTATTCATTTGAATTGTGGAATTTCACAAATGTGTGTTTATCACTGTTCAACAGTAATTTGTCTTTTGACATTTGTCACAAGTGCTGGAGCATTATGCACTACAACAAACATGATTATATTTTTTTTTAAGGCAAAGTATTATGTTTAGATTATTGCATTTGTGTGTTTGATTTCTATGTCAGCAAACATTGTTTCGGATTGTGTGACTGCTGTTTCTGCTTCTTGTACCTTTACACACCAAACTGACTTCTGTAGCTTTAAGTAGTTTTGCTCCAAGCATTGTCGTACAGTTTGATTTTGTTGTGTAACATGTGTTAATTGTTTGATCAGTATCTATAGTACTGTCGGAAATAGAAAAAAAACTGTGTTATCTCATTTATCTCTACAATTTATGTAGTTGATATGTGAAAGTGTGAAATATCTGTTAAACTAAGTTCGGCCTAACTACAGTCTCGGTGGTAGAGAGATAGGAAACGGAGAAAAAGGACTTTACTGAGGGGAAATAAGTGCAGAAATGAGCAATGCAGGTTTTTTCTAAGTCCAAAAAGACTTATTTGGAACAGACCATGGCTTTATGCAAATTAGTGTGCGAAGATATTGTATTACAAAGGACACTTTTTTAAATGCCCAATTTGAAATTAGACGTAGATTCATTATAAACGATAGCTGACGTAAAAAATAATAACTTTTATACCGAAACTATTAAGGATGTAGCTACCATGCAGTCTCACTGTCACTATAAAAAGAAACAGATAGGAGGGGCCATCTCAAAAGCAAAACCTGGGGTCGGGCTTGGGGATAGAGATATCAGCTAAGATAAGATAATCCTTTAGGGCAATTATACTGGGGAGGTACACGGCACGTCATAACAATTTACAAATAATATCCAGTCCTGTCGATCTTCGGGTGGTCATGCCACCTATATACTATGATGCGTTTCTATGGTTTTCGGGTATCATACTCTTTTACATATCTCAACATAAACTTTATGAAAGAAAGACACGTAAGATGTTAATCAATAAATGAGACATAGTCAACACACATGAAAAAGCACAAAATATCTTTGAGATGACCCCTTGTGCCTGTAGGCAGCACGTGCATATCATGCCAGGTGAGTCGACGGTCCGTCGTCATACCTGGCTGAGCGACCTAATTGCCATCTATAGTTTGATCTATTGTTTTCAGCAGCTATTCGTATTTTTTCTAAGTTTTGCCCGATTTTACGAGAAAACATGCTTTTCTGGATATCGTATTACACATCCCACTGAACGCCCAGTTAGGCCGAAGTGGGTTATTTCGACATATGCTATTTGCAGTTGTGTAAATTTTAGGGATACAGAGTAACAGCCTAAAAACAGTTTTTTTCTATTTCCGACAGTACTTTAGTAGTTGGTGAGTCAATAGTCATACGACTTTATGGATAACATCTTATTTATTGCACAGAGCGACCTTTACAGGGGTGGAAATAACCCATTGCCCGACGTCCGAGTCCAGTGTTTTTTCTGTCAGGGCAAGCAAATTTGTATATCACACTGTACCGGTGTCCAGTTGACTTTCCAGTGTTAATTATGTTGTTTATTTAAAAAATCAACAAGAAAACGGATGGTATAGTGGAAAAATTATCAGGGCAAGTGATTTTACATGTGCCACTGTACCGGAGTACACTAGCAATTTTAAAGTTATATCCACCCCTGCTTTAACTTTAGATTCTTACACCATTATCAAACTAAATTAATTGATTATGGTGTAAGAATCTACATCGAAATGTCGCTGTATATAATAAACAAGAAGTTAATCCATAAAGTAGTATGGTTCATTAACATGTGTGAACTAGGACCAATGTAAATTGTAGAAAGGTCTGACATGCATCCTGCCAAAAATATTTATCCTTTCCAGACAATTACATGGAACAAATATTAATGGATATTTGCCAAATTCTGTTATATTCACTCAAATTTTCCTTCCTGTGCTTTTGATGGCACTGTTGATGTTTACTATATAGAGTTATGTCCCCTACCGTCAAAACATCCACAAGGGAGGTAAATCTTGAATAAGTGCCAAACTATCTGACTCACCAAGTTCCTGCTTGTGGGTTTTCCTGTGCAGAATTGTGTCTTTTGCTCGTGTCAGGATCCAAATACTGTGGGTAAAGATTTGATTTTTAACAGCACTGTGTTTGTTTACTATATCCATGCCTACAGCCTGCATGATGTCTTACTTTACTTCCGCATTCAACTGATGTCATGAAACTGACATACTATTTAAAGTAGCCTTGTGCTCAGTTGTGACAATTATTGGAGGATTAATTCTGTGTATACACATGTAATTACATATGGACAGGTTCTAGCTGGTGGGAAGTGGTTTCAGTACAAGACCAAATACACATGGTATTAAAAATGTCCCTCATTACGTATGTCCATTTTGAAATGAAAACAGTCCAAATAAGTCAAAGGTCAAATGATAACTAAGACTTAAATGGCAATGAGACTCTTTATGATTGTTAAACCCAGTGAATCTGTAATATCAGTGGTTAAAAGGGGAGACGATGATGGCAGCCAAGAAAAACTGATCATGAATCCGATGTTTATGTGAGATAAAGACAGAAGTTGCTCATGTTACAGATAGCTGTAATAATGTGTTTGGAACCCTTTTGTTGATGTTGCTGACCAGAGTGGTGTGATTGTGATACTTGCTTATAATAGTCATGTACAAGTCATGCAAAGCTGGTACATATACCAGGACTATAATGTTTCCTATTTTGCAATGGTGCTTCATAATGGTCGTCTTATTAAAATAACCACCAAAACACATCTTTTGTTCTTCCTTTTGACAGGTCAAGTATCAAGTTCAAATTCCTAATGGTGAATTAAATATGTCACTATGGAAGTGTAAAGCTTTAGTTACAGGTTGATTCTGTACAAGCCAGTGAATGTTGTTAGTGCCGCATGTCGTGTGAAATATTGCTGAAACTGCTTTAACAGGTGTGAAACCTCACCTGAAAAACATCCAGTTAATGCGACCCGTGAAGATCTGGGGTAGAATAGGTCTTCAGCAACCCATGCTTGCCACAAAAGGCGACTATGCTTGTCGTAAGAGACGACTAATGGGATCGGGTGGTCAGGCTTGCTGACTTGGTTGACACTTGTCATCGGTTCCCAATTGCGCAGATTGATGCTCATGCTGTTGATCACTGGATTGTCTGGTTCAGACTCGATTATTTCCAGACCTCCACCATATAGCTGGAATATTGCTGAGTGCGGCGTAAAACTAAACTCATTCACTCCAGTTAATGCACTGGACTACATGTGTCAGTCTGCCATACTTGTTGGAAAAATGTCTTCTTGATATGGATATTGCTTGGGCCTGGATCAATGCAGACCCTGTTATCATATCATACAGATGAAAAAGACAGTTTTACATAACAAAGTTTATTTGATCATAAACCCACAAAATATATTTATTGTTAAACAAGCAGACACCAAAAGACGAATGATACAAAATCCAAAATGGCAGACAGGCAGTGACAGCAGACATAAACACAAACAAGATGAGCAAAACTTTTTCACTTTCATGTCTTAAACCAGGTATAATTTGTAGATGGAGAAAACAACATTATCAAAACTACTAAACCCAATTAGTAACAGAAAATACAATTTCAAACTGCAGCCATGATGCCTTATCTGGGGTGATTTGTGCTGCCTTTATGTGTATATTAGTATTGGAGGGTTTAACAAAGCCCAGTCATGGTTTCTTTCTGAAAACTATCCTTCATGGGTGCTTGTGGATTTGCCATAATGGATCATAAATGCAAGGTCTTGACAGTACAGTATTTTAATACTGGAGGCTAATGGTCAATGCATCACAGGGAAACATGGAGCCAGTGCAGGAGACGGCACAAATCGAGGTAAGGTACATGTTTTCTGTATAATAGAGTGAAGCTGAAAGAAACTACTTGACAAGGTTCCGACCAATGCTAATGTGCTAACATACTAGTATATATTTGTTGTACTCACTGCTCATAACAAAACAAAGAGTACAGCAGACAAATATAACACCATGTTCATGCTCCAGCCCGAAGCCTATTTTCAAATCCTCTAACCGGAACCAATTAGAAGGCTCCTGGAGAAACACTTCGGCCATCATTAGATCTCAATAATGAAGCTGAAGCATAAATTCCCAAAGAGTATTTATTACTGCACTGCACATATGTTCATAATGTACATCCTTAGGGTCTCAATATTCATCTTCTACGCTTTCATAAACAAACATTTCAGCTCAAAGGCACTACGCCCATCCATTACAAGTATGACCGCTCACACTGCACAAGTTCCATGGAGTATTTCAATTGTCAGTTTTTTGTTAGGAAATACAGTCAAACACTGTTGCTTAGAAGTTGAGGTTACCTACCGTATGTAAACTCAAGTTAGCTCAGGTTCAACAAAACCACAAAGTGATCATGTATGAGGATTATGCAGAGGCCAAGCTTCTACTCCGAGACCCCCGTATGTTAAATGCACCGAAGATGGACACAATGGTGTTAGCTTCTACACTGTATCATAAATCATTTCTCCAAACAATACAAACACAAATGTTTTGATTAGGTAAATGTAAGAATAAGTAATGGTAAGCAGTGATGGCACACACACATCTTGTACTAACTTTGTTACCAGAACCATTTCCAAGCTAACTCCTTTGTAATGGCATTCATCAGAAGCATTTACATTAAGCATATTTTACTGTGAGAATTCTCTCAAGAACTCTTGGATAATTTTCAAACATAATGAAACTAGGACTTCTGGGTCAAAACTATCTCTTGTGTGTAGAAAATAGTATCCAATCAGAACAATTGTAAGGTTACATGTGGAAGAAATTAAATCATCAAACTTTCCGTGGATACGTTTCATCAAAATTGATTCTTCTATTCACCATGATTGTCCACTTCAAGTATATCAGGCACATTAACATACTGATTAATTCCTCAGATCAACAACCTCTGCCATTTACACTGAAAAATATTCAACAATTGGAACCCAGACATTCAACAAATAACCAGTCTGTATAATTTTGAAGAAAATTAATGGTATCACAGGCGTCTAGGAAATCTATCTCCTATCTTGGTGTTTTATAACAAACACATAACAAAATAATGAACAGAATACATTCTTTGTGTTGTAGAGGTCACAATACAGCTGTTGTACCGAACCGAATACAATCACTGTGCTGATGATACAACCACTGCAGAAAACGTGATACAATCATCATGCTCTAGATGCTAATACAACGACTGTCCTGAAATTGTTTCCACTGCTGTCAGAAACCAACATGGAGACGAAAGGTGGGTCCACTGTACACAGCACCTAAACCCCAGATGATGCCTGAATGACAATACAAATTGAACAATCACAGCATGTACAACATCCCCATCGTAAATAATGGAGTCTGGACCAGACAATCCAGTGATCAATGCTTTGAGCAATGATTCATGACACCTAGGTACGAGGGCATACAGCCAACCTGACTAGCTGATGCATTAGGTCGCCATGGCCAACCAGTTGCTGGGAAGCAATTCAATGATAAGCAACATGATTAACTACAGTCAGTGCAAAAGCTGGTTTGTTCCTGCCAATACTAATAATAAGAGTCAGGGGTGGAAATAACCCATTGCCTGACGCCCCAGTCCGATATTTTTTTCTGTCGGGCAAGCAAATTTGTATGTCACACTGTACTGGTGTCCAGTTGACTTTCCAATGTTAATTATGTTGTTTATTTAAAAAATCAACAAGAAAATCAGCCAGTATAGTGGAAAAATTATCAGGGCAAGTTATTTTACATGTGCTACTTTACCCTAGTACATTAGCAATTTTAAAGTTATTTCCACCCCTGAGAGTATTTATATAGTGCCCACTTCCACCACACAAGGGAAATGCTCTAAGAGCTGACAAGTCAACTTAATCACTAGGCATCCTCAGATGTATTTAGGGTGAGTGAATTGGGGTTTATTGTAATTTGAACAGTATTTCAGTAAATCCACCAAGACCCACCTCTGTACAGCAAACTGACATGTCTGAGACATCCCTGACATGATTCAGGGGAGTACAAATGTAAAGACAGTACTGTAAACCAGTACAGTAAACCAGTATCAACAAACCAGGTTTTCTTGGCAACATTTACAAGTTGAATCTCTGAAATATGTGTATCTTGCAGAAAAAGCCTGAGAGAAAGAATAGGTTGACCACTAACACACAATTCACTGATTTAATTATGCATTAATACATAGCAAATATCATATAACATAATACCTAATACATTCTCCAAAACAAGTGTTTCCTCAAGAAGCCATTGTCTATGGAGACACTAAATCTTGAACAGCACCTCCATTATCATGTTTTAAGTATAATTAAGTAGCAGCATAAGATGTATAGCTATCAAGTACATCTTTGGTAGTAGGAATTTTTTTTTTAAATGTGTTTTTTTATAGAAATGCTGGAGAATACAGCACAAACGGTACTGACAATGTATTAGATAAGACAGAAAGATAGGAAGTATACAGAGCCAAACAAAAAGTGTGGTGATGTTTTCCCATCACTTCTCTTGTAGGTTACCTTTAAGCCATATATGAAAGTGTGAAGATCCTGCGACACCTACTTCCTACAAGCACACGGACTACTGAGCAGGTTTGCATGAATACATTATTGGAACATCACAAATGGAAAATTGATACACATTCAACATCAGCAGAGCATGGCTTCATTCAGAATTTCCTCACAATTGCACTACTAGTTTGTTTTATCACAGCAAAGACTATCTCAGTTTTGAACACGAATAACAGGGCCAGTATCACATCAATTTTCATCTGTAAGGTCTTTGAGTTGAAGATAGTTTTTCAGAACAACAGGAATTTCTAGCTGATTTGAACATGTTGTGACATTGTTGCCAAAATATTGGCGCAAATATCGTCGGCATATTTTGACAAGTCTTGAGGGCGTGGTTTTATGATAGTGAAGGAGGCTTCGGAATGCTTCTTCAGGGACCCCTTGCAATGCGTCTGTGAGGATCCAGTTCTCTGCGGACATGTCATACCCTGCTGCAATCAGCAACATGCCAACCTCGGGAAAATTACGATTAGCGGCGACCCACAGGGGCGTCTTGACCTGTTCGTAGATGTAGAGAACATCGTCTGACTGATGGTGTTGATTAATGCCTACACTTTCCACTTCCATATCTACATTCTTGCTCAGCAAAAGTTTAATAATGTCTTTATTACCACAGTAAGTTGCATTCCATAATGGGGTCACGTTGACTCGGTTTCTCACATTAGGATTGGCACCATTTCGGACTAGGATTCTAACGGCATTGACATCCGAGTTGTAGGATGCATAGTGTAGTGGAGTATCTTGATCCTTGTCTGAATTGTTGACATCACAACCGTGGGGTATCAGTATTTCGATAATCTCCGAATGGCGGCCATGAGCAGCAAGGGAGAGGGGGGTGTTCAGGTCAGCTGTCTTGGTATCACATGGAGCTCTTTGTTTCAACAGCAGGTTGACGGAGTTGACATGACCGTTCCAGGCGGCAATGTGAAGGGCTGTGTAGCCATGCCTGTTGGTGGCAGCAATGTCAGCACCATGCTTCAACAGCAATTCCAAGATCTGCCAGGAATCACTGTAAGCTGCAACTACCAGTGCTGGGAAACCATCTTCAGGAATGTGGTTTGGGTCGGCGCCACCAGTAAGTAGAAGATCCACTAACTCAGCCTCCTCTGTAAGATAAAATGGTTCACATTTTGATGAAGATCAAGAGCACAATTCAGGAGTTGAGTGTTAAGTCTACCAGGTGTTAGGAATGACAAGTCGTTATGGATGATCAATTTTTTTATTGGGAATAGCTACGTTTCGGTATCGATACTTATACCATTTTCAGGCATGCACAATAATGAAATTGATTATCCATAAAGACTTGTCATTCCTATTGCTTACAACTTCTAGAATGCCTCTCAAATGGTTCTACAAGATGTTGATAACAAAAAGTACAAAACAAGAATACTGTTTATGGAAACAATAGTATGACTGAGTTTGTTTAATGTTGCACTCAGTAATATTATAGATACATCCTCTAGGCCTGTAAATAACTGTGGCATGACCAGACAATCCAGTGATTGACGTCATGAGCAACAAGCCCTGCCATTTGGGTACACTATCAATCACATCACTGAGCCAGTTCTGGTTCTGACCCGGCACATGTTCCACATGGGAAACAGTCTAATATGAAATGAAATGAAGTACGCATTTACAACCATATGTTACAAAAAATATTACTCAAAAATAACATAGGAGCATTTTATGCAAATCAAATTAGGATAATTGAAACCATGAAACTAATGATTAGTTAGAATTCTACCTACCTCTATACACGGCAAACTGTAGAGCTGTGTCCCCACGTGCATCCTTCACATCCACACTGGCCTTCAGCTTCAGCAGGAGCTTGGCAATGTCCACAAAACCCAGCCGACACGCATGCATGAGAGCGGTAGTCCCCTCGGACATCCATGGCATCCGGCCTTGCTCCTGCCTTCATCAGTGCTTCCACATAGTCAACATTTTCCATCCTTGTAGCAACAATGAGGGCACTCTCGCCACGGAAGTTGGTAGTATTGACATCGATGGCATCAGACTGCACCAGCATGTCAAAGATCTCCTTCTTCTTGTCCAGCATGGCTTCTATGAGAGGAGAGTGCTGCTCCATCTTGGACCGGATGTTGATGTTGACGCCCTGAGCCAGCAAGTACTGGGCGATGTGGATGTGGTTCTTCATGACAGCCAGGAAGAGAGGAGTGTAGTGGAGCACAGGGGTCACGTAGTTAAAGGCGCACTCTTGTTCCTGCAGGAACATCAGCATCTTCAGGTTGCCCATCACACTGGCCACGTGGGCGAGGGTCTTGCCACACCTCCTCGGCATGGGATGCTCGCTGTTCTGCAGACAGGAACATTTCCCTGTCTTGATCCACTCTAATGGACGGGACAAGCGGTCTGTGGTGGTGTCCTCAATCCTGAGTGGGTGGCTCTCAAATGTCCGCACACAGTTACATCCAGGCCGACAATCTGATTACAGATACAATAGAGTCAATTAGAAATTGATGCAATAAAGTCGATAGTGACAAATACAATAAAGTCAGTTCATAAAAGATTCAATGGCATCAGTTCAAAACAGACCATAACAGTCAATTTTAAACAGTTTCAATAAAATCATTTCATAACAGATATAATTGAATCAGTTCATAACAAACAGCAGTATTCCAGCTATTTCATGGTGGCCAGTATCAAACAAGTCTGCACCAGACAATCCTGTGATTGATATTGTAGGCACATGTCTGATGCCATTCACGATGACACCATTTAGGCCTAGCAGTTGCTAGAGACTAATACTAACCTGATTCCTATGGGGGAATCCATACTATAAACACTGACCTATGAAAAGGACCTGGTCCAACAAACACTTGTTTTCTGCCAGAAATGCGTAATCTTCTGGGCCGCCTCGCACGACACTTTCGTAAATGTCTGCTTGCAGTCTGCGAGTCTCTGCAACAACAACCACACCAACTGCTGTAGCACCGACTACTCTCGACCTAGACTCTCTCCTACAACCACTTTATATCATGTTGTTTTCTCTTCCTCTTATAAATTGTTTTCGGATATATGAAAGAGTCCTTCATTTTCATATATTATATTGCAAACAGTTTTAAGATCTAATACTTGAATTATGCTTGCACATAATTTAATGAATATTGTTAATTAATTTCACAGATACACATCTATCACATGTATTATGAAGATTGCTAGTATTGAGAATAAAGATAAATAATAAAAAACCTGCAATTAACATGGTTAATGGTCAGTCGGTTACATATACATAATGAGAATTCATTTAACATAAGCCTTGGCAATTGTCTTCCAGGAGAAGGGTTAGGTCCCTCCATACAATGATACACACTCACTCAAAATAACTAGCACGTGTTGAATCGTTGGTACAGACGAGGTTTGGACATTCTGTTGAGAAAATAGCAAGGTAAGAAACAGGGGCGTAGACTGCTTGGTCTCTGTTCCACAAACCAATCTTAGCGTTAAGATGATCGTAACTCCAGCAATTTGACATAGACTTATGATGATCATAGTGCCAAGATGGCTCTGTGGAAAGAATCCAGATCCAAGACATTCTGATAAGGTAACCCAGGTATGTATTTTCACTAGCTCAAGTATAAAACTTGTAACATTATATAGAAATTCAGTCCATAACTTTAACATTTTAAACTACTTTTGATCAATTTCTATTAATTAACATTACCGATCCTAACCAACTATCAGTTTGATCATATGAAATTTATATTTTATGCCATCAACTTTGAAAACATTAATAAATTTGTATTAACAGTTTCTGAATTATTGAAAAACAAAAAAGAGCTAGGTATCTTACAACCTTCAAGGTCATGAAAGCTTTAAATTTATCAGTTCTTTATCTCAGACCAAGACTTTCAATGAAGAGGTATAAATTAAACAGAGCAGTTAGGCTCTGAAACTTCACATGTTTTCATTAAAAAATGAATATTTGAATATACCGATGTGACAGGCCATACCTTGTTTATGGTGATTATTGGTGAAATAATTGAAATAGCCAAACTACTCAAAACATTTAACTCAAGCATGTTAATAAGGTCAACCCAGTTTACATGGTTTAACATCAAGTTTAACTCCTAATTAACGTTTTCCCATAACAATTAAATATTAACTGTTACCATGGTTACACATGTCATAAAATAACGATATACCTCTCGTATATATCTGGTACCACTTACCAACACTTACAATTTGAATATAAATTTGAAATTTCATCTAATTCTAAATAGACATACAAAGGGAGACAGAACTGTTACAGATGCAGTTCACTTCACTGACATACCCTCCAATACCACAGAGGCAGGGTTGGTTTAACTTATAATCCAAATCATCACCTAAAACTAGCCACAAAACACAAACAACAAATTTGAACAGCAATTAAAGAGATTTACCTTCTGATACAACCAGAGTATCTATTTTTCGGTCATCTTCCACAAAGTTCTGAAAGGAATAATAGTAAACATAGAAATAAAATGGCATGACAAGTACACAGGCACATAAACAGTTTTACAGTCATAACTGTTAAGGATAAAATTAATTTGGTTTTTACCGGTAAACTGATCCGGGCTTTGTTTTTGTTGCTGCCGGTAAGGATCCGGATTTTAAGTGGTCCCGGCCGGTAGTTTTGATCCGGGCGACTGAGGTCGACTAAAGCACATGGCTGGTGTCACTGCGGTGATTCATTTTTGTAGAGGGACAAGGGGCCAAGAAAATTTGTAAGTACTGTAGTTGATGATTATTATTTATATTGATGAACATTGTTGATAGGGTCACAAAGCGTGTTAAGTTTGATGAATTTATATGAGTTTGGAATAATTTCAGTGTTGTCATGTGAGACACGTGTTTTCGCGTTTCATATTTTCGTTATATTTACAGATACATTGCATTTATCTGAGTAGTCAAGATATTGATTTAGCATTGGAAATTGTTCAGCTGTATTTTAATAATTGTTTGTTTTATTTATACAGTTTGAACCGTATCAAGTTCAATTCTACCTACGCTGCGGCGTAAAGAGTCTTGTAAAGAGTCTGCGGACAATAATCCAATAAACGTACGTGTTCAAGATAAAGGCCCGACTATGTTTTAACCTCTGCAATAATAACATGCGAGTGAGGAAAGCCCAAAGATGGTCTTAGACATATATCACTATGGTGCAACCCATGATCAATGGGTATCTTTCTGACAAACCTAGAGGGTGAACCAGGAACCAAACCCAGGTGACTGACACGCCCAAAGGTCAAAACTTGACACAGTAACCTGTGACATCTCAGACAACTGGGCCACCCAAGCATCCACATGGATTTGTGAAGTGAAAAACTGTCACATGTCGTCAAACACTGATCATTCCTCTCTGCCACATTCAATGTCAACATATAATTGAGTATATATATTACGTACAGGCAACATTAATACTGTCACATGTCGTCTAACACTGATCATTCCTCTCTGCCACATTCAATGTCAACATATAATTGAGTATATATATTACGTACAGGCAACATTAATACTGTCACATGTCGTCTAACACTGATCATTCCTCTCTGCCACATTCAATGTCAACATATAATTGAGTATATATATATTACGTACAGGCAACAATTATTCACCTACTCAGAAGCTGATGACCCCCAAAATACAGACATTAAGAACAGATTTAATCCTAATCCTTTAATCCTAACATTCACAAAATACTTGCAATCTTCTTAGGTTTTTGAATGAATCAATGTTGTTTTACACCATATTTTGCAATATTCCAGCTCCATCTGACCTTGGCTGGGCAAATAGTCAATACCATGAGCAAATAGTCATAGCTTTGAAATACAAGGTCACCCAATCAGCCAAGCCACATTTGTGGCCACTTGATCCTCAATTCAGCTGGCTGTAACCTACTAGAACAACACATACCATATAGTATCTATGGTAATCAGAAAGTCCTTTACCTCAAGCCTTGACTGGAGGTATCTGGCAGACATGCCAAAACGTTGGAGCATAACTGCCAAACCTGCGTCGTCATCCGAATCCGAGTCCAGGAAGTCAGGATCCATTATATTAGGACTGCATTGGAAGACGTTATGATGGACTGGATTGATAACCTGAACAATACAAGCAATAATATAAACATCTGCTATGTCCATTGGCCACGATTTAAAATATTCTCATCAATATACAACAAAATGAACATGAATTACCACTTTCTTTGTGTTGAACTTTTATTCTAAGGTAACTGAGGTAATTGATATTTAATTCCAGTGAAACTATGCACTGGTGGTTTTGTCAAGTCTATCAGTGATGGAAACTAACAAAGAACTTAATAGAGAAATATACAGCAATATCCCCATATGTTAGAAAATCTACACGCCGTTACTGTATCTCGAACATTAACACAATTGATCTGGGATAGTTTCCTTCCAGAATTTAAGATCTCTTGTTCAACAATACATCCTTAGTTACGGTCAGTGTAAAATCTCCAAAATCATCCACATTGTATAAACTAAGGCTGTAACGATTCACTCGCATATTCGGTGAATCGAACCGTAGCCCTTCATGAATTCAATTCGTTATTCGTGGTCACCAGAACCAAATATTAACAAATAATTTTTAAAAATTTAAGGGACCATGTTTTCTTAAATCCTTATGTCCTTTTCCAAAGTGAGATATGCAAGAATGGCACATGTACTAGCATTGCAGTAGTGCAAGTCATGTTAGTTTGGCAAGATTGCACATGGTACTATCGACTATAACTATTACATACCAAATTTGATTGTTATGAGATGACTGGTTATTGCATATTGTACATCAATCACTTAACTACAATATTGTATTCATTACCCAATGATACGTATCATATTCGCCACATAGTGTATTCGTTGCAGCCCTAGTATAAACCCAAATACCCGCCATGTATACATGTCTCCTTGTGCAGATGTTATGTATCATTTGTTTGATAACGGTGCTAGGATCTCCACCGAAACGTCGCATCTACTGCAACAAAGAAGTTGTCTATCCATATA